CTCATGGTGGCAGGGAGCTGGTACGTGATGGAGCTGGTACAGAGGCAGTGGTCCTGGGCCAGGCTTTTCCTCTTCTCCTTTCACTGCCACAGATGAAACCTGCCGTGAAGCCTCAGTTTGCATGCTGCCATGGAGCAGTCCTTTCTGAGAGGTTTAATCAGAGCTGATTTGGGATGAGCTCCTCGGGTCAGTCCTCGTCTGCATGGGATGAGTGCTCTGCATGTTTTGTTTGGATTTGTGTAGTTTTTGCCACTGCTTTCACCAGTGCTGTTGCTCACCACATCATGCCGTGAGGCAGTGAAGGGGTAAGCTGGGGCTCTGCACAACAGCAGCTGCCACCTTCTTTGCCAGGCCTATGTATGGGTGCTTTCTGCTGAGGAAGCATGGATGCTGCAGAACCAATATAGTATAACTGGCTTTTTAGCTCATTATGCAGTAACTGATGTGTGATTTGAAATAACTGTGGATGTCTTTTTTGGGTACCTGTTGTATATCATTGACTACAGTCATTTCTTTTTTCCAGTCATTTCTTTTTTCCAAAACTTTGGTCATTTTTGAGGTAGAATTTTAACTGAAGCTGATTTCCTCTAAAAGCATGCCCACCCTTGACATTCAGCTGTAATTGATAGCTTTTGTAGTCAGAGACATTTGTTCTGTTCTCCTTAATGGAAGGTTAATGCACTTATCTTTGCCATGGCTGTTTGTAAAGGGCTTTTTGATTTTTTTTTTTTTTTTGCTGCAGCTGAAGTCAAAGCTGAGCACCTGGGAGGCTCTCCTGGTGGGGCATTTGGGGAGCAAATCAGGCTCAGTTTTTTTATTCTGCTCAAAACTTCAACAAGATTCCAGTTCTGGCTCTTCTGTAGCCTTGAATGAGCAGTGCTTTGTTGTAAGCTCAGCTGAAATTTGCAGGATTTAAGTGGAGGGCTCTTTGGTGTGGCCCTCGTCTCCCTGTTGTAGGGCTGTATCAGGAGGGTTGGTGATTTCCTGCTGTGTGTCTTAAAGAATTGGTGAGCAGTTGCCTTATCTGGCCTTATCTTCCTGTATTCTGTGTACCAGTTCTAAATTCTGTGAGGCATTAGCAAAGTGGAAGCCAGGCAGTGCTTGCTTAATAGATACAATTTGTTTGAAATATTGTAGGAGACACAGATCTGCATAACAGGAGCACTCTGTTTTTCTTGCACCGTACAGGATATGTAAAAGCTGACTAAGATGTGCAACAGGCAAGACAAGATGATTTAAAGCATTTCTTAGCTCTTGTGATCCAGGCTATTTTCAGCGGTAATAAAAATTAAGTGCTGCTAGCGTATGGTGAAGCCATGTACTGCTTGTTGCCTGAGTTTCAATTGGCTTAAGGGGGGGGGAAAGAAATCTCACTGCCAGGAAATTAAATGAGGGAAATACAATCCACTTCATGAGCAGCTCTGCCATCTTTGATGATGATTCCCATGTAATTCCTCCCCTGGGCTGGAACAAAGCACAGCCGTGGGGCTGGGCGGTGATGTAACGTCCTGCGGGGCCGGGCGGCCGGGCTGCATCAGCCTTAGCTGCAGCACTGCTTTCCTGGCTCGGAGTTCTGCATGCTGGGTTTGTTCTCACTCAGTTGAAGGGAGTTACTTTTTTTTCCTTTATTTTTTTTTTTTTTCCCCCCTCTTCTCTTCCTCCCAGCTCACCTTTTCTATGAATGCTTGCTCAGCGAGGGCGCATTTGTTGGCCCATCTAATTTTGTGGAGCACCTCATTTTCAGCCCTTTTTGCTGGGTGTCTTCTTCCAAATGAAGTTGAATGGATGGAAGTGGGACTTTTCACTTAACAGATACCATTCCGGTAAGTGCAGGGTGGGAAGATCAAACATGCAGGGAGAGGAAGTCGTGCATGTGAAGAAACTTGTCCTGATAGCTGTGAGGACAGAAACACCCTTCTTCCTTTCCCTGTCTATGGAAAGAGGCTTTGGGGTCGGGCAGGATGGGAATGGCTGGGCTGCATGTGCCATGAGTCACTGGGACCATATCCCAGCCAAGATGCTGCCCAGTTCTCCTGCACACAGCAATACAGCTCGCACCCCGCTTGCTTCCGTGGCCGTGACGCTGAAATCCCTTGTGCACCAGCATCCCGGCAGGCAGCCTGGCTCAGTCCTCTGCTCCAGGAGGCTTAAGTTCCCACGGATGAACTGATTTCTCCCTGCCTCGAACCCCTGACGTTGTGCAGCTGGCTGTGCTCTGCCCGCAGGCTGTCGGATCCCGGTGCTGTGGATGGGTAACGTGTGCTGGGCTGGATTGACTGTGCAGCTCTGCTACCCAGCCTGACGGGAACAGGAGCCAAAAGGATTTCCTGAGGATAAACAATTACAGGCCACGTGTTGAGGTTTTCTTTCTTGCCGGGCTAATTGCTCTGCTCCCAGTAGCTGGTCTAGCCGCATGTGCAGCCCAGAGCATAAATCTGGTTGCTGGAGTGACCTGGAGGAGGAGAATACTGCGCATGGGGTCTGGGGCACCTGAAGCTGCTTCTGCCTGGGAGCAAGGGCTGAACCAGGTGATATCTCTCTTTTCTCCCTTCCCCCCCTCCCCATTACTTTCTTGTACGTGTTTCTCTGCAGAGCAGCAGGGGCAGGGTTGTAAGACAACAGTGTTGTTGAGAACAGGAAAAACTTAATTTGAAGAAGCAGGGGCAAACAAGCAGGATCCCAGCAGCTGAGGCTGAATGCCTGGCTGCCCAGGGGCTGCTCTCCTGCAGTCAGAGCTGGGACAGGTTCGGGTGGCTGGGGAAGCATGGGGTTACAGAAATGTCACCAAGCGTACCATGGCATTTAGATTTTAGTTGTTGTTTCTATAACTGAAGAACCGAGGCTTTGAAAGGACCAGAAAACAACTAGAAAACCAGCAAATTATAGCTGTTGGGACTGATGCAAGCACTGACAACTGCAATCTTTGAGCTTTTTTGTTTTTATTTTTATCCAGTTTGCTCTTTCGCTAATTTTTGCCAGAGCAAATCGCTGCCTGTGCTCTGGAGAGCTCTCTGCCTTTCCAAAATAGCTGCCCTCAAGCAGACGTGTGTGCACAGCGTGAGCTGGAAGGGGAGGGGGAGAGGTCTGGAGGAGGGAAGACCTCGCTGTATTTTCTTTGTCACTGCTGTAAAAGCGTTTGGGCTCTTGTTCAAAATCCTTCTTCTGTTCTCAGCTCTGGAGTGTTCCTGCGATACTGAATTTGAGATGCCGGCAGCATGCTGGTTGAACTTTATTTTGGTCTGCCAAAAAAAAATGCTGCTGCAATGAGAAGGAGGGTTTTGTAACTCTGGCTCCTGCAAGGCAGAGGGAAGAGCTGAGATCCTGAAAACTTCCAGAGGGCAGTGGTTGCGCTTGAACAGTAGCAGCATACTTTCCACAAAATAGCAGCAATTGAGTAAGGTTTTCCCATTGGTAGCTGCTGGCTTTGATCTGTTAGGCATTCTGCATCACAACTGATCCTGACTTTCTGCAAATTGCTGCTGAGCAGAAACTGTAATTACAGACGATGCGGTGTATGTGCTGGGAAAGTGTGGTGCTACATGATTTGTGGACAGGCAAAAAAGCACCCGAAAAGCTCTTAGGTTTTTTCATCCCCATAGTGCTTCATGTCTCTTGGGATGCTCAATGCAGAAATGTGCCAACCACCCCCAGCTCTGGTCAGAGCAGGCTTTTTCCATAGCTCAAACTACCAGGTTTGGAGCAAAAGGAAGTTAATTAAAGGGCATTAAATGACCCATGAAGCTCTTGGCCAAAGGGCAGGATGGTGGCTGTGAGGCTGAGCAGGGGCATGGGCTGCACTGGGGTGCACTGAGAGCCTCACCGGGACCTTCCCAGCTCTGCCAGAAGCCACAGGCATCTCCTTCCTCTGCCACCAGCTGATCCCTTGTATCCCTGCCTGCTTCAGTCTCCATCCTGGGGGACGTGAGATGACCACGCTGTCCCATATTTTCCAGCCCATGCTGGTGAGGGGGCAAGGTGGAGGCCCCTTAGCCAAGAGGATTGGGGCAGGCCTCCAGCCTCATGCTGCTGTAACAGCACGCGTGGCCGGGGCCTCTCATTAGGAGAACTAAGGGTCACTGCCTGTGTCTGGCTCCTCTCACCAGCAGATTAATCAAGGCCATAAGTGCTCTATTTCCAGGCTCTTTGGCACAGCTCGCTTCCCCACATGCGCTTAGCAGGGCCTGTGCCTGCAGGGCTGCCCCCAGTGATGCTCCTGGGGCCAGGCTGTGCTGCTGGCTCCAGGAAAGGGCTGGTTCCTGCAGGGAATTTATCTGGAAAAGAAGAAAGAACACTAAGGCTTCCTCTCTCCACCCTTCTTACAGCTTTCAAGTGGCTCTTTCCCTTGTTCTCCACACCCTCCATTGCTCTCTGTGCTTTTATCACTGGCTTTATTTGCCAGATCAACTTTTCCAGGAATCTTGGTTGGTTTGGGTTCTGCTCTTTGCAAGCCCATTGTCCTTGCTGAAGGTGACAGTGGGTGCATGCAGCAAGGCCGCATGTCCTTGGGAAGGGGGACCTTCTGTTGCTGCTCTGTGCCTTGGCTTTTGTTGAGAAAAGGGTAATTTGGGTAGGAGATGCTCTCCTGGGGACAAGGGATAAAGTTCAGGTGTTGAGCCCCCTGCAGCATGGTTATGTGCTGATCATGCTACCCTTGCTCTTGGTGAAGAAGAGTTGTTTTGTTTTGTTTTGTTTTCTTCCATGGCATTGGTCCTTTTTTCATCATATTGTCCTTCTGTGCACTTGTAGGTGCATGTTGCTTGGTGGTCATTGGGATGGATCCCCTGAGCACCTGCTCAGAGCCACTACTGTTACTGTTTTCTTAATTTCTATTTTTCATGTGTTTAAATGGCAACTTTCTGCCCTGCTCTGCTCCTGGCCGCCCCTCCTGTACATGTGGCCACCCAGCAGAAGTCACCTTGGTCCCAGTTCCTCTGGCTGCCTTGAGCTTTGCTCAGCTCCAGCTGTTTGTTTCCAGACCTATGGGTTTTCAGAGCAGCAAACGCAGGGATATTCCCCTTAGGAAAAGGCAGGTTATCAGCTCTCACAGACACAGTTGGAAGTGCAGTTGATTCAGATCGACGGAGCTCGCTCTTTAGATCGGGAGATCTGCCTAGCATGTGGTCCGTGTGGGTAAGCATAGCCTTAGCTGCTAAATTATTAAGTGTTTCGTCAAAGTGTTGCTTGTACTCACACAGAAGTGACTCAGTACAGAGAGTAATATAAAAATTGGCAAGAAGAATTTCAATTAAAAATATATTGGTTGGGTAACAGTACTGAGCAGGCGGGGAGGTCGGCGTGCTCAGCCGACCTGGCAGTTTGAGGAGGCTATGTGAAATTTGTGGGAGCTTTTTAGAGTTGTGCACGTGTTGTTCTCCTTGGTTCTGAGGATAAATGAAACAGAACAGGCTGGTTTGGGAGTTGTTATTTTTGTTGGCTTTTTCTTAGTAAATCATGTCGCCTTCTCTACTACTTCTGTGATACGTGGAACAATGCAGGAGTGATTGGACTTCAAACTATTCGTGAGATCTAAGCCGCATAATGTGGTTTAATCTTTCTTCTGCATATATTTAATATAAGCTGTGATTTCATTCGAATGGTTCAGCTTTGTACTTGTACAGTATCATTATCTCTGGTTTGGTAGATGGCTTTTTTTAATGCCTGTGGTTTCTGTTAGATCTGTTTCTGTGAGTTATTTGTCTTTACTCTGTGGCTTGAAGATATCTTCAGCACACATGAAAGGAATTCCTTTTGATTAGTTTTTGGTTGATGTGCTTCTTGCAACCATACTAAATTAAATGTGTTTCTTTTTTCCCCCACTACTTTTTCTGAAAATGAAGGAAGCAGGTAACAGGGACACTGGTTTCCATAGCTCACTTCTGCAGAGCATGAATTCATCCTGTGTTGAAGTTGGTCTCTGCCATTAATTTTTACCCAAGTTTGCTAATTTTTACCAAGATGACCACGTGCCAACCTGTTCTGTGCAGGGTGCTGCAATAGTTTCCCTGAAATTTGGGAGAGCTGGGAGATGCACAGGCAGGGAAGGAGAGAGGTACAAATTTAGGCTAAGTATGTTGGAATTGTTTGGAGCGGAAAGCTTAATTCTGCCATCTCTATGTAGTGATTACTTCAGGTCATAAATGCTGTTGGTAATTAGCTGCCCTCACCTGGCCCACTGCCATCAAGCAGTAGCTGTTCCCAGCTCATCCCAAAGAAGTTGATAGCAGAAGGCTGAGCCTCAATTGACTTCCATGGTTGTATTGATAGATGGGCTTTTAAAGTTTGGACAACGTAAGAAAATAGCAATCATCCCTGATGCCTCCTTTTTTGAGGCTGCAGTTTCGGACAGTCAGCTGTTCTCTGCTAGGAAAAAAAAGCCGCTCTAAGATGTGGGACACTTGGGTTCTGCTAGAATATGTAAAAGAAACGTGTTTATCTGAGTTGGTCCTTCCCCTCCAAGCCACGTGCCCAGGGGTCTCTGGACCTGCACAGAGCAAATGAAACTGAAATGCACTGCTGCTTAAGCAGAAAAGCCATCCGTTCTCCTGACATTCTGTTGACATAAGGGGCATTTGTGTAACAGTTAAAATGTGTGCTTATTCTTTTAAAATAAACTTTCTGTGCAGTGAGTTTGTGATGCGAAACTGCCTGCTTCATTATTTCTGTTTTTATTTTGGATGTAAAATAGCATCCAAAAATAGCATTAAGCTCTTAAAAAGTCCAGTCCTGAGTCCATGTCCTGAGGGAGGCAGGGAGATGTTCTGGGTGGGCTTGAGGGTTTGGCAGGGGAAAAACATTCCCTGAAGGAAGGTGCAGCTTCTACCCCTTGTGGAGCGCTGGGGAGAAGCCTGGAGCCTGAAGCTTTGCCTTGAATCACGGAATTGGTAAGCTTGGAAAAGGCCACAGAGATCATCTAGTCCAGCCATCAACCCATCACCACTGTAATGTAGCCACTTGGTTTGGCTGAACGATTCCCTGCTATTGGTGAGATGGAGAAGTCAATTAAAGAACAACCAAAAGCTGGAAGCTGTTGCTACAAATATTGATTTGTTGAGGGGTTTTTTGAGTTAGAAGCTAAAAAATTCTCTTTTCTCATTGCCCCAACAGTGTGCTGGGGAGGAGAAGCGGGTCGGTACACGAACTGTGGTGGTTGGGCACCGGCCGGTTTCAGAGGCAGATGCCTACGTGGCACAGAAGTTCTGTGACAACAGGATTGTCTCCTCCAAGGTAAGCTCTCTGCTGGGCTGGATGAGAGCAAAGCACCTGCAAGCTGGGGTATTTCCTTCTGGTTTTTAGGCATTCCCTTTTTATGGATAGGGCAGGCCAGGTGTCCTACAGCATGTGGGATGACAGCTGTTTAGATCTGTGATAGGCAGTGGGGGTTATTTTATAAATGGACATATACATATGATTCCCCTGCCTTTTGTTTGCATGGGTTTTTCTCTCTTCGAGCAGATCAAAAATAACCGTGCTTGCTTTATCCCTTTGGATGAAAGGGGAAACATTCATACTGTATTAATACAGCTTTTGTTTGTTGTGGAAAACTGTGGTGACACCCGTCTACCTTCTGCTCAGCTTTTTCCATGACATTCATGAAGTTCTTTCAAGAGATTTGAAGCCAATTCAAGTGAAATATCAAACAAGTGGCATCTGATATTGTCAACACAGCTGGATGCATGTTGTGTTGCTTAGGAGCCGTGATGCTGAGCATACTGTTAAGCTTCTGCCATGCTCAAGCTGTACAGGCTTTTTTCCTCTCCTTTCTTTATTTATACAGCTTGGGTCTTGTTTGTACTTTATGACTTGTGCTGCATTTATACTGGGGCAAGTTTAAAGTCTAAATAATGTGTAGCATTCCCAATGACTTTCCCCTGATGTGCAAGAGGGGTCCTTCAGAGATCACCTTCCCATGCTTTAGTTCTCTCTCTGATAAATGATTTGTTTTAGCACTTATTCTGCAATTCTTCCCTGATTTATTTTTGAATATTGTGCCCTTTTTCTTTTTTTTCCATTTGCGTTTGCTCACATGGACTCTTCTTACTTGAGCAGTGTTTTCTTACTAAATGAACATTGGTCTTGAGACTTGGCTGCTTTATATTCATTGTTTATTCAAAGCAGACTGAAAGATCAGATGTTAGACCCATTATTTTCTGTGTTGTTCTTAAATTCCACATTTTCTAAGCAAAATAATTCAGCTCCATTCTTAAAATGATACCAAAGGGCAGCCTAATAATGGATCTGCATGGGCAAGAAGTCTAAGCAGAACAGCAACTCCAGATATTCTTTTAATTCGGAAAAAAAAAATCTTTGTAGCATGCATTATCTTTTCATTAAGTTGTGTCTCCTGAAATGCCCACATAGATGCTGGTTTGTTGGAACCAATCTCATGGTGTTTATCTTTTTTTGCTCTCCACTGTTTCCAACCATGTGATTTGGGTTACACGGGCAAAACAGAAACAGTTGACTAACTTAAAAACCAACAAACAAAGAAGCCCCACCTGACTCCAAAACAATTTCAACTGTTTAATGAAGCAGTGGAGAGGGCCAGAGTTTGTGATGCAGTGCTGGAAGTGGAAGCTGGAGCTCAACCACAGCTGCATTGTGCCCATCGAGGGGGGTGGCAGCAGTGCTTCCTCTACCTCCTGCCATGGTTTGCCTCAACTTAAAGGAGGGAACTCGTGTCCTGTCACGTGCAGATAACTCCCCTTTGCAGCCCACAGTAAACCCTGTGTCTTGATCTCTTTGTGCTGGCACTTGGAAGCTGCAAGGTGCCCAACAGCCCATTCCTCTCTCCCCGCAGTACACAGTGTGGAACTTCCTCCCGAAAAACCTCTTTGAGCAGTTCAGGAGAATTGCCAACTTCTACTTCCTCATCATCTTCCTCGTGCAGGTAAGAGCCTTCACTGCCAAGCTGGGTGCTGGAGGTGTTTCTTTTTACAGCCTGATGGTAAGCACAACTTGAGCACCAAGAATTGAGCTGAAATCTGCCTCTTGATGCTCATAAATGCAGTTGTTTTCCTTAAAAGCTGAATTATAATTCTGGTAAGCCATTCAAGGCATAGTAACAATTACAGTTTGGGGGCCTGCCTGAGGTAGTATTCAAATGTCTGCTGAAATGATTTAAAACCTTGTCAAGGTATGTATGGTTAATGCTGCAGAATTAAGATCTAGGGTTGTGGGTTTGGTTTTTTTTTTTTGTCATCTTTGTTTCTTTTGCTCTATAGCAACATGTATTTTCCCAGATAATGTGATGTTCGTACATCTTAGTTACAGCGAGTTTCAAGGCAGCCAGGGGAGAGGGGCTGTATTCAGTGAAATTCAGGAAAAACATGGCAAGAGCTTTGGGAATACGATGTTCAGGATGCTGTGCTCCACGGACCGAAGAGCAGATTTTATACACGGGTGAACTTGTGCTCTGCTTTGTGGCTTCGCTAAGGGACAAGCTGAGCAAACCTGAATATTTGTTTTCTGTTCTGTCAACCAAAAAGAAAATTGGGCTGTCAGAATGCATTGCTGGGGAAGGAATGGGAAATATGAAAGACTCACCGCAGTGCATTTATTCACCTTTTACTCCCATACTCAAGCATGAGGTTTACCAGATACCTTATTGTAGGACTGGTATTGAGGCATCAAAGATCCTCCCCCAGCAAGCTCACAAGTAGCACTGTGAACAGCTTGCATTTAGATGGCATCTTTGGCATTTTGTTGGGTCAGGTCTCAAGGTATCACCCTCCTCAAGTCTGCATGTTTAAGAGACCTCACATTTTTGTCCTGACAGCAACGAGTTATGGTTTATGGCCATTTCAGCAGCTGCTAGAGAAGCAGGGGATCCCAAGGTGGCGGCTGTGCACGGCTCCTGGCAGTGCTGCAGGAAGGCAGCTAACCTTGGCATCAGCTGTTTGCCATCGCTTGATTTTACTGGCACCGCTCCCTCGTGTCACAGGGAATTTGTAACTTGGCTGGCACTGAAGTTGGGATGTCCTGGTGGAGATGGCCTTTTAGTGATGTGGTGTTGTGTTTGGTCTGCTGGCTCTCTGGATGCTAAGGACACGGCTTGCTCTTGATTCCAGTTGCAGGACTCAGCGTAGTTTAGCTGCTTGCCTGTTTTAATCACAGATATATGTAGGTGAGAGAAAAGTCTTGCTCTTCCTGCTTGTTTTCGCTCTGTGAGCTATGATTGCCTCCAAAATATGGAAGCAACTGTCACGTTCTGTTGGAGGGGAAAACCCAAACCCAATGGAACAATAATCCCACAACACTAACACACTTGCTACCCCATAAAGTCCACAGGGGCCCACGGCACTCATCATTCTGGGTCTGCTGGATCTTAAAAAATAAAAATAATAATAAAAAAAAAAGCACTCACAACAATTCTAGACACTTAAAATATCAATAGTTATAGCGTGGTAAACATATCTAGAGCTTCAGTGTTTATGTTTATCTTCAAATTACTGTAAATTGTTAGAGTTGTCCCCAGTGCTGCTTTAGGAGCACAACCTGGCAGTACTTGTTGCCAAGCTGCAAATTCAGCTCTTGGTTGAGAGAGAGGTAGGAAAAGTACACACATTAAACATAAGATGCTAGTTAGTGCACTAACAGGGATACAGATAACTGTTTCATTGGCACTTCTGTTGCAATACCCAGGGGAAACTGAGTTTCCTGGAGGAAACAGAGTGCCCAGAATAAGTGTGGTCAAGGTGCATTTGTAGAGAGCGAGCTGGCAGCAGTCAGCTCATTTAGGAGGTGCTAGGAATGAAAGATGTTCCTTACAATAAAGATGACTTCTGGATTGTGGTCTTCAGTCTTGTAAACAATGAATTTGGAAGTAACTGTTAAGTAACAGAAGGATTTTGTCACTTTTAAGTGGATCCAAATGAAGCTGTTGAACTCCTAAAATATCTCAGAAATAGCTTCAGAGGAGTTTGCCTTTGGTTTGGCACGCAGCTCCTGCATCCCTCTGCTTCCCACCAGCAGCCAAGGAGGAGCAGCAGTGTTGAGCCATAGCTCTGTGTGGAGTGCAGCAACACCCTCCAAATACATCACTGGGTTATTTCAGGGGCTTAATTCAATACATGTGTTCATACCTCTATAACACAACATTTGTGTGGACAGAAATCATATTGTTTGTTTAAATACATGCAGCTGCATGTTGTCTAGTGCAGAAAACTCACGTGGCCTAGCAGTGAGAGACTCAGGAAGCCCAGGGCAGATCTCCCTCAGCTCTCCCTTGCTCTGCCCACTTCCTGTGAGATAAAGTTAGGCTAACTGACCCATGCTTCAGGTGGCCATCTGGGTGTGCCATCCCCTATGTAACGTGTCCACGACTGCCATTGCTCACTTGAGGTTCTCCAAAGTGGTTCCTGCAGCCTTCTGTTTGTAAGCTGTGGCACTCATTAGGATGAGCCAGGGGCTGTGCACCTGAAGGACTTGCTGTGCTTACAGCAATTGCTCTCTGCTTATCTCACTCCCCTGACCTGGTGGCTGCATGTGCTTTGTGCTGAGTAAAATTGCAGTGTGCAGCATTTCAAAGAGTTACATTTCCACATAGCCTGCTCCCAGTGCTGCGCTTAAGGCAGCCTGAAACAACAAACATACAGATGCTGTTGTTTGTGAGCATGCTAGGAGAATGCAAACAAACAGAGCACAACAAAGGCCCTTTGTGGGACACAAAGCCTTTCTGCCTGCTTTGCTTCTCTGTCCCTTTCCCTCGAAGCCCTCTGCATCTGCCTCCTGTTCTTCCTCCTCTCCAGGGATGCCAAGTAAACAGCCAAATTCCTTTACCCTGGTTTTGGGGTGTCCCTGGGGAAGCCCTGCAGTCTGCTCTGTTCGCTTTGGTCCCTGCACAGGGTTTGGACTGATGCTGGGAGTGGTGCTGCTGGGGGTCCCTAAGGCCTGCTGACTGCAGGCGTTGCTGCCTCTCAACTTTCTGTTTGCTTTTGGGCTGCTGCCCTCCTGCTGCTGAAATGATGCTGGCACTGAGCAGGCACGAGCACCTGCTTCTGGAGGCCCTCAGCTGGGAGCTGAAAGGCTTTGCGTTCTGTCCCTTCGGAGAGGGCACCTGTGTGATGAATTTCATCAGTGGGGAAGCAGTGCAGCTCTTCCTGTTCTGATGTGAATACATCCCAACAATGAACCTGTTCTGCTGTTCTTCCCCTTCAGGCCAAGTCATGATGCTGTCAAACAAACACTGTGGTTTCCCACAGCCCCAGGGTTTAATTAAAGTTGAAGAGGCTCTGCTGGGTTTTGTTCCCCGGGGGCTGGAGGCCCAGCAGGAGCACTGCGCTGAGCTCAGGGGCTCCAACTACTGACCCTCATGTGATCTCTGTGCTGTGTTTAAATCATGCTCTGAACTCAGCATCGGAGCCCAAAGGCAAAATGTTCATTTCTGGTTTATTTAGACATTTGTATTCCATTTCACAATGTATTTCCTTAGTAAATAAGTCTGGTTTGTGTCACTTCTAGCATCTCGGTGTCAGTGGTTCAAGAGGACTGGTGCTGCCCTCCTGCTTGCAACTGCCCATGATTTGGGGTTTGGATATGCCTGCTCTTCACTGCCGAAGAGGAGAAATGTTTTTTTCTGATTTTCAGTGAGAAACGAGGGCATCTTGCTCTTCACATATGGTTGCTGCTTCTGCTCCATCCTCCTTCCCTACCTTGGTTCTCTCCAAGTGTACCAAGCACCGTTCTGCACCGTGGCCAGAGTTCTTGCTTATTCTGCTGCTCGAAGCAGGTTGTCACCAGTCTGCTCTTACTGTCCGCAGGTGATAGTGGACACCCCAACCAGCCCGGTAACCAGCGGCCTTCCGCTCTTCTTCGTGATCACTGTCACAGCCATCAAACAGGTACCAGCAGTAATTGGGAGAAGATAACATTCCTGTAGGCATGTTCTCGTGCTCTCTGGGATGTCTGGCAGAGTAAATAACCAACATGGGCTGGTAGAGTTTGGGAACCTCTTCTCAGAAGGTCTTTTCAAGAGACTGCATGCTGAATGTGGACGTTGGTGTATCTTGTTTGGCAGTGTAAAACATCCACCTCTGTATTGTTGAAAGCAAATTGTGCTGGTTAGCATAGATAAGCACTGTGGCTGCCTCTCTAGGTCTGACTTTACTTGAGTTTTTCTTCTCTTTTTAGAAATGCTCTTGAACCCTTCGCAGGGTATAGAGATGCGCTCCAAATATAGCCAGTGCTCTGCTGCCTTGTTGGTAAATAGAAGGGACAGTTCAAACTCAGCTAGCCTTGAAAATATGTAGTCCTCTTTCCTCTCGTAGTGTTGAAAGACCTCTTTTCTCCTATCACATGCAAATGTGCCACTCTGAATTTCCTCCACAGAAGCTCTAAATAATAAGATAAGTTCCTTCTGCAGGGGCCAGAGAGGGAGAGCTAGAGTAAAATATGTATGAATGTTTTATTCTTTTAGTGAAGACTGAAGAGAAGAGACTTGTCCTGCGTTACCATAGGAAGGAGTCACAGGGTGCTAAGCATATTATTCATATTATCAGCCTGTTCTTGCCAACACTGAGAATAATAGAAACATGTTACAGTAATTTAGCTGCTCGTTGCATGCACTGCATATAGATTATTTTTCATGTGTTATTTTAATCTGTTCTGAATCTGTCAAATATGCATATGAAGTTTTTAAAATAAATTGATTCAGTCTGAGCTACTCTAGTTGATGTTTAGTCAGGCATGAAGGAGTTCTGAGGACTGTTTAACTTACTTGTTTCTTTTTTTCCCCTCTCTCCTTCTTTCTCCCTCCCAGTGCATCCTATTTGATTAGTTTACTGCTCTATTATGGGTTTTGTTGCTTGTATTTGTGTGCCTAGGGGTACGAAGACTGGTTGAGACACAGAGCTGACAATGAAGTGAACAAGAGTAATGTCTTCATTATTGAAAATGCGAAGCAAGTGCAGAAAGAGAGCGAAAAAATCAAGGTAACCATTAACAGACAATTCAGATGTGGTTGTCACCAGACAGGACACTGGGGTCTCTGATACACACTGATGCCTGCAGCAGGGATGTACTGTGGTCTCCCCGAGCTGCACAAGGTTTCTCTGACTTTTGCGTGAGCTGCTCTGAGAGTCCTTCCCAGTTAATAAGTGAAGCTTCCTTTGTTTGACTGCTTTTGAGAAGCTGTCTTGCAAAAGCTGTGCCTGTGCTGACAAATGACAGATCTGTCAGTGTTCCGCATTTGTCTGGGACAGGCAGTCCTCTTCTATTTCCAGCTCTCCCAAGGACACCAGGAAAGCACACCGGCTTTGACGTTAATTTATCGCCCTGCACTTCAGATTAGTGCAGAGTCTCTGACTTCATCAAGATTCAGCAGAGAACTGAATAATAGTGGTGCTGCGTGGGCAGGCTGCCTTGGCACTGGGTGGGCTCTGATCCTGGGGCACCTGCATGGCAAGGGGCAGGCTGCTGGTGTTCTCAGCAGGCAGAGAGCTGATCCTCCAAGTAATCTTGACTTTTGATCTTGATCTTGAACACTCTGATTCCTCTTTTAGCCAAGGTGATTTCTTCTAGGCTTTGAGAGGAGCTAAATCTGTAAGCATCTAATAATATCAGAGAGGTTTTTTTCATTGAAATGTCTCTCTTCTTGCAGGTTGGAGACATAGTAGAAGTGAAAGCAGATGAGACCTTCCCCTGTGACTTGATATTTTTGGCCTCAAGTAGCACTGATGGGACCTGTTACGTCACTACAGCGAGTCTGGATGGCGAGTCAAATTTCAAGGTGATGGGGATGGATGGGCAGCACGCAACCGAAGCTAGTGCTTGTGCAGAGTGTGTGTGTGTGTGTGTGTGTGTGATGATTAATTGGAGGATGCTCCTGCAGCACCCGTCCCCACGGCTATGGCTATATTTAACATCTCCTCCCTCCGTCTGTTCATCCAGTGAGTCAGCAGCCAAGTGCTCTGTGGATTGTTTGTTTTCCTTTGTTTTCTTAAACAACCATTTCTGCTGGCACTGCCCCAAATTGATTCCATCTTTATCAGAATAAATGTCTATAGCTAAATAGTGTCAATAAATTATTATAAGGCTTAGCTGCATTGTTGTCCACCCTAGGCAATGTGTACTGCTTTCCTGCTCCTGTTGCGTGTGTTGAGACCTGACGCATATAGGTAAAGCAGCAGCTACAGCTGCTTGAGTTTGTAGTCTCTTTTCGGTACCTGCCAGCACTTCTGTTATTTAATGGACGTATTTTGGTGTGATTTGGGACTTTCTGAGGCACTGTGTCTTGTTTGACTGGGGGAATTTCTCACCAGTGAGCAGGAAACTCCGTCTCTTTTTCGGTTGTTTTTTTTAATATATATATATATATTTAATTATTATTTGATTTTATTTGTGCTTTTCTTTCGTTGCTTTTTGTTTGTTTGCTTTCTTCTTCCCTGAATCAGAAGTGAAATTTGATATTAGTCTTGCTCAGGGTGAATCTCCTCTTTGGTGTGTTTCCTTTCATTATTTTCCTCCCTCTCTCCAAGGGAAAGAAATAATAAAATCACGTTGGTCACAAGACATGAGAATTTGTTCACAGCTGAATAGTTAGGCAGATATTAGCAACTGCAGTACTAAGAATGGAAGCTACTTTGAAATTTCATGATGCTTTCCAGCATACTGGGGAATAGCAGTGTTGATCTGACTGTATGGGATCTCCAGCTCGCCTCTTAATTAGTGGCTGTTAATTGGTGCTGATCATTTTGTGTGTGAGCTGACGCAGTGTTGATGTACTGAATGGTTGTACTAGTGAGGAGGAGTACAACTTTGGAGTGGTGTCAGCCCAAAAGCAGATATCCATGTTAAATAGGCAACTGCTTGTTAGTGTCAGGTGTATTGTATGCAAGAGTTAAATTTTTCAGAGTCTTGGCTCTAAGAACCTGAGTTTCTAAGCAGAATGCTATATTTCTGTATTAAGCACTGTATTTTTCTCAGTTTGTAGGTGAAGGGGAGCTGTCTCCTGTTTCTTGACAAAATTAAGGTGGAGACTGAGTTGGAAGGTGCAGGAGGGAATAGAAAAACAAGTGCTGATTGGGGAAACAGCTAAGATTAGGAACCAGGGTGTGCAGCAGAGCTAGGGTGAGGGAAGCACATGCAGGTACTCACAAAACCTCCTCCACACGGGTAGCAGTTGCCTACCTGTTGGATGTTTCTTTGATGCCTGTTAGGTCATTGAAAACATGCCTGGGAACTGGAGCAGTTATAAAATGGATTGTGGCAGGGCTCTGTCTTTGCAGCATGAATCTTCAGCTGTATGTTATCTCAAAGAGCATGTGTTTTCTAAATAGGCCGAGGGACTGCGGATGTAAAGATTGTGGGAGTGATTAGGAGGCTGCTTTGAAGCATCATTCAGTAATTGCACAGTGTCCATGGAGACATGAGCAGTGGATGCAAAGCTTGGCACGGGGACCTGATGTGATATTGGGCATTGTGTGAACAGTTCTGGGCTGCTTCACAGGAGCTGTGATTTATAGCAGAAATGTGTGTGCTTCCAGTACAAAAATCCAGGCAGATCACCAGCATTCAGGTGGGTGTTTGTAGCATCACGACTGTGTGCCTCGTGGGAGGAACTGCTACACTGTGCACAATGAGAGGAACACAAATGAGTCGAGGAGGCTCGTTAATAAATTTGTTGATGAAGACGGATTAAGGGCAGCCTGTTGCACAGCCTGCAGTGGTTCAGATGCTCTGGCAGCTCCTATAAATAAATAGTGTTTGCAGGCAGTGCACAGATCCTCATGCAGTTCCTAGCTAATTGTGAGCAATGGAGTTTCACAGCACCTAAAAATAGCTTTGGGGCTGCCCTCTCCTTACCCAGGAGCATCCCAGGGGCACGCTGGGGAGCAGTGGGTACTGGGTGAGGAGGGACCCTCCTGGGCTGTTCCCAGGGCTGCCACTGAGCTGATCCTCTTGTGTTTCTCCTCCCAGACTCACTACGCAGTGCGGGACACCACCGTGCTCTGCACGGATGAAGCCATAGACTCCCTCACAGCCACGATCGAGTGTGAGCAGCCACAGCCAGACCTCTACAAGTGAGTGTGGGCATCCTCACCGCTCTGGTGAGCTGCCTGTCCTGCAAAGCCTCAGCCTGATCAGCAGAAATAAGTCATAGTTCACTAAAGCAAGTGGTGTACCTTCCAAGTGAAATGTGTTGGCTGAACTGCTTCTAGGATTAGACTTGGTTGTTAAACTCTTGGAGAGGGAGGTTTGCTGCCGTGTGTTTTACTCCTTCATTCAAGTAGGCTGGGAGTTGCAGCCAGAGGCACCTGGGCTGGGTGGGCTGTGCGTTGGCCCTTCCAAAGCCTTCACCTCTCAGGTGCATGAATTTCCATGTTTGTTTCCATCTCCTGATGATGCCCCTTGAGTGCATTTGTATTACTCATTCATAATATTCATGTGTTTGTAATACAGGATTCTCATGTATTTTTTCATTACAGATTTGTTGGAAGGATCATCATGTACAGAAGCAACCAAGAGCCTGTAGCCAGGTTAGTCTTGCAGCTCTCACTGCCCCCCTCAAAGATGCTGGGCATCTGAATAGACATCTACATCACATTTCTGGGATCTGGATCCCAGTGCTCCTGCATGCAGGGCCACCACACGTGTGCACGTGGACTGGGGCATTTCCAGTCTCCTTCACTAGTTGTCCTGAGCCCTGTTAGCTGAAGAAGGGGAAGCAGCTGAGGGTCGCGGGTAGGACATTCAAAGAGGAATAAAATTACATCTTGTATGGTGGTGCTGCTGACTGACTGTGCTGAAGGCATTTTCAATGCTTTTAAACCAGTTTTTACATAAGTACCAGGACTTGTTAGATCTGAACATTTGGCACTTATCCTTCCAAAACTTCACTGAGAATCCACCATTAAATTTGGAACTTTGAGCACTGAGGATAACTTGCGTGAAATGAAATGGAAATAAAAGCATGTAAAAGGAAAAACAGGCGAAGTCATGAGGCATCCAATTGAAAGCTTAAATAAAGTGATCAACTCCTAAAAATCATCGGTTTAACTTTATGATTCATCCCTAGGATTTAAACTGTAAAGAACTTTGAGTGACATTCTACTATAACCTTTTATTTTTAGGTCTTTGGGTCCTGAAAACTTGTTGCTGAAAGGTGCTACCCTCAAAAATACCAAGAAGATTTATGGTGAACAGTTCTTAAAAATTGTGATTATGTAAATAGATCAGATGAGCAACTACATTTGTCATTATTTATCATGAAATCTAGGGAGGAAAAGTACTTATCCGCAGGGCTCTGCAGTTGTTTTTGTATTCCAGCAGAGCTATGTTGAGTGCAAAGTTTGGGGGTGAAATGCAGAGGTGCTGCTTATTAACTGCAGGTTGTGTTAATGCACCTAAGCAAGCTGTTCTTTGTGTCTGCATTACAGAAGCAGGAAGCTGTTTGCAGCTCCTCTGTTAAATGCTTGTGCCAGAGTCACAGGTCTAGACACCAGTAATTTAGGATGAAGGCTGTTAGAGAAGACTGATCTTTTTTCTAATTGTGCACAATCCTTCAGCTGCTGGTCAGTGCTCAGGGACACGTGTAACTAAGGTTACTTAGCAGGCACTGAGCTTTCTGCAGCCCCTGGGTAATGCCAATTTCTAGAACTGGGAATCAAGTTCCATGTAAACACTGATGCCCCTGATGGCTCGGTGAAAGCTGGGTCCCTTATGGGTTGTGAGTCCCTGATGAGTTCTGCTTTAATCCTCTGCAGGAGTGGCAGTCTACACTGGAATGGAAACAAAAATGGCTTTGAACTACCAAGGGAAATCTCAGAAACGCTCTGCTGTGGAAAAGTGAGTACAGCAGGCGAAAACTGGTAAAAGCTGTGGCTTTCTTCACGGGTGATTTGCACAGCAATAATCCCCTAATCTGCCGCCTGTTGTTTCAGATGCTTTCTGATTTTCTGTGCAATCTGGGTATTTGATTAAGCAAATCTTTCAAGTAGCTGCGTCATTTAGTAGCTTTTTTCTTAAAATAAAAAAAGGTAGGAAATATTAACTTATACGAACTGATCCTGAATATTAGCACTGTCCAAAGCACTTGTTCTGTAGTTCTTACTTCTGAAGAGTAAGGAAGGCTTGTTCCTGCTTATTTGCGTGATTTTTCTATGTGGAAGTAGTTGCAAGAATTTTAAAAATAAACCTGTTTTTCAGATCTATCAACGCTTTCTTGATAGTGTACTTATGCATCCTATTGAGCAAAGCTACTGTGTGCACGACTCTGAAATATGTCTGGCAGAGTAATCCATTTAACGATGAGCCTTGGTACAATGAAAAGACTAAAAAAGAGAGAGAGACATTCAAGGTAAATGGATTTGTATTTCAGCACCTCCTCTAGCTGTATTTATTCTGACAGGTATATTTAATCTGATCACGTCTGCTGCCAGTCCTGTGATGCCTGCTTGCTCTTTGGAAGCGCTGTCACTTGCTGCAGTCTCTCCTGTTTGTGTTTGTCTCCTGCCTTGATTACTACCTGCTTCTCTTGCTTGTGTGCAGTGAAGCTCTTAGCAAGGCTTGCACTAACCCCCCTCGCACGCTGCCATCTCCATCAACCTGGAGGCAGGCGGATGCATGCAGGCTACTGACAGCAGGAGGATAACATCGTTTCCACCGCACAGAGATATTACATAAATGCAGCAGCTGATTTAACCTGGATCCTTATCTGAACTTGAGCTATCTTTCAGCTTCGAGTAGATAAACTTAAATTGAGGCCATGTCAGCCAGGTTCTTAAACTTGCCGAGACGCATGCAGCCAAGCCTGAAAGAGTGAATGCAAGTGGGTGGGAATCAGCTGATGTAGTTGATGGTTGAGTAGGACTTCAGGGATGTCACAGAATCAGTGCTTGACTGTTCTCAAGCCACTTGCTGCAGATACCTGAGATGAGAATCAGCTTGTAGCAGTATATTCTGAAAATGAATGTATGTACCTGGATAAAACGTAGATTTGATCACTTGGAAACAGCTCTGTGTGCTCTTCTGTTATACTCTCATATATCTGCAAATGGCAAGGAGATTTTCTACGTCAGAGGAAAGTGCAGTCTTAACTGCATTCAGTTATTTTCAGAGGGCTTTTTTCTGTTTAACATTTAAAGAAACGCTGTCTCCCTGAGTTATGCCTGACAAGCACAGACTGCATCTTCCTCTTGTCTTTCCATTGCAGGTGTTGCGGATGTTCACAGACTTCTTGTCCTTTATGGTCCTCTTCAATTTTATTATCCCAGTTTCCATGTATGTTACAGTAGAGATGCAGAAGTTCTTGGGCTCCTTCTTCATCTCTTGGGACAAAGAGATGTACGATGAAGAAATAAAAGAGGGAGCGTTGGTGAACACCTCAGACCTGAACGAGGAGCTCGGACAGGTCAGAACAGAATCTGTTTGCATCTGCTTTGAGAGACATCCCCGTGTTGGCAGGGGGAGAGGCAGAAGATTCTGCTGTAACCAGCAGCACGCACACTGTTACTGTCCCCTCCTGCTCTGGTGGTTGGTGCTTCTGGTGGTGGTTTCTGCGCAGCTGTATGTTTCAGAGCTCTTGATGGCTGTGAAAAGCAACTCATGGGCCACTGGTGCTGGAGTAACGTTCTCCCTGATAACAAGCCTTGGTACGGCAGCTCCTGCTGTCCCAGCAGTACAAGGCTTTGGCCAGACTGGTGGCACTTTCCATTTCATGTGATTCCGCTCGCAGCACGAAGTGGGTGAGGTTATAAATAGTGTATGAAGGAGGAGGAACTGGGTCATGCCAATTGTTTCCATACTGGGGAATATCAGGCACAGCACTTAGTGTGTCAGGATGGTTTGCTTTCACCGCTTCAATTAAAAATTAAAAATTCTCTGCCTCTTCAAGGATTAGCAAACATGCCTACCCAGTCATCTCTCTGGGCACTCAGTGCATATGCAGCCATTCTGCTGCTGGCTTTGCTGGAGCAGTTATAGCTTCTCTTTCTGAGTGTGGGATATGTACAGTGCCTCCTGCTTCTTATTTTAAAATTGCTACCAGTTTGGAGTAGCAATTACATGTGTACATAATATAGCACCGAGGAGGAGATCCCATAGGGGAGGCAACAGACCTTCAGCAGCAGCTGTATGAGCACTGGGAGCCGGAGCAAAGCAGACAAGAAGTAGAATGAAGGGGCCTTGAAGGAAGTTTTAGAAGTCTTTGGGAGCTGCCTCCTGACAGCTGTGCAACGGATGGAAAGATGAAGGATGAGGGAAGTGGTGAGATACCCAATGGTGCCCACACAAGGCGCCTGCACGTTTCTGAGGACCAGGTTAGGAAAGCAGCAAAGGGCTGGCACAGATGTACCAAAATGCCCCAGCCTTGCAGTTTTTGGAGGGCTGCTTCCACACGTGGCCCTGCTGCAATGATGGCTGCAGCAGTGCAGTGAGGTGGGTGTCTGTTCTTGTCTGCTCTCTTCTAGGTGGAGTTTGTCTTCACTGACAAAACGGGGACACTGACGGAGAACAGCATGGAGTTCATTGAGTGCTGTATAGATGGGCACAAGTACAAGGACTGCATTTCGGAGGTTGATGGCTATTCTCAGACTGACGGACCCCTAAAATGCTATGGCAAAGCAGAAAAGGTGAGAAATCTGTGTCTCGATGTGTTTTGTTGGTGGCTCCAGGCTAGGGGTCAGTACATGATCTATTACTGCAGAGTGTTGTGGGGAGGGCACTGGATTTTTTGTGTTTTGAAATACATACACACAGCAGGGGTCACCAGCTGCTCAGAGGGGATGGCATGCATGGCACAGAGCTGGTCATGGGCCTTTTCTCCATGCCTAGAGCCGAGAGGAGCTGTTCCTGCGAGCCCTCTGCCTGTGCCACACCGTTCGGATCAAACAAGCAGACCAGGTGGACGGGCTGATAGGACATCCTGAGTGCAAAAACACCTACATCTCCTCTTCCCCAGATGAAATCGCTTTGGTGAAAGGCGCTGAGAAGTAAGAATCTGATGGTGTTGCATTTTGTTTTGTTTCTTGTAAATCTGCTGGAAACACAGGGGACCATGTGTGGAGCCTCCTGGCACTCTTGCAATTCTGATGTCCAGCTCCCCAGGTTATGAGAGTGATAACAGCATGTCAGAACTGGCTCTGCAAGCAGCTGCCCAAGCCTTCTAGCTCGGGCTTGGTAATTTCTTACCTCTCCTCAGCAATACAGGTCTTGAAATGAGAACTCTGTTAATGTGTAACACACGCCAATGGGTGCTCTCAATATTGTTCTGTCCTCTTGTTTATTGACAGGTATGGTTTCACTTTTCTAGGACTCGAAAATGATTTCATGAAAATCCGAAACCAAAAGAATGAAACTGAAATGTAAGTGCCACAGGGCCTGCTAGGAATATTGCTGCTAGGGGCTGAATGGACTCTGTTCGGCTTTGTCTCACACGTGGGCTAATTAAGATCAGTCATTGTGGTAAACCAGGCAAGGTCAAAACTTCTCAGCAAAGGCTGTCAGACCAGTTACTGACCTGCACAGCCCCTGCTCCTTTGTGCAGTGAGCAGGCTGAAGGGCTTGCTTGCATGGGGCTGCTGTCAGTCCTGAGGAAGCCTTCAGGTCCCTTGAGTGTGTCCTGTCCTTGCAGTCTCCTTCCTTTCCCAGAGCCTTATGGGTAGCAGCTGCGCCTTCAAGCAGGGCACAACCTAAGCAGTGTGATATGGCTCCCATTGCTCCTCCCAGATGGAAAATGATTTGGTTTTACCCTGTGCTCACAGCTCCTGTGACATCCACATGCATGCAAAAAGCTGGGAGTGAGTTGCCTAACTCCAGTGCTCCCCTACTGTTTGCCCCCCAAGCAAGTTTCACTCCTCTGGATAGTCAGTGTGGAGCTGTCCTGAAGAGCTATTTTCCTTGCACTCAGCCTAAGCTCAGTTTTTCTCCTTTTTAAAGGTATCAGCTTCTCCATACGCTGAACTTTGACCCTGTCCGTCGCCGTATGAGTGTCATTGTGAGAACCACCTCAGGTACAGCTAACTGCACAAATATGAACACACCTTCTTTGTTCTTACCGCGAGCGTATGTAATGTCATGAGCTGCAACCCAGAGAACTGAGGCTGCTGGGTTTTCTGAGCTGTCTAGATACATTAACACATTTCGTCCAGCCTTTTGCAGAAAGCTTGCTCAGGGACAGGTAGTGACGCTCAGTAGTCCAGCCCAATATCAAAGAATCTTTTGTCTAGGTGTCAGACCACTTTTGGGTTGCTTCTAGAAGTTCCTCCTTTCGTTCTGCCATACTTTTCTTTTCCCTCTGTATCTTTTGCTGGTGTTGACGCCAACGTCCATTAAGCCTTTCTATGGCTTTTGGATGCTATAAAGTATTTGTAACTTTGCTTTTAGGAAAGCTGCTTCTCTTCTGTAAAGGAGCAGACTCCTCTGTTTTTCCAAGAGTGCAGCAAGAGGAAATCCAACAAACTAAAGTCCACGTGGACCGCAATGCTATGGTGAGCACGCAGTGGGGATGTGGCTGGCTCTGTGCTCAGGAAAGTTGTATGCCAAAAATAGGATGTGACCTCGCTTTGGAGGGAACTACTGAAAATCCAAGTGTCACTCCTTATTGTTTTGAAGCCTGGTTTCTTTCCTTTTTTGTTTCTTTGATTTCCATGTTTATTTGACTTTTGATATACTTATATGGGTTTGATTGCAGTTGTGTCCCAGCATCTCCCGAGCAAGTTAAAAATAGCACTAACAAAAGCGCACTGTTTGCTCTGGTGGGAGGAATCTTTGTGTCAGTTGTGATGTGCATGAGAAGGTGCAAGAGAAGCCTGTCCTGGGAGGCCAATCTGGCAGTGGTGGTGGTGTGGTGAGATGCCTTTTGCTTGGCTCTAAGTGTGGGGCACTCAGTTGTCCCAGCTGGGTGTAGGGTCTCCACTCTGGCCCTGCCCTTGGCTTCTGTCTGCTGTGCTACATGCATGCGTGTGTGCTCTGATGTGAAGAAGTTCCTGTGTGATCACAGACGTTATCTTCTGACTTAAGCCAACTGTTGTTATGGTCAGGTTCAGTACTGACAAATTGCTGACAGGAGAAGTGCTGATCCTAATGTGGGGAGCTGCACAAAACAGGCTTTAAGGGCAGCTGTCTGCTTCTTTTTCCACCCCTACAAGGATGGCTACCGAACACTTTGTGTGGCATTCAAGGAACTAACTCAGAAGGAGTATGACAGGATTGACCGGCAGCTTAATGAAGCAAAGATGGCTCTGCAGGACAGGGAAGAAAAGATGGCACAGGTTTTTGAAGACACAGAAGCAGACATGCACTTGATTGGGGCAACTGCTGTAGAAGACAGGTAAACAGACACCAGCACACAGATCAAGCACGTTGGTACCCATGGTTTCTCCACAACCCTGTGTTGTGGTGGCCCCTTGCTTTCTTGGTGTGAGCCTTGGTGAGATTCCTTTTCAGCCTGGGTTGGCATTCTCTTGGTTAGGGGACAGCCTGGGAGCAGTGGGAGAAAACTTGGAGCCTCCCTGTGAGAGCTGAGCAGCAGGGCAGAGGCTGGGAGCATCCAGGGCAATTACTCTGTGATACAACCCATTACTTAGTGCCTAGCTATGTAAAAATCAGCTACTGTAAGAAGTAGGATTTATTAATGAAACCACAGAAGTACTCACACTTCTACAAAATGAATGAATGCATGCAGCATCAATTTACATATCAAAACAAATTCAGTTTTGTGTGCTGTTACAGTAAGTGCATGTGTAAATTAACCTCTTATTCTTGGCTCTTGGGTCTTGTAGTATAATGCAGTGATTTTTGTCTGCATGTAAAAAAGTGGGATTGCTGAGCTCTAATCCTTATTCCTGTGGCAGTAGTCTCTTCAGCGTGGGGACAATCAATTAACTTTTCTCTAGCTTACATTCCCTACCTGCAAAATAAGGATGCCTCGGGGGGCTTTGTGGATTAAGAGGCAGTGTTGGCTAAGCCTCTTTACACCCATGGAGTGCTGTATCTCAGAAACATGTTTCTGAGGTTCCTGCCTCGGGCCTGCAGGGAAGCCTTCTCTGAGGGTCTCTTTTATCACAACACTCTTGTGTTGTGCACGTAATGTAGAGCTGCTCCAGGGTCATCCTGCTGCTGTCCAGTAGCGTGGTGGTGCTTCTGCTTGCAGGGCTGTGTGCTTGCTCTGGGTGTGAAGGTGGCCTGGTGGCCAGGACACGTGCAGTGCTGAGAGTCCATCAGCCCAGCTTTGTGACTCCCTGCCTGGCGAACTGCTGGTTTGGGAATGTGGAGCATTGTTGGGATGACAGAGGCTGGGGAATTAGTGACGTGCCACCACAGTAATGTGGAGCTGCTCAGAGCCTGCCTTGCATCCAAAGCCAGCCTGAGCAGTGATATCATTTTTTCTCTTTGCACTCAGGCTGCAGGAACAGTCAGCAGAGACGATCGAAGCTCTGCATGCTGCTGGAATGAAGGTGTGGGTACTGACAGGGGACAAGATGGAGACTGCCAAGTCCACCTGCTATGCTTGCAGGCTCTTCCAGACCAGCACCGAGCTGCTGGAGCTGACAGCCAGGGTGGTGGGTGAGTGTGAGAGGAAGGAGGACCGGCTGCACGAGCTGCTGATGGACTACCACAAAAGGCTGATCCAGGATGTTCCCAAACCCCGGGGTAGCCTGAAGAGGTGAGTGGTGAGATCCAAGCCTGTGTCTGTTAGGAAACACACTGCTTGCTGTCTCCTTTGCTTTGCTTCTTTGCCTCATTATCTCTAGTGTTAGCTGGCTTTGAACTTAATTATGCAGCTCCCTTAGTGAAGGACGCGTTCTAAATCCAGGCTTTTTATGATGCCTAAGCCCCCCAGAAAGGATGAGGGAAAGATTACTACACAAGTAGTTCCTTTTCCACTGAGATGATATAAGCAGCTAGATTGACTTCTTAAAGTAACTGATTTTTTTTTCTTCCAAATCTGTTCCTCGTTGTGCCCCAGAAGCTGGACACTGAGTCAAGAATACGGCTTGATTATAGACGGCTCAACGCTGTCTCTGATACTCAATCCTTCTCAGGATTCCAGTTCTAGTCATTACAAAAACATATTTCTACAAATCTGCCTGAAATGTACTGCAGTTCTGTGCTGCCGAATGGCTCCTCTGCAGAAAGCACAGGTATTTCCTTTTTTTTTTTTTCCCCCCACTAACTGAAGCATGTCATTAAGTGAAATAACACAGCTCTACTCCATAGGATGGACTTGACCTGATCTGCAGGTGGGCTTCAAAACCTGTAGTGAGACAACTTTGCAAATCACGTCTTATCTGGCTTCTTCTTGTTGGGAGGTCAGCTGCCCTCACTGGGCAGTAGATGTCAAAGTCGAGCAAAAGGCTCCTGGAGAGGTGGTGTTGTTCCCCAGGGAGCAGAAAACAAGGCACCTGGCACAGGAAGTCACAAACTCAAAATGCAGCAGTCTTGCTAGAACTGTCTGAGTTACAGATTTGCCAGGAAGATGAAGCAGGAAGACTTTTGGGGCAGTAAAAAAAAACCCCTTCAAGTTGTAGCCCTTTCATTAACAACGTTTCTTTGGTAGTAGCTGATAGATGTAACCGCTGATTATTTCTGTATAACGGTGTGAGGCTACGTTTCCTGCAGTGCTGCTTTAAATAAAGCTTACTCATCTTGATCAGCTAGGACTTCCCCAGGCTGTATATTAGCCTTGTCTGAACTTCAGAGCGTTATGGAAACACACCAGTCTTTCAATTATGAATATAAAACCTTTCTTAAAAACGCTTGCAGGAAGCCACAAGCCCAACCCAATTAGGAATAAACAAAACCCATTTGTTCTTTTTCTTCCCTTTCCAACTCTGTAGTCCATGACTTCCTCACACCAGCTGATGATAAAGGATGATTAAACAGTGCATTCTTAACCCTGTTCCAGGGTGTGATTGTCTTCCATGTGAAATGCGTGAGAGGCCACATCTCTGTGAGAGAACAGGGCCTGAGAGGGGGGAAGGAGAGGCTACTGCTGGTAGTAATTTGTTTCTAAATGCTGTCCTTCAGCCCTGTGAAGCTGAGTCTTGGCTTTTCCTCTGGTTGATGCTTGCTAAGGAAATAGTGAGGGTGTTGATTAATCTGAACTCTTATTTCGTTGCCACAGAGCTAGGTTACTTGTTCAGGAGTATCTGGGGAGTTGCAGAGGTCTCTGGAGGTGAAGTATTTTTCAGTGTGGGTTTTTTTTTGTTTATCTTCTACTGAACTTTTGGTTTGTGCTGCTATCCTGTTTTAAATCTTTAGATTGTGCGCATGGTGAAGAACACAAAAGGGAGCCCGATAACACTATCGGTAGGGGACGGTGCCAATGATGTTAGTATGATTTTGGAAGCACATGTTGGAATAGGTAAGAGCCCTGATACACCCATCTGATACCTGGGGCTTCTGTCAGGCTGTGTTGCTTACGTTCACCGTTGTAACTGATGGCATGTGGCTGAACCAATCCCACTTGGCAGACTGGGGAAGTCACCTGCTGCTTTCAGAAGGCTTTTGGTCCAGACCAGTGCTTGGGATCAGGGTAGGCTGCTGCCTTTTGATAGGCACGTGCTCTTTGTCTTTACCATGTGGTTTACTGCAGATTGCTTCTTACACTTTAGTTCCCTTTGGTGAAACAATGGGGTTTTTCTGCTGTCTTCTGTGCAGGCAAAAGTTGAGTCTATCTTAAATGAAACTGGTAACTTCCTCTGACCTTTGCTTCGCTATTAAATTCAGTGCTGAGAGTTTTGGTGGGATTGCACCTACTCATCTCAGCTGAGCTGAAGCAGGCATTTGTCCTTTACCCAAGTACTGCAGGAGCCTGGCAGCTCTGATTGCAGCTGCAACGTGTGCATCTTCCTAGGGCTGATGCTGGGCTGTGCTGTGCCTGCCCTGCCCAGATGCCTGATATCAGGCTGGAAAACTGCTGAATTTCATATCTGAATTTCTGCAGATTGTTGTCAGAGATTGTGGAAGAACTGACAGTTTTTCAAGTACCACTGAAGAGGCAAGGATGTCCTTTCTTTTCTAACCACCCTCTTTATTTCTGACTGTTAGAAATGGCATGTCAGCCTCTAATGAATAGAATCCTTCACTGTAGTTAATTTGGATGTGGTTTTTGAGTGAACAAAACTGGCTTTCTTGTGCTTTGCTCTGAGGGGGATCTCTTGGGAGGCTGAGCTTCTGCAGTGTAATAACCGCACTGCTAGATGTGGGCAGGCCTGGGGGAAACCTTATCTTGTATCAGGTTTATCTGAGATGCTCGTCACCACATGCTCCTACATAAGAACTCAGTTAGCAACCTAAGTTCAGGTTAAAAACTCCAGAGGAGGGTCTGATTGTCACAGAGCCAAGGCCACACCAAGTCTTGCAGAGCTTTAGCGTTGCTCTCCCAGTGGCTCCCAGGGTCAGTCCCAGTGGCTGGGTATGCAGGGTGACAAGGACATGTCTGAAGTGTGAAAGTCTTAAAAAACCACAAAGGAAATACGGCCTTTGTCATGGCCTGAAGCATTCAATTATGTGACCAAATTTCACAAGTAGCACCAGTGTAAATTTCAGTCCTTGCCTTGCTTTTGTCTCCAGGTATAAAAGGCAAAGAAGGACGTCAGGCTGCAAGAAACAGTGACTACGCTGTTCCAAAGTTTAAACACTTAAGAAAATTGCTACTAGCACATGGGCATTTATATTATGTGAGAATAGCACACCTTGTACAGTATTTCTTCTATAAGGTAAGGATGTGTGTTCAGCTCATTACTTTTGTTTTCACCATGGGTTTCTTTGATGATAGAAATAGTGTAAAATGGAAAGATGATGTATAGGACACTGTTCTGTTCATCTGGGGTGGGTGGGTGTCTCCCGTGTGCCTGCTAGTTGAAAGCCCTATATGTAGGGGAATGTGAGAGCGTGACTTTCTTCCCTTGTCTTCTGCTGACGCTACAAGCTTACTGGAACAGCGTAGAGCTTGGTAGAAAACAGTGTCCTGCTTTATCTGATAGTACAATATCAGATAATACTATCTGAAAATGGAAAAAATTATTGGATCTAGAGTGAGAAGTCAAGCATTCACTAAACTCATGAATGCTTCCCTGCTAACCTTTCTTTTTTCATTTCTCTAGAACCTTTGCTTCATTTTACCACAATTTTTATACCAGTTCTTCTGTGGATTCTCACAGCAGGTAACTTTCAGTAATGTGTCTAAAAAGGCAGGATAAAAAGCCAGTTACACAGCAAGGCTTCCTAGCAGAAGCTTGACTTTTGGTCATCCCTGCACCTCCTCGTCTTTCTTTGGATGACAGTATGAGTTGACCTCCTTGCTCAGTACCATGTTTCTGAGACTTGCAATTAAAAACAAATAAACAAATTTCCTTTCCTTTCCCATCCATGACCCATTTTTGTTGCTTAAACATGAATGGAGACCTTCCCAAGGTATCAGGGAGGTGTCATAGCTGGTTTGCCAGCACCTAATTTTCCTACTTATACTCTGGAAAGTCTTTCAAAGACTTCCTGTTCTTCTCTCATCGGCTGCATTTCCCTGTACTAAAAGTGTCTTTCAAAAAGAAGAACAATTTGTTCTTTTGTAACATCCTTTAAATAAGACACATGATGAGTGTCATCACTTAGTCCAGATGAGTGTCAGACGGACAGACCTCTGACAGATGGGCTTAGGTGCTTGGAGACAGTAGCTGTGGCATTTGCTTCTGTTTTCTGTCTGCTTGGTCTTAAAAGTGTAAGAGTTTGTTCTCTGCCTGCCTCAGCAAAACCACTTTTTTATTAAAAAAAAACCAAAAAAAAGCAACAAAACACTATAGTTCCTCTTAAAAAAAAAAAAAAAAGTCTTTAGAAAGTCACAGGAGACATCAAGTGCATTAATAGAAACAGCAGCACAAGAGCAGCTACAGAAAAGCTGCAGTAAAGGCTGTTTTATGACGTTGTTGTGGAGGTCGTGCTGGAGCCCAGACAGGCACAGAGCGTGGCCCACATCTGTGACAAAGGGATGAGTCCACGTGGTGGGTACAGAGACAAGGGCTGGAAACTACAAATCTGTCTCAGGGAAGGCTTTTCAAATGGGATTTCTGACTCTCTTTACCCTTTCTTTTCAGCCACTCTACGATGCTGCTTACCTTACCATGTACAACATCTGTTTCACATCTCTCCCCATCCTGGCTTACAGCCTCCTGGAGCAGCACATCAACATTGACACACTGACCTCAGATCCACAGCTGTACATGTAAGTCACAAGGGGCTGGGTGGGCCTCAGTGCACTTTAAGCTTTGTTGGTGCAGGGCACAGTCCATCGGGGTGGTTTGAGCCAGCATACCTGCCTTGTGATAGGAACAGGGTAGCTGTGGAACTGCAGAAAGGCTGTTTATATCCCCAGTGCTTTGTGTTAGAGCTGAGCAGTGTCCTATGTATTGCCTATTTCTGTTTACGCTCTTTAATGGTATCTGGTCCAGCAAATCGCACTTCTGTCTGTGTAAAGAAAAAACAAACTGCAGATGGAACTCTTCATCCACAGGTAAAAGCAAGCTGCAGGTCTGGCAAGAGCATTCATTGTGTTAGCTCTGAGCTGAGCAGTGTGAGCCAAGCACTTCCTGGAGCACGTAATGGATGAGGAAATCTAGCTTTGGGAAGAAAAGAGATCTGTTCATTTACAGGAAGGTGAATGCTGCTGAAGTCCGGCTCAGGCAGGCAGTTCCTCAGCTTCTGTAGGTGGATAAATGCCCCAAAAGCCAAATCCTCATTTCAGAACATGAGAGCTGAAAACTCTGTTCTCATAATTACCTCCACATTGCCATGGATTGCACTGTGTAAGGAGAGATGGTCTTCATCTCTTGTGCTGGTATATTTCTCTCCTTCCTTGGTTGCAACTTGGGGGTATTCCTGACCCCCTGTGAGACCTCAGATGCTTCCAATTTCCCCCACCCCTTTCCACATATATACCTGGGTGCAGCCTTTCAGGCAGCAGGTGCCTAAAGGTATTATTTATGAAATAACTGCTCAGCTCTATGGTTAAACTTCTGAGCTCCTCCAGCCATGTAGCAAAATGCACGTATTTTCAAATACGTTTGTAATTGAATCTTGTGCAGCACAGACCAATAATAGCAGGCTCCTGTGCTCTCACCTGCAGGCTGTCTGATCACTGGGGTGTGTGAATTGAGGGAAAACAGATTAATTGTGCATTTAGATAGCTTCAGTTTGAATATTCATGACTTCTCATGTGCTGCTGAATACAGAATGACTGCTGTGCCTCTGCTGTATAAATGCTGAGTTGCTGCAGTGCAGATCTCTCATCTGAGGCACAGTAAAAGCCTGTTTACAATGAATGCTGCAGGACATAGATGGGAATGCAAAATGATTGCATTGAACAGGTTCTTTGCATTTTCCCTTCTTGCAAAAAAAATAGCTCTTAGTAAGGAGTACAGACAAATCAGACTGATCCCAAAGTACAGTATGTTAGAGAATTGTCACTGCAGTACAAGGGATTCCAGTAGGGTTTTGCTTTAGAAATTGTATTTACAGAAGCTCAGCACCATGCCTGCTTTCAGAGTTCATCTTGCTTCAGGTAGTTGTAGTTAGGAAGACAAAATGAGAAGAGAGGATTTTTGGTTTTGCTGTAAACATGCTTTCATCCCTCATCAATCCTCAGATTTTAAGGAGCAGCATCTGAAAAGGCAGTGGTGCAAGATGCAGGGAGCTGCTGCTGCCTGCAGCCAGATCTCACTCCTGTGCTCAGCCAGGAGCCTCCTGCTAAACCCCCATGCTAAAACCCACGGAGTGATTCAGGGGGTTATTTTCAGCCTATGCAGAAAAACCACCAGGAATGAGATTTGCAGAGCTCTCCCAAAAAATTTTGTTTGTGGGCTCAACAAAAAGAGGGAAGCGTACCACAGATTCACCACATCTCTTCAGCACAGCCCTGGCTTTGAAATTCAGAAGTATGGAAGGGCCGAGGAAGCACAGTGGCTATGGAAAAGGCATGGGGCAGAATTTGGCTTAGCTCAGACGGGGCTGGGATTTTATCTGCATCGTGTACAGAAGGATAAAAAATAATAATCTCTTGAATATCTCCTGATTATTATTTTTTTTAAATGATCAGCAGCCACACAGAGCAGATGTTGTTTATGTCCTGCGTGCTGGCAGATAGTTGGGTGTTTTACCTCTTTGTTTCCTGCAGCAATGCCCACATCAAACCCACAGAAACGCAGGGCTTTGCAGCAGGTCCCACGTGACAGTGATTTTTGTTCTTGCTTTCTTGGCAGGAAAGTTTCTGACAACGCCATGCTGCAGTGGAGGCCTTTTTTGTACTGGACCTTCCTGGGCGCCTTTGAAGGACTCGTGTTTTTCTTTGGGGTTTATTTTCTTTTTCAAAATTCATCGTTGGAAGATAATGGAAAGGTAACAACACATCCTCCCCCAAAGAAGAGAAGGCTGAGTGTTTCTTTTGTGCCCTGCTTCTCTTATCTGCCTGACAGCACATATCTACATGCTTAAGCTGTGCGATGTGTCCGGCGGTGTAGCATTGCTTATGCTTATGGTGTGATTCTGCAGCAAGTGCTTGAAACGTTTTCCAAATCACCATGGCAACAGTGCAGCGGTGATCGTGCTCTCTAAGTACAAGAACTGGTCTTACAGCAGATTGGTGCTGCCTGGTGCTTTGCCCAGGGCAGGGCATCAGTGCAGCTGTACACACAGTGTTCTGTGCTGTCCTGGGACACCTTTTACCAAAGGGAGGTGTTAGCAGGGCTCAGCTGATGGAGACCTTCCTGACACCATCACTCGTGAGCTTGAAAACACCCCAGCTTTTGTTCTTTTAGGGGACAGCACACGGAGGAAAGCTGAGAATAGCACGTGTTGCATCAGTGCTGACGTTCATGGCCCCAGCTATGTGTAGTCATGCTCTTGTGTTGTAGATGCCATGCCTTTCTGTATTTATAGCCATTCTGGTTGCGTATGAATAGAACACGTAAGCCCCGATGTGTTCTGCAGATGCCTTGAGAGGCCAGGTCTGTGTGGCACTCACATAAGCCCTGTGGTTTTGTCCTGTTTTGTAAACACTTATGCTTGTAAGAACTGCTACCAGCAATTGTTCATAATATCCATGTATGTTTGACTCCTTTTTCGCTCCTATTGACTTTTTTTTTTGCGTTTTTTAAAAACTTTTACATTTCACTTTCTGTTTTAATGTATGCATCCAGATCTTGACAGCCTTTGGTAAGCATCTGTCCCATTCGTTGCCATCATTTGGATTTATATACAGTATCTGCTTTTCTTTGTGCATAGTCACTAGTATCCACAAACCAAACCGATGCATTCTCACGCAGAGAATTACCCATTGGTGCATCCTGCAACTGGGACTGACCCAGCACAATCAGTAGAGGTGCTGCGGTGGTTCTGTGTTACGAGAAAGCAGAAACTGAGTCAATTACCAAGAAATCATGAAATAGAGGTGGTCCCAATGACTTGTGTTCTCGATCAACATTGCTGTTAGTAGGAGGCTGTGTCTGTGGCTGTCACAACGCCAATCACTTGTCTGTGGTAGTGCATGGCACAGGGTTAGTGTAGCCAAGTCCTGAGTAGCAGTCGCGCCATTCCTCCGTCCCCTCTGCTCCCTGCTTGCACTGTGTCGTCATTCCTTTCTGTTCTTCCCTAGCCAAGTGGGTAGGAGCACATGTGACAACACACTTTGTCTTCCAGGTTTTTGGAAACTGGACCTTTGGGACGATTGTTTTCACTGTGCTGGTGTTCACCGTCACTCTCAAGGTTAGATTCTGCCCTTCTTCTCCAGTCTCTTTTTGCAGGTGTTCTTGAACGTGTGCTAAATACCCTGTGTGATAAATATGTTGAAGATCATAGAATCATAGAATCTCCAAGGTTGGAAAAGACCTAAAAGATCATCCAGTCCAACCGTTCACCTATTCCCAACAGCTCCCACTAAACCATGTCCCTCAACACAACATCCAGCCTTTCCTTGAACACCTCCAGGGTCAGTGATTCCACCACCTCCCTGGGCATCCATTCCAGTGCCTGACCACCCTTTCTGAAAAGTAATACTTCCTCATGTCCAGCCTGAATCTCCCCTGCCGTAGCTTGAAGCCATTCCCCCTGGTCCTATCACTGATGACACGAGAGAAGAGGCTGACCCCCAGCTCACTACAACCTCCCTTCAGGAAGTTATAGAGAGCAGTGATGTCTCCCCTGAGCCTCCTCTTCTCCAGGCTGAACATTCCCAGCTCCTTCAGCTTCCCCTCATATGGCCTGTGTTCCAGTACCCTCACCAGCTTTGTTGCCCTCCTTTGAACACGTTCCATGGCCTCAGTATCTTTCTTGCAGTGAGGGGCCCATGCTCCCAAAGCATGCCCAAGATGCTTTTATGAATACCTTTCCTCCCAACACTTCCATCTTCTGTTTGCCGTACACGCAGGACATAAGTGGCTTATTGACTGTTGGGTTATTGACCATGCAGAGTGTGCTTATGCACAAGTGCTTATGTTCTGCTAAATTATTTACACATTTTTTGCCTTCTTCTGAGTACTCCAGTTGATTGCATTTTATTTTATTTTGCTTGGCTTTAAGCTTGAGAACAACCAAGCATTTGGGTTTGCCCACCTTGTTTCAGCTGCTGCTCTGCACCGTGAGAAGAACATTTGTCAGAAAAGGACATTTGTCAAACAAGCATAGCAAAACTGCTTTGTTTCATGGAGCTTTCCAGAATGAACAGTTTGCATCAGGCCTTACAAAAGATCTTTTATGTTTGGTTCAGGACAGCAGGTGGTGGCAGAAGGCAGTTGCAGTGACTGCAACCTTTACACAGTCTTTCTAGCATCAGAGATTGTATCAAGCTTATTCTGTTAAAAACTCTCAGCTGCAATTGGAAACTGTTTCCCTGTCACTAGTGTTCCAGTCTGTAGGTGTTGAAAATATTTCCCTGGTGTACATATGCAGAGAGGTGGCTGACTGGAAGACTGCAGCCTTATTGTGAAAGGAAACATGGGTACAGTTGAATACATGCTGCTTCTAATACCTGTTCTGCCTGGTGTTGTTTTTTGTTCTGTTTACACAGCTAGCTTTAGACACTCGATTCTGGACGTGGATGAACCACTTTGTGATCTGGGGCTCCCTTGCCTTCTATGTGTTTTTCTCGTTCTTTTGGGGAGGAGTCATTTGGCAAGTATCTTTTCCTTCTGTGGTACTTTCTTAGGGGATGCCCATCATGTTCTTTGTGAGGAATGTGACTGCAGCTCCCCTCATTTTGTCTGTCAGAAGATTTATAGAGATGTCAGAGTGTTCGTGACCATGATGAGCATGTGTTGATGTTGAGTGCCAGGCACAGCAGATAGTAGCAATAGGCAATGAGGATTGGGGTTTTTTTACATCATCAGATGGCATATTCTAGTGCTGCCGTGGTGGAGAGAAACCTGGTGATACAAAAAGAAGGAACAGAAGAGGAGAAAGAAAAATGGAGCATGTGAGCTATGGCAGCAAGCATCGTAAAGGACTGAAAGGTGGATGGGTCAGGGAGGAGGAGGTAGCTGTGGCCTTAGAAACTTAGAAAAGGCAATTTGCTGTTGAGAGAGGTCTTGAAAATTGGCAGTGAAGGTGGGTCAGGGATTATAAGAGGGCTGAGATCAGCAGTTCGTAGTGGTTGGCTGGGGAGAAGAAAAAAGCCACAGGGAGGAACAGTGGGTAGGCTGAGAAGTAGGGTGAAAAGTCTGCATGGAGAAGCATTAGAGGAGACCCAGAAGGTTGCTGACAGCCCTCCAGAATTAGCACAGCTGGGAGCAGGAGATGGATGGGGAGCAGAGTGGGCAGCCTGTGTCTGTCTGTGTTTGGCAGGGAGGTATTAGTGCCAGCACCTTGATCCCAGTCTGACCTAGTTGGGAAACACGTGGGGCTGATGGTATTAACCACAATCTATTTGTATCCTTTCTTTTTCAGGCCTTTCTTGAAACAACAAAGAATGTATTTTGTATTTGCTCACATGCTGACTTCTGTTTCCACGTGGCTGGCAATAATTCTGCTGATCTTTATCAGCCTTTTCCCAGAAATTCTTCTAATAGTTTTAAAAAGTATAAAAGAGAGAAGTCATCAGGTAAGGAACAAGATGAAATATTGCACAGTGTTTTTACAAAGGCCTCTCCTATTAAGGACCAGATGAACTGTGTGCCATTCATGTCTCAAGAATGGCTTTCTAGAGTCTCATCTCGCTCGTTCACATGCCAGAGATGTCAAGAAGTTCATCTAAAAATACTGCCTAGATCTCTAGCAAAGAGAGACTCTACGAGTGCCTTTCTTTAGTTGTGTAGACTGGAATGGAAAACTGCTGTCTGCGCAGTATCCCTTCACCAACCCAATCTGATCCAAACCACTGTGTTTAGTGCTGAAACAAGCTGCTTGTTTTTGTGTCAGTATACCCAAGATGTTCACTAGGGCTGTATCCTGCAGGTGCCAGGGAGAAGCTGGTCAGGGAGGTGCCCACCCCCTAATGACCCAGTCCCCATCCCTCAGGCAGCATCCCCAGGTGGCAGCATCCCTGCAGACCCATCCCCAGGCAGCACCTGCTCCCCCCAGCCATGCCCTGTCGCTCTGTCCGCTCGCCTCCCTCCTGCTCCTCTCCCTGCTGTGGTTCCAGCAAGTTCTGCATTGGGTGCTGCCTGCCTCTGCTGGCCTCCAGGCACCACTCTGCATTTCCCTGGGCAGTGGCGGAGCAGGCCCAGCAGTGTGGCTGCAGGGGGTTCTGCTGCTTCTGGCCACGTGTCTCCTCTGTTACTTTTGCTTCTTTTATACTTTTTAATCAAGCTTATCTTCTCGAAATATCCAATGAAATCATAAAGTTTCTTTTTCCCTCATAATCTTCAAAGTACAACTTTGCCCACGGTGTCAGCGAAGTAAAATATGTATCTGCAAGACCAGAAACACCACCACCTAAACTACTGAATTTGAGAGCAATACAGATGGTAAAACAATTGCAGCTAAATTCTTCCCAGCTCCATGATATTTCTCCCTTCCTCTTAAGTACAGTTCAGTAGTATCTGAATTGACAGTTTCTAAATTGGGCAGGATGGGGATGACTTGCTGTCAGCTGCAGCCATAGGGCAGTCTGAGGTCTCTGTCCCAGAAGGGGGATCTGGAGTTTACTGAAACCCAGCTGAGCTCTTAGAGGCCCATTTTGCTTCCAGCTCTTAGCCAGATCCATTCCCACTTAAAATACTTGCTTTCAAGAGTGCTTTAAATGTGTTTAAAAAGGCTCTTGTGAAATCATTTTGTAAATCAACAGTAAGTGTCAACTAGAAAAGTCTCTTCGCATGTGCATACTAAACTAAAGGCAGGCTGAGCCTTATTTAAATGTACATTTCAAGTGAGAGCTTTACAAAATGCCTGAGCAGATGCCAGCTCTAGATGTCTGTGTCAGCTGTCAGATACCAAGCTCGGCAGCACAGGTAGGGGATTTTAAATCAAGACCCTTTTTGAGACTCCTCACTGTAACACTGGAAAACAAATATCAGTTTCCCAAGGGGAGCCTTCAATGAAAAGCCAGATCAGTGCACTCATTTGGCTTCGTGAGCCCACACCATGAGAGTTCAGGTCCCCTTTGGGAGGAGGGCATGGACCGAAGCCAGGTTGTGGAGCTTGCTCTTAAACTGTAGGGGACTGGGTTTCTGTATGACAGTGCCAGCTTTGCTCACTCTTAATTAAATTTTCTACGTGGAAATGTTTTGGGGCTTTTTTGTTGTGTTTTTTTATTTGTTTGTTTGTTTTTAACTGCAAGGCGCATTCTTATTTTCTTTGGTTTCTGCCTTTCTGTCTTGTACTGCAATTTTCTGTCTTTTGTGCTGTTGTGAACTAGGTAACGAAGCGCCTTCCTTCCTCAGGAACATCCACTATCTTCATGCTTTCTCAAACTTCCAGCAATCACAGCTTTTCTTGGAGTGAATAAGGTGATTTCCCCTCTGAGCCAGTATGTGCTGCTTACTCTTCTGCTTCCTCCTTCTAATGCATTGCTGCTCAAAAACCTGTGTTTAGATTTGCTCACCTGGCAAGAGCTTGCTTTCTCCTCCACACCTACTGCTTTCATTTAAATCTTTTGCTTAAGTGTTTTGTCTGTCTCCCCTATTGGTCCCTGCTGTGGGTGCACACCAGCTGGGCTGAGCTGCTCATGCCCAGCACCTGCAACATGGGTGCAGGTGGTGCTTCCGTGCCCAGCGTCCCCAAGGTGCTCAGGGAACCACAGGCAGGCATTGCTCACAAATTTGGGTTTACCCCGGCCCTTCAGATGAGGCACATTGTGCCTGCTCATGGAAATCAGTGCTGCTACATCATTTAGGTTGGTTTTAGAGGGCTAGATGCTACTTCCTCCAAGGCATGGAGCAAAGTGGGCTCTGTTTTGTTTTCTGGATGATTTGGCAAACAGCTCATGCTTGCTTGATCTCAGAGGAGCTTCCCAAGTGCCCCAGTTGCCCTGTACATAACTCTGTTATCACTGCAGCTGTTCTGTATACAAGCACTAAGCCACAAGTGGCATTCCCTGGCTTGCTGCCTACAGAGGGTTTCCCGCAGGCCGAGCACCTCGAACACAACGCATCCCTGCTGTCACTCACTGTTACAAAACCACCAGTTGTGAGGAAATCAAGGCAGGCTCCTCCTTGAAAGCAGCTGTAGTATAAACCTCAAAGCCTGAAGGGAACCATTTGGGAAGCGGTGCCACTTGCACTGAAAACCCAGCCCGTATGATCACGGTGGTATTTAGGGAGCGTGTGGTGTTACATCCGTGTGGAACAGCATAGCTGGCTGCAAGAAGCGTGAGTGTGTCTGCTGTTGTTGGACAGCAGCAGGGTAACGTGTCACATGTGCTACAAGTGTTTTTGCCTCGCTGTTGCAGAGCAGTAGGAAGGCGCCCAAGTCGTCCAGACCTTCTGTCACACCACTTCTTTTAAGAACGTTCTCAGATGAGTCTAATGTGTTGTAACAGGTACCCTGCCCTAAGGAGTTGGGGTGGTTTTAAAAGGCATTGATTAACCAAATGTAATCCCCAAATCAATTAAGCTGTGGTTCTCGTAATCCTCTTGATTGTTGGTGTGGGGCACCTGTCTGTGATACGGAGATGCAATGCTTGGGATGCATTTTAATTTGGGGATGTGTCCTACTCTTCAGAATCCTGTATGTGCACAGATCTGCTCGATCCAAAGCACTTTGCTTTATATAAGCAGATCCTTCAGTATAGCCAATATTCTGATCTAACATTAACAGCATGAGAAAACAGATTTGGGCTGTAAAAGCGCTCATGTACTTGCAGTGGAGTATTCAAGTCTAAGCTATTAAAATGATTCCAAAATTGCATCTGAATAGTATAAAAATCCCATTTTCTATGGTGCATGCTGTTGTGTCAGATAGAAATGAGTACATTTTAATTCATCTGAATAGACTGAAACTAAGTGTGTACCTGTCTGTATGTCAGCATAACGTACAGCAGGCATGGCTCTGTGTCTGTATGCAGCTACACACACAGGGAGCATCCTACTGTGCCATTCTAAACATCGTAGTAAGCCACCAGCTGCCTTCTTGCTGCAGAGAAATAAAAGTGCCTGACTGAATTCACAGCCTACAGGTGAGACATGATGTGGCTGCGTGCTGCCAGCTGCAAACATCAACACAGGGATTTTCTGTAACCCCTTCCTCTGCACACATGGCAGCCTGCAGAGAGCCCACTTTATAGGGAGGGCAGCAAGCAGCTGCACGGCTGCCAAACTTCAGTCTGGGTGCTGCTGGGCTCCACGCTGCTTTCTGCAGCCCGTGCAGAGTCCTTCACCCTCCCATTCGGCTGTGAGTGAGGTTTGGCACTTTTATTGTGGGCTAATCATTCTTCTTCTCCCTTTATTTATTTGTTTTCTCCTTTCTAAAATATGCCAAAAGGCTTACTGTGGTTTTGGGAATGTGACAATTGCAATATATGTGCGTTTTCCTTCTGATTTTTGCAGACTGGCATCTTTGATCTGCCTATATTAGTGTCATACAAACGTATAGAGAATGGTTATGTGAAGACTGAAGATGCTCTTACTAATCTGGCAGAAAGATATCCTCTCAGGATACTTTAAAATGCTCCATCCAAATAGTGCAATTGTTATCCTGCAGGAAAATGTACCGGTTCTGTTGAGTATTACCAAGCTCTGTAAGCAGCCATGCTGACAAAGCAGTAGCCAGGCACTGGCCACAGTAGCTGTTCATCTTTGGTCTTGTTGCTTCCCCCCCTGAAAAAAAAAAAAAAAGAAAAAAAAAAAGAAAAGAAAAACATAATTCTGCCAACTCAGAAGTCTGTGTAATTGGAGACTGAGAAAGCATCTTTTGGAATTCTTCAAAAGCAGCATGATCAGAGTGAGAGCAATGCCTCCCCACGTCACACGGGGGCTTCCTCCGACCGCTGCAGCTCTGCCCGAGAGCAGCAGGGAGCTGCCGAAGCCTCTTGCTTTGCCTGACCAAAGAAGTAGCACAGACTCTGAGCCCAGGTGCTGGGCATCCTCCTGCAGCTGCTTGATCCTCCGTGCTGCTGGGCTTTCTCTTGGCAAAAAGTGAAGGAAGGAAACGTGCCGGGACTGCTTGTGGTAAAAGGAAATTTCATGGGGAGGGAAGAGCCTGAATGCTGGGCTGTGCCACGCTTCCAGCCCGGCTCTCCTGGTTGCTGTGGCTGTGCTGACATTAATGCAGTGAGCAGCTGCCGAAATGCTGCGGATTTCTGGTGGCAGTGTGTCCTCAGCCAGCTGCAGGGACGTGGATGGTGCCAGTGAACTTGTGGGCATCACACTGCATCTTGAGTTATTTGCACTAAGAAAAAAGAAGTCGGTTTTAAAATAAAAGGAATACGTGGATTCATTTTACACTTAATTTGGTTTTTAATTGGCATGTTCTTTTTAAATCTACCTTTAGCAAGGACTTCTACCTTTAGGTTGGTGCAGCAGAGATGAGGTGCCCGACCCTCAGACTTCTCAGACATCCAGAAAAAGCAGCTTTTTCACTCTCTTGAGCCTTGAGCAGTTTTGGAGTGCCCTGCGTTCCAGCACCCTGCATGGGAAGGTGCTCTTTGCACTGCCTGCCCCTTGCCCTGCTGGGGGCTGCCGTGGAAATACTGTGGTGAGCGCTCACTCACCTCTGCCTGCAGCAGATTCTGCTTCGCTTCTGTGTGAAGAAGTGATGAATTATAGCCAGATCAATCATTCCCTTCTTCAGATTTTGCTAAGGAACGGACTGTTAGTTGTCTGAAGAATCAAGTCTCGTGCTGTCTGGCTGCGGAACTCATGGTTTTGTGCTGTGAAAACAGGATGTGGATCAGCTGCAGGCATGCCTGCATACACAAGTTCTCAGCCTGTGTGGGAGAGGGCTGCAAGTGCGAGGAGCAGAGGGGTATGCACAGCCCCTGGGGCTGCCCTGCAGGACATGGACATGGACAGGTCTGCTGTATTATTTACTCTGCACCAGCCCAACGCCAGCGCGGTCACCTCGACAGTGACTGCAATTGCACCCCTTGCTGCATGCAAGCCAGGAGCTGTGCTCCCAGCATGTGTCCCATGGGCAAAGCTTTTTTCTTTTCCTTTTTTCTAGCTCGTCCCGCAGACCTACCATTCAACTTGCAGCCCTTGCCCGATTCTCAACTTTTACTGCTAAAACGTGGTGCCTGGAGATCAAGTATGCGATGAATACAATGAAGATGCTCTATATGCCAAATCTAACCTTTCTCCTTAAATATACAGTTGCTGACTTGTGTTTACATAACCTTTAAAACACAGGCGCTGAAAAATGCAATTCCTGTGATTCAAAACCATTCCAAGCCCTGGTGGTCCCAAGCCTGACAGCCCGCTTCTCAGTTTGCTTTATCTTGTGTTCTTCTTGGGTCAAATTCTCTTCCTGTGAGATGCAGCTGGAAGCCTTGCTGTTAGGTTAGGGGGAACATGGACGTGTGATGTCCAAATAAAGCCACTGCACCAGGCCGATGGCTGCAGGCTGTGCTGAGATAAAGCCTTCTTGGAACCAAATTTCTATTGTCATTTCCAAGTGCCCGATATCAGTCTGGAGCAAACTGTTGCTGCTGCTGTGCATCCAACTCCCAAGGCATGCATGCTGAAAAGTAAGTTGGTACTAATGGGAAATGTTATGAATAGCAGCTCCTTTGGGGAAAAGCAGGTTTTCTTGGGCTTGGATCTCCAGCTGGCACACAGGTGTAGCTCCACAGACCAGCAGAGGAACTGACCCTATTTTAGCAGCAAGAGCAGAACGGAAATTTTGGTTGTGGATGTATCATGAAATTTCAGGAGAAACAGGAAATCTATGCTGGAGTCATGAGAAGGCAAAGGAAGGTGGTGGTACCAGCTGGAGGGCATCAGCCAGCAGGACGGGGAAGCAGCAGTGATGCGGTGGTAATGCTGTGATCATTATTCAGATGCCGTAAGGTGAGCTGCACTGTTACGGTGCTCATTAGGGAGCTGGAAGGCCAGTACAGGCTTATCGGTGGGGAAACTTGAAGGAAAACGGCTGGGGGTCTTCAGATCAATCCCCTGAAGTTTATTCACTGGCTAGTGACACTGAAAGATAAGCAAAGTAATGAAGATTCCCTCTAAAAATGTAATGTGATAATGGAAAAACGTGGTGTAGTCATAGCTGCTTGTCAAAAACTAATCCTAATTGTCATGAGAATATTATAAATGACTGGGAATTGCGTACAGGCTTGAAATTGAATTTGTATAAACACTTACTGTTGAAAACCTTACCTAATACTGCACCATTCATCCGATTTCCCAGCTATGGATTTTTTTTTACATACAAACATGCAGTGTATACAAAGTGTAAATGATATACAGGCAATGAGAAGATACATTTTCAGCTTCTTGCAAAAAAAAAAAGGACTGCGACCTTACGTTTTTTTCACTTTAATGCAATTTTATACATTTATGTTGCTTTATATAAAAGAAACTGAATGTGAATGTTACCTTTTATGAATGCAACTTGCTCTTTTTTCATTACGGAAACTTATGTTTGAAGTAATCAATAAACTTTGGTATGTTGTTCTGATTAATACAACATTTTGTTTTGTCTCCTTGGCCTCCCTGGCTGCGGTTTGCACCACGGGGGGGATTTTGAAGGAGGTCTGAGATGCTGACACGGCTGGGCTGGGCTCATCGCAGTGATGCTGTGCTGAGGGACCACTGGTTGGTTCTGTGTTGTTTTTTGTCAGCACAGTATTGGCAGTGCTGTTGGTAACAGCACGAGGATTTTTTCTTAATGCTCTGCATTGATTCTGTTTTATGGCTACTCGGAACAAATTAACTTCTGTTGTTATTTATTTTCACTTTTTTTGCTGTTTTTTGAGCTCAAAGGCTAGAAACACGTAAATGAGGGTTATTTTGTGGTTGGTGAGGTGCATGCAGCTAGTGAAGTGCAGGGCAGCTGTTTCCATGGATGAGACTCCACTGATGCAATTGGTTCCAGCAGGTCTCGTGGTGCTGGTGTGAGGCACAAGACAAACGCATACTTCTTAGGACACGTGTCTGATCCAAGCTGAAATGTTCGTAATGAAAACTGACAGCCAGTGTAAAAATTCTGTTTTGGCTGCTTTGATTTCTCCAGCTCCCATGAGGCTCTGCGGGACAGATGGCTGTGCTATTTAAAACAAACTATAACCTTTAAGAAGAAGCTGGTACTATTGGAAACTGGATACACGCATTGAGCCTCTTCATAGCTGACGTGGAATGGTAGTGAAACTTGGCTGGAGGGCTGCAGGCGAGTAGTCAGAGTGAGTGTGGTGCTCCACCAAGCTGCAAATTAGCATTTAAAACATCTGTGCACCACTTCACCTTAAAATGGAGATTGAGTACTACTGCAATTGTAAGGCAGTTTTCAGCAAGGAGGGCCGCTGTGCTGAGGGTTGGGATGCTGACAGGAGGGCTGGAGGTGTGCTTGCACCCATGGTGTGCGCAGTGCCAACCTCTGTTCTGTTCTCTGCTTGGAGCTTGCTGCTAGCACCGTGTCTGCTGGTAACCTGCTGAGCTGGAAAATATGCTGTGGCCTGCAGGAAGGGTGTGTGGGCACCCGTGTGTGTGTGTGTGTGTGTGTGCTCCGTCCAAAAGCAGGGGTTAGAGCAATATAGCCTGGCTCAAGCAGAGAAAAAGATGTGGGGAGAGCATGGAGGAGTCCTTTACTTTTTTGCACTGGTTCAGCAGGTGAAATAAAATCCCAGTCCTGATGGAAGCAGTGGCATGCTGAGCTGGCATCAGTGTGGCCAGGGTCCCTCCTGGCTGGGCAGGCTCCAGATGACATTCAGCTGGCTCAGGTTTTCCACTTCCCAGCACCACCCTAAGAATTAAATCCGTCTCCTTTTGTCCATCAGTCTGGGTGTGGAGGTGAAAGGCTGGGTTTGTGGCTGGGCTCACAGTCGGCAGCTTGCAAGGATCTGTTGTGCAGAGATGAACCTGCAGAGCTGATGCTGTGCAGTGCAGCAGTGTGCCTGCAGCGGCCGTCCAGGGGCTAGGATTGGGCCAAGCCAGGAAAATACACTGTAGCAATAGGTTTTCCCTGAATTAGAATAAAATATGTGCTGGGAGAAAGAGCTGATTCGTTTATTCAGAACCATCTCCACAGGAGATCCTGTCACCAGGAGGCACAGCCTTAAGACACGCAGGCTTTGGGCCAACGCTCACCTCCTTGTCCAGCCCTCTGCACAGAGGCAGACACAGAGAGACTTTTGGGGGTCTGTAGGAAGCTGGAAGGGTGCTTGGGGGGGGCTACAGCACCTCTGCTGTGGAGATGGCTTTGAACAGAAAGAGGGGAGATGTGTAAGAGGTAGAAGGAAGGAATGCTTTGCTCTGAGAGCAGTGAGGCCCATCCCTGGAAGGCCAGGAGGGCAACGTGGCCCAATTGGAGGTGTGTGCCTTGGGCTTGGAAGCAGAGGATCTTCAAGGTCCGTTCAGCCCAAACCATTGTGTGATGTGCTCTGAGGGGCCTCACTTTGCGTGAGCTGCTGCAGCTGAGGGAAAACAGCCTTTCTGTGATAAGAATACGAGAGGAATGCAGCACAGCTGCCTTTGCACGCTCACAGCCTCGCGCGTGGCTGTTTTATAGCTGTGTTTTACTGCTGTGCCCTGAATTGGGCTTTTTCGATGAGTAACTGCACATGAACTCTTTCTCCTTTTTGTACAAAATGCCCCTTATGGCCAGACAGAAAATGGTTCAAACCCAGCTGAGCGAGGATCTGCTCTAACAAAGAGTGCTGACTGAGTGGGTGGTTTTTCCTTGGAAAATTCTGTATCAGTGCATGGAGGGACAAAGGCTGCTGAAATATGGTGTTTCCATATTACCATCCTTAGACCTTGGGTCCTAAATTAATAGCCCCAGCTGCTGTAGTGTTGGAAAAAGGCTGCTATTATAGTAAAGAGCGTAATTAAAAGGTTGTTTTGGAAAAACAGGAACATCCACTTCTCTGTGCTGGCTTCCTGAGCAGCTCTGGCTGCTGTTGGCAATGAGCTGTCATCGTTTGAACCTCGGCACTGGGACATGAGAACTGCTGGCTCAGGTGGGTGCTGTGTGCTGGTCAGATGCAGCCGTGCATGGCTTAGAATCATAGCATCATAGTCTCACTAAAGTTGGAAAAGACTACCAAGATCATCTAGTCCAACCGTCCAACTTAACCACCAGTACTGCCTGCTATCCACATCCCTCAGTGCTGCATCTCCACGTTCTGTGGGCACCTCCAGGGATGGTGACCCCACCGCCCCCCAGGCAGCTGTGCCAGCGCCCAACCACTCTCTCTGAGAAGTATTTCCTATCATCCAGCCTGAACCTCCCCTGGTGCAACATGAGGCCATTCACTCTTGTAGTGTTGCTGTTAGCTGGGAGAAGAGGCCAACCCTCATCTCGCTACAGCTTCCTTCCAGGGAGCTGTAGATGATGATGTGCTCTCCCTGAATCTCCCCTTTTCCAGGCTGGAACCCCAGTTCCCTCAGCTGCTCCCCACCAGACTGGTGCTCCAGACCCCTCACATTGCCCGTCTCTGCTCACACCCCACAGCACCTCGATGTCTTTCTCTAGTGAGGGGCCCAACACTGAGCACAGCACTGAGGTGCGGCATCAGCAGAGCTGAGTATGGAGGGACGACCACCAGCTGCTCCTGCTGCACTACTGCTGGCACAGTTCTTAGTACTGCTCAAGGAATTTTCTAAAATACTGCTGACTGAGGATCAAAACATGGCACTCTGGGTTTTCGTTCGCTTGTTTGTTTGTTTGTTAGTTTGTTTTGGAGATGGGAGTAAGAGAAGCAGATGAAGTGAAAATCTAGTCTTGCAGTAGGAAACGCAGAAGGCATGACAATGAGAAACAACGACTGCGCTCGGCCTGCGCGCCCCGGGCACCTTCGGGGCCACAGAGCTCCCGACGCGGGCAGCCCCTGCACGGCCGAGGGCGACGCAGCACCGCCGGGCACAACACGGCAGGGCGGGACGCGGGGAGCAGCGCCGGGCAGACGGCGGGGGAGGCGGGGCGGGCGGCCCGTCGGGGCGGGCTCGGGGCGGGCAGGGGAGGCTCCCAGTTCCCCAGCCCCGCCTCGGCGGCGGCGGCGCTCGGGCTCGGGGCGGCGGAGCGCGGCCGGCGGGGGAGCGCTGCCGCGGGGCATGGCCCTGGCGCCGGCCCCGGCCGGGCCCCCGCCGGGGGGTACCTCGGCGGGGGAGATGGAGCGCTACTACTGCCTGCTGCGGGCCGCCGCGCTGCTGGAGGCCGCCGCCGCCGGTGAGTCCCGGGGTGCGGGGATCGGTTCCCTGAAGGACTGCGGGTGCCCGGGGGGCGGCGGGGCGCAGCTGCGCTGTGCTGCCCGCTGCCGCCCGCTGCCCCGCGGGGTTTCGGCTCGGGGCGCCGCGCGGGCTCCGTGCGGACTCGGGGCTGTCCCCGGCGCGGCCCGGGTCTATTTGTGGAGCTGCGCTCACGTTCTTAATGGAGATCATTTAAACGCGGCTGGGTCTATTCCGGGCGGGCACCGAGCGGAGCCCACAGGTGGTAACTTCTCTCGCACGGAAAGTGTGAGTTCAGCAGCGGGATGCGGGCGCGGTGCTGCGGGCGCTGAACTCCGCCTATCCGGGAAGGCTCCGGTGGGCTCTGCACAGGCTGATACGGGGACGCTGGGCTTTTTGGTTCTGTGGGCCCCATTACCGGTGCTGAGTGGCTTCATTCTCTTCAAGGAGAGGCTGTGCCACTCTGTGCTGCTGACATCTCCTTTTTGTTATTGGAATGTGTCGCTCCAGATGAATCTGAAGTGAGGAGATGAGCTTTGATAAGCAGAAAGGTGCCCCCCTCTACAATTTCCCACAGCTGCAACTGAGGAAGGCTCTGTGAAGCCTCAGGATGGTGATGTGCCCTTCCTGAGCTTCCAAAGTAGGAAAGCAGCGGTGTGTGCAGAGCACGTGCAGCTGGTGTCAGCCTCATGCCCCATCCCTGGGCCTTTGGCTCTGCCAGACCCCAAGCCAGGGGATGCCCAGAGCTGCAGGATGTGCTGGGTTGTAGTTCCGTAATGGCAGGGCACAGCCTGACCCGCTGCCCTGGGCTGTACGCTGCTCTTGTGCCTCAACAATGCGTCCTTTGATGGACAATGATCTGCTCATACACTGCAGCATTGACTTCTTTTTTGTTGTTCTGTTTATCTGCGGGGAGAACAGATTTTTGGATTTCTGTGGGGAGGTCTTTAATGGCTGGGGAAGGTGGTGGCATTCTGGGTGACTCCATTGCCACTGGAGGATGCATACTTTGCTGGGAGGTGAAGGCGCTCGTTGCTCCTCATTAGCTCACAGCTGGAGTGTGCTTGGAGCCGTGCCAGGCACAGGAAAGACACACTGACCCAAAATAGGCTTACAGCTCCGTTCCAGTTCCCTTGACCTCTTTGCAAAGACCAGCATAAGGCACGGGAGGAATTGATCAGGAGGAAAGGCCGCAGGTGTGGACTTAGCAAAGCATCCCCTGCTCCTGGGAGCAGCTCTCGGGAATGCTCTCCTCAAAGCACCCTCTGCTCCCATCACACACTGCCCTGTGCCACTCTGCATCTGTGAATGTGATGGGGAAGCACAGAGGTGATCATTGTGACAGAGGATGTCGTTGAATGGCTGTGATAGAAAATACAACAGTCCCAGTCCTCCTTGTGCTGATGTTGGTGACGGAGCACCCACAGTGCTTGCACAGGGGCTGCTGGCACACGAATGGGGCACAGATGGTGTTTCGTAGGAGCAGGATACTGGGGGGATCCTGGTGAGCTGCTCTTGGCAGATGACCTCTGTAATATCAGAATGTCTCCCCAAAGGCACAGCTGTATGACTAGAGCCGCACAGTCTGGACATATGATGTAGGATATGCATAGATTCTTAAGACGAGGCATGAAAAAAGATACGAAATTGACTAAAGTTGCCCAAAGTCATGAGATATTATTAAATCGGGAGGTTTATTCCCTCCTCACTGATTTTTGAGCCTTATCTGGGGTTGTGCTTTATTTCTCTTTATACATCAGTACTGGAAACCTGTTGCTTATTTCCAGCACAAGGTGATTTACGCCCTCCCATATTTGCCATACAGTTTGATGCACACATCCCAAGGATTTTGGAGCTCTTCCTTCCTTGACGGAGCCTTACACGTGTGTAGAGCTCATGCCCTGTGGAAGCAGAGTGCTGTTGTCACCCGACCTGCCCCGGTGCTGCAGGGGATGTGGGACGCTGGCAATGGGGCCAGGGAACGTGGGATGAGCTTCCTCTCCATCAGTCACGTTTGCTACAACTGTGGTTTAACCGTTCATCATTCATGTGCAATGACAGAAGTGACAGCAGGGCTGTGTGGGAGGGGAGGAACCGAGGTGTTAAACGGTGGGGGAAAGAAGAAGAGCCTTCCAATGCACCGCCCTTGCTGGGGAGCTGTGGGGCTGTCCCTGGGGATGGGGTCACTCAGGAGCACTGGGCTGTTCCTGTGCTGCCAACCTCTTCGTGCTGCAGGAAAAGCAGTCTGGCTTTGAATATGGGCTTTTGCTCAGCAGGGGAAGGACGGAATTGAGCATTTTCAACTGAGGGCAATTGTTTTTAGTTTCCTGAAATTGCAGCAGAGTTCCCAGGTTATGCCGTTGTGGGAACCTGGCTGTAACAATTTGGTTTCCTTGCTCTGTGGGCTGTGAAAGTGAATACATTGTTCCAATGACTTCCCTGCACTTAATTCCTGGTTTCTAAGCAGGTGTTCTCAGGCTCCAGGATTTACTGCTATTACACGTATGATGAGTTACTTTGTTGGTGCACAAAGCTGGAATTTGGCTTGGAAAGACCAACACTTCTGCAGTACTGGATGCTGATGTGCAGTTATTGATGCATATACTAGCTTCTATTTGGCTCTGCAGCAGCCTGCTTGGGAAGTCCTTTGTGCTGAAGGCAATGTGTGGTGGAGGCCGATGGCGCTGCCTGGGAGGTGATCACTGCTAGCACAGCTTTGGTGGACAGCTGGCAGGCGAGCATGGAGCTGCAGTGTGCAGCACCTGGTGCTGAGCCTGCACAAGGGCAGAGTGACGGAAATGGGGAGCAGGAGAGAAGCAAGAACACACTGGAGCTCATAAGGATTATAAATTTGAGGAGCTAAATTTTCTCAACTCCCACACTGAGTTTGAATCCACCAGGGTGGGTGTTGAGAAACTTTCATTACATTTCCTGCAATAGATGCAAATTCACGTATGGTTGAGCTGCCTTCTGTCTCTCCCCATTTTTGCTTAGTTAGGGGTGATGTGAGGAAGCAGGCTGCCTGCTTGGATGTGAGCAGACCCAAGCACCCAGTGCTCAGTTCCCCCATGTTAGGAGCTGCAGCAATAACAGGAGATAACGTGTAAGCCTGGCTGTAGTTTGGTTTACTTTCAACTGGCCTTTTGTGAGCAGAGCTGCTGCGGTTTGCCCACTGTTTGCTCCTGGCTGGGGGAGATCCCCCTCAGCTGGAATGCTCAGTGAGCACAACGTAGCATTTTCTTCTATGTTTCCACTCATATCATCATTCTTTATAAATCTGAAGCCTTTCAAAGAGGATTCACTCTTTTTCTGCTGTTCAGTTTCTCAGATGTTGGTGGCTGCTCCCAGGTGTGGGATCTGTGCCTGGCCTGCAACATCCTCTGCAGTGGAGCCCTGGGAGGCCCTGGAGGAGAAGTACAGGCACTGGGTCAGGGAGGACCATCTGGTGCCATATCCTGCTTCCTACACTCCGCCGGAGTGGGTGCTTGGGGAAAAGCAAAAGAACAAGCTTGCAGTTGGAGCCTTTCCTTAAAAAACTGCCTGCTCTGACAGAGGATAATTTAAGGTGTCCTTGAGCCAGGTGTAGTCAAGTGGCATCCAGCACAGCGATGCACTAACACTCCTGCAGCTTTCTAATGCTTGTTGAATCCCTGGATGGATTTGAGGTGCTCGAGCCAGATGTTCCTGCCTCTGTTTCCCACCTGTGATGAATGCTTCTGGTGTGATCTGTCCCGTCTGCACCCTGCATTTTGCTCCAGCCAGTTCTGAGCTCTGTGCCACCCCTGTGCTGATGCTGGGCGTGTGTGGCTGCAGCTCCTTCCTCTGTCAGACGCCTGGGAGCCACGTGGATTGAGAAACCCACGTGGACTGAGGCTTGTTGAGAGGTGCGCAATGGGTTTGCGTGTGGTGTGGCTGTGGTGGTAAGCGGTCAGCAGCCCATGGCTGTGGGACAGGGGCTGTCCCCATGCGGCACCGCGGTGGGTACTGGGGCTCATGGCTTTCCAGGTACAGAAGCTTTCTGCCATCCATATTTTAATGGCTTTTTTGTGTCACTCCCCTGGCCTGGGGAGTGGTGGCATGGTTTGGGGCTGTGAGCTGCTGGATGTGCCTGGGCGTAGTGTGCATGGCTCGAGGTGGATCAGAGCTGCGTGGCTGATGTTAGAAACAGCCGAAGGTTATGCGTGCAGCATAGATCACCTGCAAATGTGACCGCAGCAGGATTTACTCCCAGCTACTGAAGAATTTTGTCTCAGAACCAGGAAGGGGCCTCCAGACCTCAGCTGTCAGTCCTCTGCCCAAACCAGGTCCTGCAAATAAGCCTTTTGTAAACACAATGGGCCTTATGTTCCGAGCAGCACAATGTCCTATTATCTGCTATATGTTCCTTAAGGAAGACGTTGTGCTGAACAGCACGAGCAGAACCAGCAGCCTCACACTGCTGGCCCACGGCCAGGCTGCTGCGTGCACCCATGCCTGCCCTGCTGCACTCAGCCTGGGACAGGTGCAGGCATCAGGCTGGATCCAGGTGTCAGCTTCCTTGGGGAGATGCACAGAGGACGCAGGGGTGCCTGCTGTCCTTGCACTGCTTGTGCCCTGCAGCCAGCTGCAAGCTCCCTCAGTGGGCACAGTGCTGCTGTGCAGGCTTTGTGCAGGCTCTTCCCACCAGCGGGCTGTGCACGGGAGGGCACTTTATAGACAGGGTGAGAGGATGTTCTTTCTAGTATCTCCCTCCACATTGCTTTCTGGATATGGCTGGTAGGAAGGGTGACAATGGTTCTTGTTGTGTACTGGATTGAATCCAGAATTTTTTGAAATTATTCAAGCTGGAAAGCTCAGCAGCTGGTGGCTGGGATGCCCCAAGGACTTGGATCTCCTGCAGCAAGATGTTCCCTCCATTGCTGTGGCATGGATTTCTTCCCTTCCTCCTGGTGGAACCCCTGGGCTTTTGCAAGTGATTACATTTCACATGACACTTATCCAGAGTGAGTTTCCTGAGTACTGGGCTGCAGGCTTGCTCCTTCTCAGTGCTTCTTTACAGCTATGGAATGGGGTATGGCTATCCAGACTGAATCAGGGCAAATGGCAGGCTGCTGTGTTGGTCCTTCTGCCTGGCTGTAGGGCTGTGTTGCCATTCTTTGCCTCAATGAATATTTAATTTTGCAACGCAGAACAACTTCAACAGGAGAGGTGGAGACAGCATTCATTGCATTGCATTGGGTTGAGAGATGGAGTGCTCTGCTCTGAGCGATTTCTGTTCCAACTCCTGTGCATGCCAGATAAGGCAGGGCTGAATCCTCATACCCCAGCCCAGCTCGTGCTCCAGCAGCTGTCTGGGAGCTCCCAGCAATGCTGGCCACAGACATGAGTTCCCTTGTCAACCTGGAGGAGTCCTCACTGAGGCTGCCCAAGCACAGCACCTTTCTGTGGCTGTCACTGCTCTGTGTGGGCCTGCTCTACACTTGGGGCTGTGGTGGAACATGCTGTGACACCAGATGCTGGTTGATGACCACAGTTAACCCAGAAAGTCTCCAGGGGATATGGAAATAGGTTACAAATATGCTCATTTGCGCGTTCCCCTGACACCAAATCAACCTTTTTGCTTTGGGTGTAGACGTCCAAATGGACAGAAAACAGAGAACAAGTAGATCACGGAGAAGCTCAACGTGATCCTTTACGCTTGTCATTTAATTTGGTTCAGTTTTGTTTCCTAGGCTACGCAGCAACACTGGCAGGAAGAGCTATTATTCATTCACAACAAAGCTATCTCCAAGCGTATTTTGTAGTTGCAAACAATACTTGGCCAATGTTGTAAAATGTAAGGCGCTGTTACACTGCCTTGGCAGATGTGTTACACAGCTGCCGCCTGCAGATGCTATGGACCTGCAAAGTTTAGAATAGAAAAGAAAACAATAGTTACCAGACAGCAAAGCACTGGGGAGTTTAATTGAGTCTCTTGGCTGCTGTGTTCCGTGAGTGAATTTGGACCCAGATGACTGCTGTCCTCTTTCTGAATGCCGTTGCAGTTGCTGCACTGCTATGACAGTGTATGGTTTAGGTGCTGTTTGCTTTCAGTAAGACCCTAAAAGCTGGATATGATTGATGCCCCGCTGCCTTTCACTGCTTTTGTCTCAGAGGTGAATATTTGACAGCAAAGGCTGCTCTTCTGTATAGGATTGCAGCATCCAACTGCTGTGTCATGGGCACAGCAACATGCAAATCCCTTGATTTTTCTCCAACGTTTCTCGAGGAAGATGCATTTGATGACAAATGCAGAGCAAGCACCAGGGATGAGTTGGCTGAGGAGCAGCTCTAAGAGAATGCCATCAGCCCACTGTGCTCTGACCTCACCAAGGGCAGCTGCTGTTCCTCTGGGCTGCCCTGCCTGCTGAGATGGCGAGGGTTTGCAGGGGAGCTGCTCCCCCAGACTTCACTAGTTCTCCCTCAATGGAGTTAAATTTTGGGTGTTCAGCTTGAGACCACTTGGAAGGATCTGATTTTTCTGTTCGTGCTGAATGCTCCCTTCCAAAAACCTGATCCATTGAAAAGCAAGAAACTCGAATTCATAATGATGCTGCAGGATTCTGGGCCTCCATCTGCGTGTTCAAGTCAAGAATGAAGCTTTCTGTGAACCTGGAAACCACAGCTCTCAAAGCATGGAGGGAACTCCATCCAATGCAGTTTCACAGTATGCTGTGGACTTGGCCGTGTGGCCTGGAGGATGCTTGGCACCAGCATTTCAAGTTGATGTTAGGAAAAATTTCTTAGAAAAATTGGTGAGATGTTTGCATAGGCTGCCCAGGGGGTGATGGGGTCACCGTCCCTGGAGGGGTTCCAGGGCAGTGGAGGTGTGAGGGACGTGGTTGTGGGTCTGGTGGGGGTGGGCTGGGGTTGGACTTGGGGATCTTGGAGATCTTCTCCAACCTTAACAATTCTATGATTCTATTTCCCCTTCTTTATCACTACAGAATAGCAAACAAAAGCTGTTTATTGTAAGCCTGCAACTGTGTTTGGCTTTAGTGCTGTGCACGTGAGGCACACATGGGCATTGTGTTGTCGCCCAGTGTCCCAGTGGCTGCATCTTCAGGAGAGCAAACACCAGGTGTGGGCCATGCCATGAGCTTTACCTGGACTGGAAATGTACACACTGCTGCTGAACAGCCCCACACCTTCCAGAGGCAGCCAAGATAAACATGCACTTGGCCTTGGGGCTTCTCTGTTTTCCAAGGCCAGTGTGTTTGTTGTCGTATATTCCATGTGTTGGAGCTCATTAACTTATTCATGTGATTCTTATCAGTATGAAAATATTGACATGAACAATTACAGAAGAAAGTTATCACCACTGCTTTCCCCCGAGTTAGGTGAAGCAGTCAGCTGAATGAGCAAGAAATACTTGAAATGTCTTTGCAAAACAAACTTCTTCCTTACTCTAAGGCCTGTTGAAATCAAGAACGAGTGCCAGTCCCTCATCAACAAAAAAACTTATTTTGTCTACGTGTGCATGTAACAGAAGGGAACAGGTGGGTGGCGTGGAGGGACAATGGCAGTGTGCTTAATGCCCCCTGGGGCTGCCATGCTGCAGCTCAGCCAAAGCAGTGCTTGAGAAATCCTTAGGTAAAGTCAAAGTGACCAGAAGGCTTTCGGGAAATAGTGAAATAGAATAAATATTGATTACGGTGGAACATGCTGAAGTATTGGCCAATGTGATTTAGGACAGCCAACAGAACGCTCCTTGGGACTGGCTCCCTAAAACAATTAATGTTTAAAATGTAATTATCGGAAAGCAAAAGGTCCTTAATGTGTATAGATGTTTCAAAATGTTTCCTTGTGGGAACAAAGATGTTTAATTTTCAGCTCGTGTTCCATTTATAGATAATCCAGAATAATGCCCGTGTGCTCAGTGAGTCTGGTTTCTGTTTGCTTTTCCCAGTGAAAGGTAAAATTATGCATATTGTTCTGATGTGCTTCACTGCCACTGAAATGGTCACGGTGTGCTAAATGTGATATTAAAACAGCCTCTCCCATTATTTGATTAAAAAGAGTTCTAATAGTGAACATAAGAACAACAGCCTTTGCAGTGCAGGTGGCCCCATGCCAGCTGTAAATAGCCCAGCTGCTTCCAGAAGCTTATTTGCTGTAAGTTAAGAAATGTGACAGCATGAAAACCCCAACCTCGACTGCAGCAGTCCTGGCTGCTCAGCCTCATGTACATCTGTGGCTGGAAAGCACTGCCATACAGGTGGGTACGATTGGTAACTGCAAAGTATGAAAGTTCCATGAGGAATTCTCTGTTGAGGGAAGCGCTCTCAGCATCCCAAGCAGTTTGATAGAATAAATTTACTGCAGAGTTGTGGCATTCACCCTGTTAGAGTCAATAGAAAACCATAAATCCTTTGTTACAGACTTTCTTCCCTAGTTTAGGGAAACTGCATTTGGTGTAAGTCCCACTTTTGTGTTACACGTTGATAGATGTGTTTGCTTTTGATTTGTTCCTCTCTTTTTGACTGCTGCATTTGTTTTTTTTCCTCAGAAACGACAGCACCCATCTGTGCTAAGGATATCAGTGATGAGTTGATGAAGCAGTTTGCTTTTCTTTCTGGTGAGTAGCAGGAGCCTTGCATGTTCTCTCCTCGTGTTGTAATTAAATACTCCAGATGAACTGCTTGGCAAAGTGATACTCCATACGGGATGTTATCTGTCAAGCAGTCTTCATTGCCACCAGAAATGCTGTTAATAAAATATTGAGGCGGCTCGAAAGAATGTATTAGATTTCTGTCTCTGTACAATACTTGCTCCTTCAAAATGCTCAAAGCTTTGCAAATATTTTGCCTTGAAATGTGTAAGCTCGAGAACAGTGTGCATAGATTTTCCTTGCATTTCTGACTTCTGTCTCGTGTAAAGTGTGCTCAACAAATAAAGGAAATATCTGGTACCAAGTAGTTTTGCTTCTACCACCTGTGCATGTGTGTTGTGCTTGAAATCAGTGCCAGAATCTGACCTACTTTGGCTGTTCTGGTGATGTAAATACCCTCTGTAATAACATAGGCTGTAGGCTGGTGGGGTGTTTTTTGACCTGGATTGTGCACCTGGATTTTGCTGCTGGCTCTCCCAGAAAACACCCACAGAAGAACTCTTTTCTTCCTTCCAGGTGGCCGAGGGAAGGACAAAGCTTGGATCATCACCTTGCCTGACAACTCTCGCTTCAATGATGTGCCTGAGGATGTTGTAACTAAAGTCTTAACATACCTGACATCAGTCCCGAGGTATGTGGCTGCCTTCTGTCTCTCCTGTGATGGGCAGTGTCAATCTGACCTGGGCCAGGTGCAGTATCTTCAGCTTAATGCTGTGCTTGGGCACGAGGGATGTCTTCAGCTCCTAGGGCAGGGGAGAAGACAAGCAATTAATTGCAAACTCTTGCGGTGTCCAGGTGTGGTGTTTATGTGCCAGTAACTGCAGATAAAAAGTGGACATCATCCTTATTACTTGCCAGCCTGCATGTATCATCAGTTCAGTTTATTAAGTTTCTAATTAGCAACAAGCTTTCTTTTAAGCTTTGACATGTGTCACTGCTTAAATATGCCATTCCTCTCCAGAGCAATACTGCGACGTGTACAAATAGAGAGTCATTACTGTGGAAAAGAGAAATGCAACCAAAGGAAGAGAATAATTACAGGAACAAAGCCATTTGGGGTCCCCATTACACCCGATCACTCAGCAGCGTGCTGCAGCTCCATTATGTGCCCATATCCCAGGGTTAAGCAGCCAGCAATCTGTCCCGACCACACGCAGGGCTCTGTGCTCAGATTGATGGCGCTCCCACTTCTTGCTGCTGAGCCTGACTCAGTTACCTGGAATGCTTAATTTCCTTGAATAATGCCTGTTTTGGCAAATTTCTTCCTTCAGGGAGAGTAGGTTGACAGCAGCTACATGGGAGCTTTCCATCAGCAGCTGCCTCGGGAGAAGTGCTGTCTGTTTTGCCACCTCTGCAGGAATGAAAAGGGCCTCTGGTCTCTCTTTCTTTCTTGATCTAGTGTGAAGCTGTGCTCCTCCTGGGTCAGGCTTGCAGAGGGGTCTTTCCCTCCTGTCCTGCTGGGCAGGTTGCCCCTGGCTGTGTGTGTGCTTCTCTACCTGAATCTTTCAGGGCTTTTTATTCCATGTGACTTTAAACACCCTGGCGTTAGCATGATTAGCAGTCTTGCTGTCCCTGTAATAGGTCAAACTCAATCAAGAAACTAATGAGAGCTGAGAGCTTGCTGGTGATTCAACCGTGCTCAGTGTGTTATTTGTAAAACCACTTTAATCATGCTTCTCTAGTCCTCCTACTGCCATCTCAGCCTGCTTCAGTACCTGGCTGTTCTAACAATGCTGGAGCCTGAAACGAATGAGCTGTACAGAACGAGCTGTAATGGCACTTCCCTGCCATGTACCTGTGGATGGGTATGGGTTTATCAAAACCACATGCACCATGCTGTCCATCTGTTACCAGCAGCAATGACTATGGGTTGTCCTGCTGACACCAGTCTGTGGGAACCACATGGGATGTCAGGTCTGTAGTATTTTAGGGAGCTGAATTTCATGGACCGCTTCTCCTGGAGTTGCCAGCTGGAAGCTGTTGTTCGCTCAACAAGGTGAGCGTGTTAGTGACAGAGCCAGGAGGAAGCTGAGTTTTGTGTTCAATTAATTTGATTTTGGGATTCCTGAGACCATAATGCAGGACATGGTTGTATGGAAAAGCTGTAGAGAAAAACAATAGAGAAGATGATACAGAATGATGATACAGAAAGAGGAGTAATGTGTTCTCACATTCCGTGCACCCCAGTCAAAATACACTTGGTGGGCTGTGTGCTGAGGGATGGGCTTTGCTGAATAGCACTGCACATTGGTGTGCTTGAAGGAGAGGCACAGGAGAAAGGGACAAATCCTAATCTCTGCAGAAAGGTGACCTTAACAGTGATCCTGATGATGCAGCTTTTAGTTATTTAGACAAACTTTGCGCATTTCACTTGCATCGTCATATTGAAGTGACATAGAGCCACAGCTGGCCACACGGAGCAGTGAAACCACAACAATTCGGGGTTGCAGCACCATGCAGTGAATGCTGGGGTGTGCTCTGATCCACCAGCAGCCTCCCAGCCCAGCGAGCAACTTCCCAGCTGCAGACTCAGAGATCCAATTTCAAGTCCTCCTGCAAAAGCTCCCAAGTTTTATTTTTCGTCTGCTGCATCCTGCAACACACACAAAATTAGGGGTAAGGAAAAAAGTGACAGGAAGCCTCTGTCTGGTTGTCCGTCTCCATCATACGCTGCTGGATGCAAATAAAGCTGCCTCTTGCAAGCACTTGTGAGAATGCATTGATTTATTTTTCTTGTCAGTCTGAAAGGTACATCATGGGACTGGGAATCTGATCAACCCGCAAGGCCTGGATTGCAAACAGCCATAGGTTTGCTCTGTTTGCCCTAAAATAAATTAAAAATTTCCCATAGTGGATTTCAGGGCTTTTGTACAGCTCAGAACTTGCTTCTTTGTGTATGTAAGGGAACTGATAAAAGTAGATGAGCTTACTGAGAGGCTGCTCACTGAATGTAACCTTGTCCAGACTGAATGATGTACTGGGGCATGCTTTGGTGAACTGACATTGTGTTGAGGTCTGGCTGCCTTTTCAGAATTGCTTGGGTTCTGGGTTTGTTGGTGTTGTTTTTGGGGGGGTTTATTACAGTGACAGCAGTGCTGTGTAACTGCTGTATGTGTCTTAATACTGCCAAGGGCTGGGAAATGCTGTCTTGTTGTGCAGGGACCTGCCTTTTAGAGTTGTACACTGGAAAATCAAGCAGTTCTATCCTCATTATCAAAACTAGCCTCACACAGAAAGATCATTTTGGCCCTCTCCCACCTGCTACTGCTACTAAATTCTTGCTGGGGATTTCCTGACATAAAGGTGCAAAGACTTCTCCATGTTGCCAAAACTAATTTGGCTAAAATAGGCTTTTGGCTGAAAGGTTAAGCTTGATTCCAGATGACAGTGTGTAAGCTTACCTCGCACTTTGTTATGTGCCAAGGTTTTGTGTGTCACCTATGTGTAAAACACAGTATTTATTTTCTCTGCTCTTTTCTGGTATGCCTCAATGACAGTGCATAAATTGCATAAAAGCACAAAACCTATGCACTTTGAGCTTGACCTAACACATCCATAGCATGTGTTTGTAGGGATGGCGTGCCCTTACCCTGGGCAAACACAACTCCAGTTTGCAGTTGGAGGTGCCCCTGGTGTGTCTGTTGGTGGAGCTGTGACCAGATATCCTGACAAGGCTGTATTTGTTAGAGTCACAGTTCACCTCTGCACTGGGTCACGCTGCAGCACGTGGATCCCCAGAGCTCCCCACTTCCTCAGGGGATTTCAAATCAGCATAAAGGATTTTGATGTGCAGATAGCAGAGGCAATGCTTCAGCCACGAGATGGGCTTCCCAAATTTCTGCTGGAGTCTGGTCTAGGAGATATTTTCAAATGTATTTTGGCAGCACGCTCCATCCCTGGAGGTGTTTGAGGCCAGGTTGAATGGAGCCCTGGGGAACCTGACCCAGGGTCTGACTGAGCGGGTGGCAGCCCTGCCCGCAGCAGGGGGTTGGGACTGAGTGACCCTGAGGTCCCTGCCAACCCCAGCTGTTCTGTGGTTGTCTCACACCTGTGGAAATGTCAGAATGGGCTTTGTTTTCTGTATTCTTGGGATTGTTTTTTGGGAACAGGGGAGAGGGTGGGACAGGGAACAAAGTCACGTTCCCTCAAAATGTCATTCATTTACTTTTTTTATTTTCAATCCCATAGTCAACATGAGTCGGACACCAAATTTATCCTAATCTTGGATAGAAGATTGGACACATGGACATCTGTCAAAATGACTCTCCAAAAAATTGCAGTAAGTCCTCTTTAATGGTAATTTCTTTCAAGGTACGGAGTCGCTGTGTTCATTCTGTGCCACTTTCAGAAAGCATCAGGAATTGGGAGCAACGATGCTTGTGCTTTCTCTCTCGGTAGCATTTTGCTTTATGGCCCTGTGATTAATTCAGTCATGGCTCTGTGCCTCATTTGAATGCATAAATGAGCTGTTTGAGCATTAAACCAATTCATTTGCTTGTTTTTGTACTTTCCCTTAGTGGTCCAGATGTATTTTCTGCCACATTCTGTGATTCTGTTGGGTGGAGAATTTGGCTTCATATATATTCTTTCTAGACACTGGTTATTAGTGAGAGTATATTTTACCTAATTTTCAGTGACTGAAAGGGTTGGATTGTTAAAACAAGCTGCACAGCCATTTGTTTGTGGACTCGGGGTGGAAAAGCTGTTTTAAACATGCACCCCTGCGTTCACTTTTTGTGCTGCCTGTTCTGAACATGAAGCAAGTTTTCTGCTACTCACCAACACATTGAGCCATGGGGAACCAGAGCACGGCATTCCTGGTCCAGCTGGACGTGGCCTTAGTGGCATTTTGCTCATAGGCATCCGGTGGAAGGAAGGATTGCCATTACCTTTCTGCACTGTGCATAAGGTACTGATGTCAGTATTTGATTGTATTTTATTTATTTATTTATTTTCACTTCTGAACTTTACAACGTGAATTTGTGCACATCATGAGAGAAAAGGCAGCATTTGAAAAATAGAGAATAATTCCTTAGAGCGATCATCAGAATTCAGTTCTGCTGCTGGTGTTTGAACCAGTGGGAGTTCCAGGAGCTTCCTTTAAGGGTGATGTCGGTGCTTTGCATAGTTTGGAAGTTTCAAGCACCAAAAATCCTGTCTGTCCTAATTTGTGGCTTCAAACAGAAGTGCCATTCATCTCGTGTTTCATCAGGAAACATAATTACTGTGTGACCTCTGAGTGCACACCCTATTAGTGTACCTGTGTCCACACAGAGCAGCAGCTTTGCCTAGGATGTATCAGGGCTGTGTGTGCAAATACTGCAGCGCAGCTGTGTGCAGAGGGCAGGAATCTGCTAAATGCCAAGAGTTGGGAAGCTCGCCTTAAAAACCAGAGGGCCCAGCCCTGGAAGGCCATCTTAGTGACCAGGAGGGGTTCTGCTGGACTTGCTTTGTGCCAGTAACACAAAAGGTTACATCCTGATTTACTTGCAGTCAAACTGTAATGCATGCTGCATTTCTGATCTTTGCATCATTCTGGAATAAAGAAGTGCAAATGAGCTGCATTTGAAATACAGTGCCCTATTTTTTCAGTATAAGGATATGCAGCTCTGCAGTCATGCATCTGATCCAGGGTGTTTTTTTATCAGAATACAGATTTTTGTTTAACTCCTTTGTGTATGCCATTCTGTACTGACTGCACGGGCTCATGCTTGTGCCATTGCTTTGGAAAGCGAGACCCTGCCAGTAGGCTCAAGCCGTAGGTTTTGCTACGGACTGCATTCCTTCGCACACGAAATCTTAATCAACTTCAGAACGCGTGCTTCAGAGAGCAGCAGGGAGGGAAAAAAAAAACCACCAAACCAGAACAGTGAAAGCTGTGGTGCGATCGCCCAGGCTCGGTCGTGGCGGAAGGCAGCCGGCCCCGTTCCGAGGCTGATTTTTGGCATTCCACCTTAAATCGAAGCCGGCGCTCGGGAAGCAGGGAGCGGGGCCGCCGCGTCCCTCTGCGGAACCGCCGCAGCGCTGCGGCCGCGGGGCCATGGCCGAGGGGAGCCCCGCGCGGGGCGGCAGGAGGCCGCGGAGGAATGCGGTAAGGCGCTGCGTGCCCGCGGAACGGCCCGGCACCGCGGGGAAAGGCGCCGTGGAGGCGGCTGCAGACGCGCCGCATCCGCGACCTTCGCGCGGCTCCGCAGCGATGCGAGTGCCGGCGGGCGGCGGGGCTCCGTCCGCGGTGCGGGCGGCCGGGGGAAGCCCCCAGAGGGCCGGGCGGGACCTGCTGCTCGGCGCCGGTGCTCGCGGCGTCTTCGGGGTTGGCCGTGCAGCCCGCTGGAATCAAGGTGGCACGGCGCTCCGGAGCTGCGTTTTGGCTGTCGGGGAGGTGAGGCTGGAGTTGGCCCTGCTTGGCGTTATTGCTGTGTGGTTGCTACCTTAAGGGACGGAAGATAGCCGTGAACTTCAGCATCCGCATAAGGACCGTTAGCTTCGATTCCAGTCGCTCTGAAACAAAGTCACCGGCGGGCGCTACTTTTGTTTCGGTCTATTGATTTCCAGCCTCACAGATGGCCCAGTGAACTGCATGGAACGTGTCCTCAGAAAGCCAGTCTTAACGTTATGTAAAACCACGTTAAATATATTAAGCTATTCGGTAAGGAGTTAATAACTGCAGTGCTTTCAGTGTGTGTCCTTTCCTGTGCTGCATTAACCCAGCTCACCTATATAGACTACAACAGCTCTATTGTAGTTGAGCGTGCATGTAAGCAGTTGCTGATGCAGGGCCTTAAAACATACACGCCTGTGTGCTCAGGATGGGGAGTTTCCTGAATGTGTACTTTGCCATGCAATTCTCCTGGGATGTTGCTGGGTACCTGATAGTTTTCTGTCTTTCCCACTCTGCAGAGGAATACCAAAAGGCAAACAGTTTAGAGGATTCTTTTAGGTGGTTTATTACGCACAAATTCTTTTCAGTGTCATAAGATAAAGCACAAGGCAAATTTTAAGACCCTTTTGTCATTGCTTTCTTGATTATATTATGGGGAACATTTTTGGTGGGTTTTGTTGGTCTGCCCACCTCCCCATTAACTTCAATATTATCAGAGCTCAGTTTGCAGAGCTTCAGACTTCAGCCCTTGGACGAATGAGAATCGTAGCAGCAAGAGAAATACACGCAGTCCCTTCAGGAAAGTTATCTCAGAGGAATTATTAGTCTGCCTATCTGTCTATCTATATTTTTAACTTTTCATCCTTCCTCTTAAGTCTGCAGGAGGGCACAGGGCATGGATTCATTGGTAGTTGTCTGTCCTTCTGCAGTTATTTTTTTGCTTGGTTTTTTTTTTTTTTTTTTTTTCCATGCTTGAAATACACAAGGTGTCATTTGCAGAGCAGGATTTCTTGTGTTTTCTAACAACTCAGAAATGCTGACCTTGGTCTTGCGTATACAGAATCATCTAAGAATCCCACTAGCACTTTCTAAACTAAAGGGAAATCAAGTAACCCATCCTGCAGCTACCTCTGGCTGAAGTGTATCAAATGTCAAAAGAAATATAGATGTGTATGCATGGAGCATGAAATGGTTTCAAGTCAGAATCTACTCCATAGCAGGTATGTCAGGTTATGGTCTTGTGTGTTTTGTAGCACCTGCTGGTGTCCTGCAGTCATGGAACCATCGGTGTCCCAAGACACTTATGCTCTTGAAGAGGTGCTTCACACCTCAGGGCCAGGTGGTGCAGCCAGCAGTAGGCAGGGCTGGTTGTAGCAGCACTGCTGGGCCCAGCCTGGGGAGGTGGGAGAGGCAGCCAGCTCCTATGGGTAGTGCTGAGCTTGCCAGATACTTTCCAGTGAAATATTCATGCTGTAAATATTCAGTTCATTCACAACATTCACAGGGTTGTGCCAGTTCTGGTGGTGCCAGTTCTGGTGGTGCTTCCCTCAGTGAGGGCTTTCTGCATCCCAGGCAGGGATTTTTCTCAGCCTCAAAATGAGAAACCACTCCAGGTTCTTGGAAGCATCCCATAGTTATCTCTCTGCTAATATGGGAAGCTCAAGTTCCTGAACTCTGAGCTGAGCAGGGTGTCAGAGGTGGACTTCTTCAGACAGAGCTGCATCCTGCAGCAGGGCTGCAGGGCCTGTCTGTGTGTTGCAGCAGAGCTGATCTCCCTTTTAGAGGTAGTTAAACAGGCGGTGAAGCAGGATGCTGAACCGGCATCTCCTGCAGCCTTTCAGCCACACTTCCTTCAACAAGGCTCTGTTTCCAAGCTGGAGGCCTGGTGACTGTGTGGCCAGGTTCAGGCCTTTGGCTGTCTGCAAATTTGACAGGAATCAGAGCATCACAAAGTGGTTTGGGTTGAAAGAGACCTTAAAGCCCACCCGGTTCCAACCCTTTACCATGGAGCCCCATCCAGCCTGAACTTGAACATCTCCACAGATGGGACACCCACAGCTTTCTGGGCACTCTGTGCCAGAAACTCACTGCCCTCTGAGGAAAAGATTTTCTTCCAAACATCAAACCTGAATAAGCACAGATTGCTCAGGTCTCCCATGCTGTACCTATTACTGCTCTCCCAGGGTCAGCAGCCATTCCCTGAGCTGAGTACAACAGGCACAGCACCCAGAGCCTGGGTCAGCGTAAACCTCTTCAGTGTTTTATGGTTTGCTCTTTAAGCTAATGCCAAATCTTTGTCCCTGGCACAGTTGTCGTTGACTTCCAAAGGATATGAATTTGGCACTTCATTCACATTTTTTCCTATATATGTATTTTTTACTCTCACTTAAAATAGCTGCAGATCAATATATTGAATCTATGTGGCTTATTCAATCCTAAGTCACTGTCCATTTCTAACTGGAGTAGTAGGCAAAAAAAAAAAAACACAACTTGACCTTTCCTACAAAAGAAAACATAGCCATTGAGTAGTGGTGCAGTTCATGGATATCAGATCTCAACTGTAAATCATGGCTTTTTCAAACAATGCGTGTTTATGGGAGCAGTCCTTGTCTTGAAGGCACTGTGCAAAATATCCAAATATATTCAGTGCTCTTGGTGTGTGCTCTTTTATCACATCTGGCATACTGGGGCTTTGGGAAGGAGAGCATGTTGTTCAACAGGGTCCTGCTGTTGGAGAGAGCAGGAGATGGGGAATTGTCTGTATGGTCTTGCTCTTGGCATGCACATGCTGTGCTTATGTAGTGGGAATGCTTACCCAGTGCTCTTGAGTGGATTTAGATGTATGTCTATTCAAGGAAAACTTATTTTCATATTGATGTAGAATTAGAACTCCACTACCACTTAGTGTCCCTTTGCACCTGGGAGAGCCATGAAGTCTTCATATGTACAGCTCTGACAGCTTTAGGGTTCTGAAGTTCAAATGAGGAAGATATGGGGAGGAATGTAACCTGGCCTAGTTTGGATCTCAGATAAAATGATACATCTTCATTAACTCTGTTATTTTCACCATGGGCTTATTCATTATTTAATGATACGACTCCTAGGTTCTCAGAAATTCTTTTTCATTCTCAAGCATTCTTTCTGCAGATTTCTATCTAAAACTGCACCTGCCAAAAACATATGCTTGAAAAAAAGTCACTGGTAGCATAGACAGGAAATTCTGAAATAGTACCACAAATTAAATGTTGCCTGATAATTAGCTGGGGCAAGCAGAGTGTGCTTGGTATAGATATGGGTGAAGCAAGTTTGGGAACAAATTTTGCACTCCCAGTCTGTCTCATCACCCTCAAAGTTCCACTTTTAAGACAAAATTTCATTCCCTCATTTATAATGCTGACTGCAGTACTTGGTTTTAGAATGTACTACCAGCAGCCCTCCACGGTACATGGCCAACCACTTGCTTGTTCAAAAGGGAAGTAGGACTGCACAGTCTCCTGCAATTGTCCCTTATCTCTAAACCACTTCTTGCAAACACACAGCTGTGAGCCTGCAGAAGCATTGCTGCTAGTGGTGCAGTCCAATGCATAGTCCAGCCTGTGATGGAATTCAGAAAAGGCTCTTGGGGGCAATCAGAAAAAGATCCTCAGGTTTAAGGCACACTCATCTTTTCAAGGTGTTTGGGAGCAGTTGGAGCTCCTGCATGCCCAGTTGAAAGTTATCTCTGTTTTCCTGCAGGCATCATTCCCAGGGAACCTGCACTTGGTGATGGTTCTTCGTCCCACAGGGTTTTTCCAGCGCACCTTCACTGACATTGGATTTCGATTTAGTCAGGAGGATTTCCTGCTCAAGTTACCGGTATGGGCGTGCGGAGCGTTGTGCCTTGTGTGTGGCTGTTGGCTGCCTGTGAACCTTGGGATGGGGGGGGGACATGAAGGCACTGACGTGAGGAGTGACTGGAGCGTTTCTGCCGTTTCTGCTCCATTTCTACAGAATCTTTCCTGTAGCAGTTTTCTGCTTGCCTGTGCATAGTTTATTCCCTGCAGAACAGGCGATTTTATCAGTCCATTCTCCCCCCTCCAAAAGGATTTATGCATCCACGGAGGATAAAACCATGCTCTGGAATTTTTTTAATGTCTGAAATGCCAAGAGACATCTAGCAAAGCTTTTGCTGTGGATTCCACCCGTAATCACCATTTTCATCTCAGTGTCAACACCATACCAACATTGTGTTGCTATTTGTTTCTAAAATAGCAACTGAAATGCTCTTACATTCTGAAGTCAAACTTTCCAAGGCTTCTATAGCCACCTTGATTAATGGATGTAATAGCGAAGAAAAGAAAAGTACATGTATGGAATCTAAGGTTGGCACAAGGACAAACTCCCAGAAGCAAACCAATATTTTCCTATAGGAATTTTTCAGAAATCATTCTAAAATGATTGTCAGTTCCACAGTTTTGAAAATTCGTGACTTGTAACAGGGAGGATCAGGACACCTGGAAACTCATATTAAAAAGCCCGTGTATTTAGGTGAAGATGGCCAGTGCTTCATGACATATTCCAGTTTTTATATTTTTCCAGGTTACTTGTCATCTCTTGCCAAAACCTGCATTCCTTCTGCTTTCAGCTCTGATATGCAGGCACACACTGCAGTATCTCACTGTACTTTATATTTAAGAAGGAAAGCACCTGGAAGATCAGGGATTCCTTAGGAAAGCGGTCAAATCTGTAAAAGCTGTGTTAAGCTATAAACATAAGAAAAGAAGCAACATATAGAGAAATCTTAATTTTTACGTATGTAAGAGAGTTCTAGGCTTGATCCATGTATGATTTAGGTGGAAATGATCAACCAGCTGATGGTGTTGCCTTCTTTGCAGGTTGTTATGCTGAGCTCGGTTAGTGACCTGCTGACATACATTGATGAGCAGCAGCTAACCCCGGAGTTTGGAGGCACCTTGGAGTACTGCCACAGCGAGTGGGTCATCTTCAGGACTGTACGTACCAGGGCTCAACACTGGGTGTGGGGAATCTGCTGGGGAAGGCCTGATCCCCTGCTAAACATCTCCTGTAAGGCAGTGAGCAGTGCATAGCTGAGAGTAACCACTGGAGCAACCACCTTTCCTTGTTAAGGTGCGAAGGAGTCGAGCGGAGTTAGGCACTGAGTGGATTTATAATGGCAGCTGGAATTCCCAGCCACCTTTCCAACAAATGAAAACACTAATGAAAGCGTTTGAGACAAATCACTGTGCCCCCAGTCCTGCACCATTATCCACGCAGACAGATGTGGAGCTCAGTGTGAAAACAAAAGCCCAAGACATCATTGCTGGAGTGGTTCAAGCTGTTGCTTCTGCCAGTTTCTGCCCATCTGCATGGATGCACTGCCACTGTCGTGCTTTTAAAATTTTTTGGCTCTTAGTTTTGTTCTTTTGCACAATGTGTTACAGCGACAGTGACATAGCTCTCACACTTTGAGACAAAATGACAAAATAAATGACAAAAATGTTAGGGTAATTTAAGAAAAAGATGAGCTTCTAGAACATATCTGCATGTGTTAGATAAGTGTCCATGTTAAAAGCCTCTCAAAAAATTCCTGTGTAAGGTGCTCTTAAAACGCTTGCTGAAATTTCCTTGTTAAATATACTGTTTAAAGAAAATACAAATGTATTCAGTTGCATTAAAATTTATTACCCTGATCCCAAAAGCCAGAGCTGCAGTGTCACCCAGTGTTTTGGCTTGCAAGTCTGGGAATGTCCATGACCAAAAGGCCAAAGACCTCTCTCAAGTCCTGCTGTCAGGAGGTGGTTCATGGTGTGGGTTGGTCGGAGGGGAGGTATGGTAGATGAGGAGTTACAGTAATTTGTGTGATGGATCCCATGGTGGCTTCTTCCATAGACCTTCAATGAATGGTGGGACAGTGCACAAGAACAGGCAGCAGAAAACGAAACACGAGGTGTCTGTGTCCATCACTGCTTCAAGACCTTGTTATGGATTCAAGCTGTGCTAAAAGCCAGCTGGCCATGTCTTGATGGCCACTGTTAGCACACAACAGCTCCACCATCAGTGGGCCTCTCAGCCACCTCTAGGAGTCGGATGCTGCACTCTCTTGCAGATCTCAGCCTTTTAGTGCACTCTTTATGAGTTGTAGCAATGTCCTGAATCCCAATCTGATCTCAATTATTGTCTCCCACCAGGCAATAGAGAATTTTGCACTAACCGTGAAGGAAATTGCACAGATGTTACAATCTTTTGGCACAGAGCTGGCAGAGACTGAGCTCCCAGAAGACATGTATTCCATTGAGCGCATCCTGGCCCTGCGCACTGAGAAGTATTTCCAGCTCAAGGTTTGGCTCATCAGGAGCACAGCGAGATGGGATTTCTGGGGTTTGACTGTCTGTTGGCTTGATACCCACTCCTCTATCCCTCCCATGCATGTGTATGTGGTAGCAAACAAAATAGAACATGGCATGACTGTGTCTGTACGTTAAACTTATGTTTGCCACTCATTCCAGTAAATTGTCATGCTGGCATCCAGAAAACTGTCTCAGCATTGGCTCTTTACTGGATACAGAAGTCTGAAACGTGCTGTTCCTCTGGTCTTTGCTCATCCTTGTGGCAGAAAGGAGGCTGGTGGGGTTCCCTCTGTTTCAGTCTCAGTGCTGCAGAAAATTGCACACAAGGATTGTCAGTGGGTCTGCGGAGATGGTTTGTCCTCAGCTCCCCCCTCCTCCGTGCAGAGCTGCACACTTACTGAGTGCAGCTGCCCCAGGGGTCTGAAGGAAGCTGTGTTTGCTTGAGAGCACTCAAGGTGAAGATTTCTTGTGAGTGTATGGTTCGGAGCATGCCTGACTTGATCCCGCTGAGCCTTCATGTTTCACATAAAACAACTTTTTTCTTTAATATTTAAAGATTTTTTTTCAGCTATCGTGACTGATGAATATTTTTGTAGGATTTAGTGGAAGATGTAGAGCAGACAGCTGCTGCTGTCTTTGCAGCTTTGAAAGATGCTCCTGTGTCTTCCTGGGACAGCATAGGCACGTCCCCAGGCCCTCAATTCATAACACTTCCCATGCTAATAGCAGTGCTGTGCAGTTGAAGAATGAGGTCCTTTGCTTTATTCATTTGTGTAAATCAAAGAAGAGGATCTATTCTCATTTATAATAATTTGTCATCCTTGTGACAGTGATTTCTCAGTTAGAAATACCCCAGATGACATCTGAAGGATGCTGTGTCTAGTCATGTCTGAATAGACATGTACACATATACAGCAAGTGCAATTATAGCTAATGCAAGTCCCTTATTTCTTCTTTGGAAATGAGCAGAGCTGTAGTACAACAGCAGCTGAATATGTTGATGTATGACTGAATTAGACTTTGTGCTTCAGATTATGTCCAAAGCGTAGGGAGAAAATATGGGTTACCCAACTTAGTCCTGCGTATAAACAAGTCAGCTGTACACACTTTTCTCTGGGGTGAAATATGGCACATTATCTGTTTTCATTTGCATATAAAGCACAGCAGCACTTAGTAGAAGCCATCTGTTGCTTTTAATGCCACATCTATTAATTTAAAATATCAAAAACGTTCTTGGGCTTCTGACTGAAATCAGTTCCATTGGCTTTGTTTTGTTTTGTTCCTTCTAAGACCATGAAAGATGAAAGCTGATGAGAAACTGTGTTCAGATTGTGAGAAGTAGGGTCCCTGCATGTCTCTTGACAACTGCAAGATTGGTGCAGCTGATTCCTGTGACCAAATAATGAGTTGATCAGGATAATTTATGTAGCTGTAGTACTGAACAAAAGCTAGATGCAAACCTGATGAAAAATTGACAGAAATTAATTAAACGGAGCAACTGAGAAATTAACCTCTTTGATATCCTGAATGGGACAAAATCAAGTTAGCACCTGTTAGGCAGTTCAGCTACTTTGTCTGACATACAATGAAAGGCTTTGCATCAAAAGGAGAATTTAGGGCTCTGGGAATGAGATGTAACAGGGTGGAATAGCGGCCACCTGCATGCTAACAAATGCTGTGCAACATTTCATCATGGAAAAGCACATCCCTAAACAGCAGAAATACCTGAATGAAAGCATGGACTTGCAGATAAATATTTAATATAATTCCTCCTGTTCGCAGCTCCATGGTAGTGCTGTGCATCTCGAATCATTCCGTGGTCTCATGTTTTCATGCTTGCCAGTTCCCACCCAGTGTGGTGACCAGTCTGTAGTTCAGTCCCACATCCAAGGGTTAAGGGAGCTAAATGTTGCTGGGAGTCCTTTGCTCTGATGGGTACCAGTGCTCCACTTATGGCAGGGAAGCTGAAAAGAGAGCAACACGAAATGCTTTACCCTTACCTCCCACGGAGTAGCCTGAATCAGAAATGTTTTGCATTGTGCAGGAAGATATCACAGCAGTCACAAAAGAAGGAAAGTTGCTTTTAAGCAATTTAGAAGAGCCTGATGTGGGTGAATGCAGCCAGGACCAGCACCGTGAGAGGCCTGGAGACTGGGACACTGTGAATAGGTGAGTGCAGCATGTTGCTGATTTGCCTGATCTTTGAGTGGAAACGTGGGCTATTTCAGCATGGATGTATCTATCAAAAACTTGCAGACAGAAATACTAGCTTTGCTCCATACCCGTTGATTTCCTGGCTGATTTCTGTCAACTTTCACCTACTCTGATATTTTTTCCAGGCTTTGTGATGAGGCTGTGGAACAGATTCAGGCCCATGCTGGGCTCTCAGGTTTTATTCTGATAAAATGGTGATGGCAACAACTTCTTCACCCAGCTACTGTCATCTGCAGCGATGATTTCGTGAAAAGCCTCTGACATACATATATCAGTTCATTTCTCCTGAGAGATGAACTGGGGTCCTGACTAGAGTGTCTTTCTAGGGCTTGTCCATCTGTTTGTCCATCTGTTCTAATGCTGTGTTTTTTTCTGTACTCCAGGCTACTCGGGCAGCTGCGGGAGATGGAGACTGCTTTTGATGGCTTCTGGGAAAAACATCAGTTGAAAATGGAGCAGTATTTACAACTGTGGAAGTTTGAGCAAAGTTTTCAAGAGGTATTAACAGATGCACTATTTCTCTGTGCAGAAGACTTGGGGAAAGGGGGAGAAGAGAGAGATTTTTATGCTTTCTATTTTGAGAGTGTTTAATTTATGCTGCTGCTCCTTAACTCTGACTAGCAGGGCTAACTCACTTGGGAAGACTGCTGTTCTTCCTCATTCAGAGCTAATTTGGGTATCACTGCCCTGCAGCCACATAGATTTACCTGAGAAGAAGCATCTTTGAATGTAGAAGTTAGCTCTTGGAAACTCATTTTATTACTGGATTTAACAGTCGCCTGAAGTGTGATTGATTTTGAACTGAGAATGATTTTCTGTCTGTGCTTTGTATCATTTTGCAGCAGTCTTTTTGTTTGGGTGTGTATGTCTAGGTCAAGAATGCCATTGAATTTTTAATGGGTCAACAAGCAGAACTGCCCGACACTGGGGACAGTGTCTCCCAGGTGAAACAGAGGCTGAAGGACTTGAGTCATTTTGATGGCATGGCTCAGGTGAGTACATCTGTCACAGACTGATGCACTAATGAAACATAAGAGGCACGCTCTCTTCTTGTGGTAGGTCTTTTCTAAAATGGCCTGTTTCTGGTGCAGTTTGTTGGTAAGTAGATGGAGGAAAAGATTGATTTCGTGTCTTCGTGCTCTTTGCAGCAGCGCTGTGATCACACTGAAAACCAGGATATTTAATTATCGTAGTTAAAATAAATTGCTGAGCCACCATGAAAATCCAGAGCAGATAAATGTCTGAACATAGGGGAAATGTGGGAGTTAATGAGCTGGAAGAAGAATTATTTATATGTTAAGTGCTTTTAGCAGTGCTAATAGACAGAGACTTGTTACCAGGCACATGGAGAGGCAAAAAAATCGCTATCTTTAAGCGTCTGTGATTTGAATGTAACATATGGAGGAGGAAGACTAAGAGATGCAGCAGAAAGAGGAGTGAAGTGAGATGATTCACAGGAACGCCACTGAGGATGTGACTCCTGCAAAGGGCAGTGCTTAATTGGTGGGCCAGGAGCTATAGACAAGTCCTTAGGGATTTAGGCACAACCCCTAGAGGTTTATTTAAGAATGAGAGCCCTCGTTCTTAATGTCTAAGGGAATGTCTAAGGCTTGTTGGGTTTTTTTGCCTTTTGAAAGATACTTTATTGAGCGAGGTAGGAAGAACAAATGGCCAGGCATACCATGCAGCAGGGAAGCAGTCCTAGCAGAACGCCAGTCCTGGGGAAGATGTAACACTGCACTCGCCAGGAGCTGCAGACAAGGCAGCATGTTCTTTGCATCAAGCTCTACTACAAAGAGCCTGACTTGTTTTGCTGTAGCTGCTGAAAGTCTCTGTCATGCTTACAAGCATAGTGTGCCTAAATTGGACATCAGCTGCCTTTTCTTAGACTGCATTTCCTGCAAATGGCAGCATTGCATTGCCAGCAGCCATTCACAGCAGTGCTAGCTTGGTGAGATACCATCATCTTCATCCTTCTTTTGGGTGGCAAAAGTCTTTTTTCCCCCAGATGATGGGTGACATTTTATCCTGCGTAAGCCACCTATTCTGGCTACTCCTAATAGCAGTCATCTCTATGTGTACCTGAAATCTGGTAAGAAGAGCAAGTGCATGTTGATATATGTCGATGTTTTGGCATTATTTCAGTAAGCATGCAATCTTTTCTCTTCCTTTCACTGAAGGATCTGATAGGGAAGGCTCAGGTGGTGATACTACATGGACACCAGCTAGCAGCAAATCATCACTATGCACTCAACTTAATCTGCCAGCAATGCAACGAGCTGCGGCACCATTCTGATGTCTTGTCTGATGAGATCAAAAGGAAGCAGGTGCGGCTGCAGAAGACCTTGGATCTTCATACTCGCCTTCAGCAGGTAAAGCTTGGAGATACGGTGCCCCTTGAAGCAGATGGTTGGCCTCTCTACAGCTGGTAGCATCTACAATTTGCAGCTTTGCTTCAGTGACTTTTGTTAAGCAGGTATTCCTCCAAAGCCTGGAGAGTGCTTTGACTCAGTTGGTTAAGTTAGCAAACAGATGCTGTGAGTAGTCAGCAGAAAAAGGTGGGCATCTCTAGAAAGCAATGCAGAACACCAGAAGTTAGCTTCTGTTGCTCACACTTTCATGGTGCATCCACGTATGAATTGACTTCTGAAGTTTCCATACCCAGTGCAGTAGAGGTAATGCTTTCAAATAAACTCTGTGGGTTTTTTTTTTATTAGCAATTTGTTAAGTGTATGAATGTAAGTGACTTTAAAATAAGATGACAGATTGGTAAATAGGCACAGTTGCTCTGTATTAGTGTGGAAGTGGAGTCATGTGGCTCCACTGCTCATTGATATCTTAATCAGCATCCAAAATACATTTGGAGAAATTCATGCTAATTAGACCAGAAGGCACACAGCTTTAGCGTGCTTGAGGCTGCTGAGAAAAGCACTGAAGTCTGACCCTGTTCCATTTCACTGTTTAGGACAATTAGGAAACTTTTTTTTCCCCTGCATTCTTCACTACAACGTTGCATTAACCTGTGGGGATTTGTCTGAAATGAGCACTGCAGCATCTCTGCTGTGGGGCAGAGCCCTCTCCCGGGCTCCTTGCACTCCTGGTTGTGCTAGTAGTCAAAATGCAATAGCTGTTTGGGTTTTCACGAGTACTGATGAGCTCCACGTTGAAAATGTGGAGCTGGTAAATGATACTTGTCATGGATACCTTGATTTAGCAGAGGCTCTTGCTCTGTGTTTTCCCCAGGCCCTGCAGTGTTGTGATGAGGGTGCCTACCTGCTTGCCAACCAGCAGATGGACAAGTGCCAGTCTAAAGAAGGTGCTCAGAAAGCTCTCCAGGACATAGAAAGATTTCTTGAAAGCTCTTCGCCCTACTTAAACTATGATCCCCAATCCCTACAGTATGATTTTGAGTCAGTCTTAACAGCTGAATTGAAGGTAAGCCAATACCCCAATTACCCAAGTGAAAAGCAAAATCTGACTGCACTGCAGCACTGTCAGCTTTACTGTTTTCTGTTTTGGTTCCAAGTGCAAAATAGCAGTACTTATTTGATGACAGAAGTCTTTTTCACTCTACAGTGCCAGATACAGTCAGTGCAGGTGAAGCTTGAAAATGTTCGAAGCATGTTTGAGAATCGTCAGTCCTGCTTCAAGAAGCTGCTGGATAAGCACGTGCGGCCCGTCCAGCTGGTGGCCCCTCGGCCAGAAAACCCACCACGATCAAAGTCACCTTTGTTTTCTCCTAAACATGGTCAAGTATCTTCATGATTATTTTCAGATAATCGTTTTTAGGATGAGTAACACAACTTGAGAAACCAACCAGCACTTACTTCAGATTGTAGAGTTACTGTAGAGTTACTGGTCTTCCAATTTTTGTCTAGCTTCCCATTTCTGTTTAAGGAATGGGGTGTGGAAGCCTCACACTGAATACGTGGGCTAGATGGTCGTGAATCACTCTGTGCTGTTGTGTTGGCTCCTCGTGCACTTCCCAGCTATGAGAAGGGCTCCCAAGGTTTCCTGGGTGTTTAATATTTTTCTGAAACATGTTGGAGCTACCGAATATCTTAGTATGTTCTCTTACGTATAAGAGCCACATGGAAAGGAGAAAGATGACTTGGTAAAATGAGTGCAAGGTTTTTTGCACTCCTTGTGCAGGAACACAGCTCTGGGTGGCTCGGTGGGACTGCTTGCTTGGTATTTGTTTTTGCTAACTGTTCAGTGGAAAAAAGTCAGCTGAAAACAGTTCCTACTTCTACTTCTGTTTTCCTAGCATCTTACATGGATGAACTTGTAAATTTGTGATACGGGGAGGAAAAAAAACATAAATTTGTTAGCCCATTCCATAGCCTGAAGCCTATTTATAAACCTGTTCTTGGTAACAATCTCCTTAGCTGTCGTGGGCTAGAACTGACATAAAATTAGACTGACGTTTGCAAAGGAGCCTAGATACACGAGGAGCTGAATCTCATGAACATAAGTGACAAGCTGGATGTTCAGCCGCCTTTGATTCTTTGAGAATGTCATCCTTAAATCCCAATTGCGGAATAATTAATGCCCATAAAGGTACCAGTTCTGGCTGAACTGAGGTTGCTGCATGTTCTGCCTTCATTTTGTTAATGAGATGTAGCACAATGTTAACGTTAAATGATATCATTAAAGCTTCCATCTTTAGCAGCCCTTTATGTATCAGTATTCAGAAGTACTTTAAAGCAGTGTTGGTGTGTTTTAAACCAGGGATATATGCTGTTATGTGGGAATATGAAGTATGACTGCATGAGATGATCAGGCACCATTGATCTGCTTTGATACAAATTTGTTTATGATGAATTAGTGTGGATTGGCTGTGATGAATTGTAGCAGGTGTCGTACAAGCAGTAAAAGTGGCTCCAATTCAGGGAGCTAATAGTGTAAGTAAGAAAGCTAGTGGAATGAAGGGAATGAAGCTACTCAGTATACAGACCAGTGCTGCAAATAAAGCCTAGATTTTCTCATCTCCAGCCAATGCCACATTGCATGCCCTCTGAGTTTCCATACAAGACAAAAAAACCTCCATCTTTAAACTAAAATACTGCCCATTTTACAGAGGTTTTTTCAGCTTTCTAGAAGCAGGAAAGCGTTAAGGAGAAATGGTTTCAGTAATAGGGGTCTGGCCATCTCTGTGGGATGCTGTAGGCCATCATCCACAGGCCAGATGTGCTCATTGCACTGCCTTCATGTGATGTGCATTTTTCTAGGCAGGGCACTCCATCACAAAGCACAGGTATCCTCCATTAATCATATTCCTGAGAGAAGTGATCAGGCATGTTGAAATGAGCACAGCCAGCAAGAGGGGAAAGACAAAAGGCTCTTCTCTGGATAGATCACGCCGAGAGAGCTTTTTAATAAGGCCTCCATTTGACACCAGACATCAAAATGCTGCCGTCCTGCTGGGCGATGCGCAGTGTCAAAGACACGCTGGGCTCCGCCGGGAGTGCTTTGAGATGTGTGGGTTTGATGGCGTGGATTGAAACCAAACCACCTCTCAGTGCATTACTTTTGTCCTCTTTTCCTTTTTTTTCTTCTTTCTGTTGTGGTCTGAGGACACCCAGTTCCTCTTTCAAGTTAGCCCTGGGTTTGAAGCTCTGTCTGATGAGTCACTTTGCTTGTAGTATTTGCTAACTAATCACTTGTTCTTAAAATACATCCCATTTCTCTTCATGTCTTGTTAGCTACTCTCTGAACCATCTCTGTCACAATAGATGTACATTATGGAATGATTATTTTTTTTTCTATCCAAGGTGTGGATTTTAATTCCAGTTTGAAATTTTCATTTGACCTCTCTCTCCCTGGGAAGAAAACATCAAGAAAAACTCCAAGTTCTCGCAAGGTAATAATTGCTAACAAAATCTGAATGTGTTTTATAGACTGAGAACCCATCTGAAAATGGGAAAAATTGACTGCATTCAGATCGGGATGTGAAGGAAGTTTGGTTTTTTTTTTAATTTAAAAAATATTTGACCTTTCTTACTCCTGTAGTTTATTTGCATTTGCCCAGCATCTGAGTTCTATCTTGGGTTGTTTTGCCAAGTAACAGATATGGTTCTCCTGTGTGTTGTTCCCTGAATTTGCATAACTGTGTGGATGCAGAATCTTGCAAATAGACATCAAATATTTCCCCTGTGGGGACCATTCTCTGGTTTCTGCATGAATGAATGTTGTCAGTACTTCCAGATATTACGTAGCATAATAATTTCTGGGACTTTCTGGCTGCCCAGTAGAAACTTTGCTCTTCTGAAGTTCAGTGGCACAAAGGATTTCTTAAAAAAGCAGCATATTTCATCCTTCCCCAAGATTCTGGAGCTGCACTAAGGGCTGGGCTTATCCTGCCTCTGCAGTGACCTCTGCAGCTCCTTCAGGTCCATCCCATTTCTTTTCCAGATTGAAGTAATGCACGATTATCAGGAAAAACGGAATTCCTTGCAGTCTTTTATTTCAGACAGTGATGACAACTTAGATATACTGAAAGGGTAAGCTTTCACCCAGTTTAAATCACTCTGACTGATGCGTTTCTGGTCAGCCCTTTCACCATCCATGTACGTCATAGTGCTTGATGTCATCTCTTGCACTTTTGCCTATTTTGTCATCCCTGTGTTGGTTGTTAATGAGGTCATACTGTGTTTTAGGCTTGCACAAATTGCCTGTGCTTTTTTCTAATGCAGACATAATATATATATATATATATTTCTTTCTTGTAGCCATGTCATAAATGAGCTTATAGAAACGGAGAGAGTGTATGTAGAGGAACTGTTCACTGTTCTGACGGTGAGTGACTTCTTCAGATTGCTCATTATTGCTCCCCAGTGACTTGTACAAAAGAGCACCTGCCACTCTGTCGAACGAAGCAGAAATGTGACAGGACAGGATTCTACCAAACTGTCAGATCCCCCAGCTAGTCATGAATTTTCAAGTTTTCTCCCTTTTTATTTCTAAGTAGGAGGCATCTGCAGGAACAGTTGGTGTCAGGATGAACTTTTCATCCAGAATGAGGAAGAAGCCTTCTGTTTGTACACACATGCACTGGTAATTAGTTCTATCACTGCTTGTGAACATGTACAAAGAGCTGGTGTTTTTTAACTGCTCCCTCAGTTCTTTACCTTTTGGAGATGAAAGAAGGTTGTGTTTTATGTTTGAAAGGTTTCTGTCTCAATGCTTTGAGGTTTGTGGATGTATAAAGCGCATTTCTTAATCCAGAAAGCAGATTGTAATTTCTGTGCTGCTATTTTAAACACATGTATTTTGTTCCACAATGCCACTTGCTGATTGAATGAAGCAAGTCACTGTTAATTACCTCATCCTGATTATGTTTCTCTGACCTGAGAACAAGCGCCATATAAATCTGTTCAGCTGCAGGTAGGTACACAGTTACACAGAACTGCCTTGCAGTGATTGGCTTTTGTTTTGTTAAACTGCACTTGATGTGATAAAGCAGTTGGCAGGTGTATGGGTTTATTGCTGTGTCCAGTCCAGATAGGGGACGGTGGACAGGGCAAGCTAAGTTGTCTGAAAATAACATTTCCATAGAAGAGTGAAACTTCCTTGCAGTAGTTAAATAAAAATGACTAATTTTCCAGATACTTATCTTCTGCTGCATCCTTAATCAAATACAGAACGCCTGCTTGGTGGAAGGAATACTGATTTAAACCATAATTAATTAAGAGATTAGTATGAAAAGCCAAAGAAGATATGCCATACATACTAAGTATGTTTTAGCAAACATTTGCTACTTCTATTAAATTGACCTCAGTTTTGTGCAGCACTTAGTGACTGGCAGCTGCCTGAGCTGCTGCCAATAGCTTTTTGCTGTTTTCTTTGCAGAGATGGTCCTGAGTGCTGGCTCTGCCTTTCTCCTCTTCTACATTTAGGATATTTACCACATCTGGTAGCTGGTTTTGTGTTGGCGCAGTATTGTCATTTTCCTGCAGAGCTTTGCACTGTTTGCTAATTCCACCCAGCAGTTGGCAGCAAAGGCTTCCTTCTGGGAGGCTGTGAGTGCAAGAGGCAGGTGGGGCGATAGGGGACAGACTCCTGAGGCAGCAGGAATTGAGGAGAGCAAGATCTGCTGTTGAGCATGTCTTGTGTAAGAGCAAAAAGCCCATTGATTGTGGTATTTGATCACAGGCCTTCTCTGCTCTGTAACAAATCACCTTGTACACTGGATCTTGTGACAGCATCTGTGACTGCACGTTCTGTACAAACATGGTTGTCACTCGTGTCCCAGGGCTGTAACAGCGGATGTATTTAACCCAGACAAGTATTCCTGTGGGATCAGCTGGGCTGTAGTGAGCAGAAAGTGACTGCAATTTGCCTTTTGTGATCAGAATGACTCCACAGCATTCACTCACCCCAGGAAAGCTGTCCCATGCCATTCCCTGCTGGACCACAGCCCCGCTTGCCTATGTACTGAAGGCTGATGTGCTAAACAACAGGGATGTAGAAATTTGAAATGAAGTAGATTATACTGGAAGTCTGCTCACATCCCCTTGTCCTCTGCCTCTGGGGAGGTGCCAAGCAAAAGCCTGAAAAACTGAGCAATTAACCCACTTTGCATCCTGCAGGGCTACAGAGCTGAGATGGACAACCCTGCCATGGTCATCCTTATGCCTCCTGTGCTGAGGAACAGGAAGGATGTCCTCTTTGGAAACATGCCCGAGATATACGACTTCCACAACAAGTATGGTGCTGGCTCTCCTCCCCCTCTTTGCCTCACTGATTTCCTGTAATGATGAAGCACCCAAGAAGTACCTTGCTCACAGCTGCGTTTTGTCTCTTCCCCTGTCTCTTGCAGAATATTCCTGCACAGTTTGGAAAGCTGCCTGGGAGCACCCGAGAGAGTGGGATTTTGTTTCCTAGACAGGGTTGGTGACTCATTTTCACATATGAGACAGACTTTTTAAGGCCAATGTTTCTGCTGTGCTTTGCACTCTTCAACATCTCAGTTGTGTCAGTTGGATGAGGTGCTTCTGATATGTAATTCCAACAGCAAGGGAGGGAATGCAACTGTGCGGACAGCAGCAGATGGGGGAAAGCAGCAGTCATGATGACTTGCTTCAAGAAGCATTCTGCTTCTCAGCAGTGGCTCTTTTACCCGAGCTCTGACTTTCAGATGTTATACTTGGAAGCAGAGATAAAAGCATGTTACAGTTCAGGTATTCCTTCTATTTAGCTGCCCAGCAGGCTTGCATACATGTGCCTGACTTGCATTTTGGCTTTCTTTGCAGCGAGAGGATTTCCAGATGTATGAGAAATATTGTCAGAACAAGCCCCGGTCAGAGTCCCTGTGGAGGCAGTGCTCTGAGAGCACCTTCTTCCAGGTGAGATGTTAATTTCTATCAAGGCAGTGTCATCCTGGGGCACTTATCCTAAACACCATTCTCAGCACTCCACTGTTTCTGCAGTGCATTCTGTTTGCCATTGCATGAAAGCTGCACCAAAATGGCAGTTGGAGTTGCTTGTATACAAAGAATTTAAGGCAGATCCATCCACATCATGTGTTTTTATGAAATCTCTTTCGTTATATGAACTATAGAACAGTCTTACATGAAATCTTTGAAGTCTTCAAACCATGTTACTCATGCTGTTAGAATAACTGCAGATTGTTAGCACATAGCTTACCTAATATGAATTCTTTGTTTCAGGAGTGCCAAAGAAAATTAGAGCACAAGCTTGGGCTGGATTCCTATTTGCTCAAACCAGTGCAGCGCCTGACAAAATACCAGTTGCTTCTGAAGGTATTTCAGACACTGCTTTTGAATGACATTTGGAGATAGATTTGTTTTCCATTTTATTTTTCAGTTAAAGTTTACCTCTAAATAAAGCCTTAAGTTACGTTTTGCTGAGCTTGGCTCTTCAAAGTGATTTTCAGCAAGGTTGACATTTTTCATACCTGAAGAAGGAGTCTGTGCTTTTAACATGTTGTTTTAGTGGGGAGAAGAACTGAGTCTGTTCAGAGATGTAAAATGCAAGAAAAATGAACCAGAGATGTCCATAATGGTGTGATGAATGAAAACCTACCACGCTGATTCATCTCTTCTGCTTGGGTTGTTGTAGTGCCCATAATCTTTAATGCATTCATCCTTTTGTCCCCATTCTGATGCAGAGTATGCTGCCTTTCCCACTTTACAGAGAACTGGGGTGGTAGCTTCTGAAGGTTGCTGAATCTCACCTTCCAGTTTCTTGAATGAGGAATGAGTACACGAGGCTCTAAGCAGGCAGAGGAGATATGAAGTATGAGAATAATTTTATATCGGTCATAGTGTTGCCAATTCTGTCTTCTGCTTATTGGCTTGAAGGCTCCAGGATTTATAAAATCTTCCTTCTGTCTGCCAAACTGAAGATAGTCATCTACTGCAAACTCATATGAATGCATTTGTGCCTTATTAGCAGCCGATGCCAAACCTGAGTCATATTTGCCATTTCTTATCAAGCAGGAAAATGCAACACAAAGAGCTCAGGTAAGAGTGATGCCACTCTGTAACCTGATGCTGTCCTCAAAGAAACCCAGAGAAAATGGACAGTGATATTCCACACCTCATATTGACTGGTTTACAATTAGTGCTTTTTCCATTGACATATGAAAAAAGAAACTCAGGGAGTGCAGCTTGCTCTTGGACATTGGAAACTTTGGTGAGCTGGAAAAAAGTTTGCTTTGTTCAGTTGCAAGCACATGTTCTTCCATTTCTATTTTCAGGAGTTGTTAAAGTACAGCACAAGCTGTGATGGAGTTCAGGAACTTCAAGAAGCTCTGGTTGCAATGCTGGATTTGCTAAAATCAGTCAATGACTCTATGCATCAGATTTCAATAACAGGATATGACGTGAGTAGATTTCAGTAATTGAAGAACTTGTACAGTGCTGGTTGATATATTGGAAGTGGTTGGTGTCCCAGGATGTAGGAACTTAAAACCACATTAGAACAATTGCAACCTGAATGGCATCAGGAAGCTTACAGATGTCAGGCTTCCATTTGATTTCAGGATTTTGGAAGCTATTCCCATCCAAACTGTATGTGAAGTGGCATAGTTCCCACATTTGCCACCTTGTGGTTCCTGGGAGCATTTTTTCAGAATCTACCTTAGTTCTCAAATGGTTCACCTTATAACTGAGCTTGGCTGTCATCATATTTCTCATTCAACCTTTAATTAAATACACCCTGAAGTTGTTGAATTGGCTGTCCTTCCTAGGGATTCAGGGAGTGCTGAGTGGATGGCTGAGCTGCTGGTCACATTCCTGGCCTACTTGAAAAATCCTTTTCTTCCCATTCTGCACAACCTCTGTTCAGGCTCAGCTCTTGTCTCACTGATGCGGGGGAACCCTTGATATGATCTTTTCTGGGTGCTGGCAAGTTTTCTTACCCTCCAGTTATTGACTTGTATTCCTTTGCATAGACTAACTGTAGGCTTGTGTCTGAGACCTCTTCTTCCCTCCTGGCACCATGCCATCACTCCCAAAAGATCATCTGATCCTTCCAGGAAGACCTATTCTTAGAGTGACGTGCCTTGGAACAGATCTGGCCCCATTGCCCTTCATTGTTTGCACAGTCTTCCTACATTTTAATTGATGTAAACTTTTTAATACGTATTTGTCATACTTTCACCAGGGCGACTTGAGTGAACTAGGAAAAGTATTGATGCAAGGATCTTTCAGTGTTTGGACAGGACACCGAAAAGGCCCAACAAAAATGAAGGATCTTGCCAGGTTCAAGCCAATGCAGAGGCATCTCTTCCTATATGAGAAAGCCTTGGTCTTCTGCAAGAAGCGAGAGGATCACGGAGATGGATATGATAAAACTTCATCTTACAGTTTTAAGCATTTTCTGAAAGTAAGGATTTTTTCTTTGGGGCCATTGCCATGGGGATTGTAAACTGTTAACTCTGTGAACCCAGAGAGTATGTTTTCAGTAGTGCAGTGGCTTGGTTTCTGCTATCAAGGACTATAATGCTCCACATGGAGGTGCCATGAAAGGCTGGTTGATGTAGTAACGTAGTGGATTATGGAGTGGCAGCTGCCAGAGAAGCAGTGCTTTGGATAAGTCCCAGAGATGGAGATGTGCCTTCTTCCCTCCTCTAGTCTGCTTTCCAGGACAAAGGAAAGCATAAAATGGACAGCATGAACTGCTGTCATGCCCAGCTCCTTGGAAGAATCAGGGCTCCTCATGTTCCTGGTCTCCAAGGAGGCACAGCCTCCTGCTGCGCAGCCAGGAGGAGGGGTATCACTGCTCTTCCTCTCCTATGCTTTTCTCCTTCGGCAGGCTCCAGCTGCAGCTAGAAACATAATTATCAGGCAAGGAGAACAGCCTCTGGCTAAACAGGAGGGACGTAAACAACTGCCCCAAGCCTATAAATGCCAACTCTTGTCAATAAAAATCCCAAACTGCTTCTCTAAAAGAGACCGTCTGGCTTATTGTGTCTGATGAGCACTTCTAACATGAGCTTTTTGTCTCAACACTCTGCCTTGTTTTTCTTGGTAAACAATAAAGCAATATAGGTATGTCACAGAATGGCAAAGCAAATGGGCACTTGGAGGCTGAGCCTTCGAGCCCAGATGCTGTGAGTCTCCTGATCTACATGAGGTCTGGGGAGAGAGATGACACCAGCAGTCAGAAACCTTTCAAGGATGTTACAGTAGATAAGTCTGTTCAGCTCTGGTGCACATTACAAATTGTGTATTAAAAACAAATCCCAGTCCATATGTTTAGCTACTTAAGTGCTTTTCCCAAACAACATAGTTTTCTTTCTGGGGAGCTTGTTTTCCCTGTAGCACTTGTGTGTGCTTTTGAAAGATCTGAAGAGGCAGCATGGAGAAACCTGCTCAGAGGAGAAAATCTTGTGTTCAAGAGTCCAGACATTCAGGCCAGTTTTTGTCTAGGAGGGGCTCATTTTCCAGTGTTTTTGATTGCTAAGGTGAGAGGTTGTGGTTAGAGAATGCCTGGATGCTGAAGCATTAATACATCCGTGCACACAGATTCTCAGAATTGCTGTCCTGAGGGTAAAACCACGCTTCCTGAGCTCAGCATTTGGTTGATTGGTGATAGTATCATGGAATTAATTTTCCTTGCCAGAATGCTTTGCAGGGATTCAGAATTAAAGAAAGCTGTTTCATGGAAGCGTTGAAACCGGACATCTGTAGAAACAGCAAAAACAAAACCCCAAAACTTTCCCCAAACAGGCAGACTTTAAAAGCAAGATAATATTTTAAATGTTATATAAAATAGCCAGCAATAAGTATTTTTTCAGCTGATACTCAGTAACTTAAAGCATGCAGGTTCACAACTGCAGTGCAAGGTAGATTGTCTGCCTTTTGCCACAGTGGAAGGTGATGCAGATGGATGCCATCCCAAAGCGTTAAGCTCAGCCACCTCCATCTGCATTGCAGCAAACTGCAGCTGAAGGGACAGTAAATCCTGCTTGGAAGGAGGAAGAGGTATTTTAAAATACTCTAACGTGAATCAACGTGGCATAAATACATCTATTTCTGGAACCTTCCTTCGTGTCCTTACAGCAGATTATCTAAAATTCCAGGTATCTTGATGCCTGGGCAGTTCTGTAGTGGACACCAAGTGGAATCCAGAGGGGCAGCACAGAACTGGAAATGGGAGTCTGGATGAGTGCTCTCTAGGTTTCCCTTTCAACATCTCAGTGTTGCATTTGCCTACAGTCAGAGTAGAGCCTGATCTCGCTTTCCGTGGCATTGTGGCACCATACTGCACAAGCCCAAAGTTTTCTGAGATATAATGCCTTCATGGCAAGGCTGTGCTGCAGATTTTAACCTGTGCTTTTTTAAATAGGTGCAGTTTTAAATAAAGGAATGGATGTGTGTGAGATTGCAGATGTGCAAATGGTCTCTGGCTTTAGTCAGTGATCAGTCTCAGTTCTAATCATCAGTACAGACCTGGAGACTTTGGTGAAACCTCATTGTGCGCAACAGTGAGAGACAAAGAGGGGCTGCTTGCTGTTCAGTGCCCTTCCTTGCTGAGTCTGGAGTTTCCTGCAAGCTCACAAGAGCTCTGCTATTTATACCAGTGAAGAAATGAAGAAAGCTAATTAGCAGCTTGCTTCCTTTCTCTTGAGGCTCTTCATAGTCACTGAAATGGGTGCCAACCTTTGAGAGAATAAGTAGGAACAGAGAGCTTGACTGTGTGATCCCACCTGTAACTGTTGTAGCCTTGCAGACAAAAGCTCTGACCTGGCACATAGTCAGAAAGGATCAGCAGTGTTTAACAGATGTTCTTTCTCAGGCTTTATTTGTATTTGTACTGGATTTGCTTATGGCCACCTGTGTGAATAATTGATGATATGATACCATTATTATTAGATCTGTTTCAAAACATGAAAGTGGAATGCTTGACTTTTTGATCATCTGTTAATCAGTGGTGAATCGCTAGCAAAATCTGCTTTAAACAAGAAACAAGTTTATGCAATATCAGGAACGGGACAGTAATTGCATGTTGTGCTCAGTGGATGGGTCAGAGACCAAAAGAGTGAACTGAAATTCCTGAAGGAGCTAAGGGCTTCTCAGGTGGGTTTGAAGTAAATAAAATATAGCACAGCACAAATTATGTAGGCAGATCATGTGCCATGCATTTGTAAAGCTTCTTATAACTCATCTCAGAAATGCCATGCTGGAAGAGACATGAGATAACTTTTCATTTTGTTCCACTGATTCTTGAGTAGAAATTCTGAAGGCTATTAGTGGTTATAAGAAAGCTTTGGTAAATAAGGCAGGCTGATGGAAATCAGGGGGAATAACTCAGATGGTGACTTCCAGTGGCTGCTGAAATGAAAATTGATGAAATGTGTAAAACAAAGCTGTTTTCAGCCAATTCAGCATGGTGCATAATACATGGATTCATTTTAAAGGGGAAAGACTTGTAACATGCTTCATTTTTTGGTTCTTTTCTCTTTGCAGATGAATGCAGTTGGAATAACTGAGAACGTGAAGGGGGATCATAGAAAATTTGAAATCTGGTATAGTGGAAGAGAAGAGGTATATGTTGTGCAGGTTTGTAGCTTCAGAGATCTGAGTATTTGTAAACAGTGGTGTGGAAATGTCTCCTCTTGATCTTCTCAGGATATAAGGTTATCAGACATTCAGCTTGTATTTCTTCTTCCTCCTTGCCTATGTCTCTGTTCACAGAGCTGTCCCAGTGGCTACTCCTCAGAGTCCAGTACAGGGCTGTAAAAGTGGAGACAGAGCTGGTCCTTGGAAATAGAGCCTTTAATTCCACATGCAGTCTCAAATAGACCAGTAGTTGAAAAAAAAAACCAACATTTTATTGTGCTTAGCAGCTTACATGAACTGAGACGGGAAGTGGGCCTCATGCTTTAGTGAACATAAACACATGCTCTTCTACAATTAGATGCTGGAACTGCCCCCAGAGTGAAGGCTTAGCTTCCATGGTGCTATTTCCAATGGTAGTCTATGGAACAGTAGCCTATTTTTTTCATGTTTATTTTCCCCTCTTTTGTAGCATTTTGAATATCATTTTATAAGAGTGAAGTATTTGCCTAATGCTGTGTTCAGAGCACAACCTCTTGTGAAAATATTGTTCGTTGACATCTGTTTTTAATTTGCCCTTTGCTGAGCTTTTTCCTCCTTGTTATAATCCAGTAACAAACTTCAACTCAGATGTATGTAGGGTATAAATATATCCAGAGCATAACGATAGGACAGGGGGGAATGGTTTTAAACTGACACAGGGGAGATTTAGGTTGGATATTAGGAGGAAGTTTTTCACCCAGAGGGTGGTGAGGCACTGGAACAGGTTGCCCAAAGAGGCTGTGGATGCCCCATCCCTGGAGGCTTTCAAGGCCAGGCTGGATGTGGCTCTGGGCAGCCTGGTCTGCTGGTTGGTGACCCTGCATACAGCAGGGGGTTGGAACCGGATGAGCACTGTGGGCCTTTGCAATCCAGGCCATTCTATGATTCTATGATAGTTTTGGCCCTTTGGGATTTTAAAAAGAGAATTATTGCATGCTCAGATGTGCTTTTTCCTGTACTCCTTGGGTTGTAGTGATGTCTCCACCATTTCTGCTGCGTTGCCTGGATGTGGTGGGATTGTTAATTTAAAAAGATGAAGAATATTTTATATTTAACGCTGGCTTTGGATGAAAGGGGATTTCAGATAATTGCAGCATTGAAAAGTAAGATTCTATTCATACAATACAATGGGTGATTCATAATTCAAAATTCAGACAATTCTCTCTTCTTTCAGGCCCAAACAGTAGATCTGAAGATGGCATGGTTAAATGAAATCAGAAAAATTTTATTCAAGCAGCAGGAGCTCATAAAAGGTACATTTGACCAATTTGTCTGTGGCATTCACTCTGCTGCAGAACCTTTTCTATTTTCACACTGCTAAATCTTCAAATCCACTAATTCTCACCAGAGAATTGATTTTCAGAAGAAACCCAGTAGCACAATTCTGGAGTGAGGTCTACATTACAGGGAAATAACATAAGTTAGAGCTGTAGAGGCCGAGTGCTCAAGTAGAAATGAATTACAGAGGTACTTTTTTTTCTTCTATTACCGTGGAGAGTTATTTCACATTTGTTCTCATATGCTTAATTCAACAAGATTCATAGCAGATGCCTTGTTTTAAGCATATTATAGTCCCATAGACTTCAGTGGAATGCTTGCTATTGGATTTGTGCTAACATGCCATCTTAATCATAACTAAATCTGCTCTTTGTAATAGTCCCTAGATCTGGTTTTCTCTAAACAATAATCATTACAGTTGTTTGAAAGGCCTAGCTTTGAAAATAATGCTTCAAGTGCAACAGCTGCTAAGAAACAAGGATGTAAATCTGATGTCTGACCTCCCCACAGTGGAGAAGCAGCAGCCTAGCTCGTGCACTGACCAGCTCCACCTCTCCTCCCAGCTGAGTGATGGGTGAGTCCCTGGGGTGGCTCTTGGGGGGGGGCACCAGCGAGCACTCATCTGACAGCACAACCTGAGCTGCAGTTTTCTTTTTGTGTCCACCCAGTAATCGAAACTGGGCACTGAGATCCTTCAGAAAAACATATATTAATAAGTACCATTAATATTTCTGATCCTGCTTTACGAATCTTCACGGAGTTTAGTTTCATTTCTCACGTACAACTAATATATATGCATATTTAATCTTTCAGAAAGCAGCAGAGAGCCTCCATAAGCTCAGAAGAGAACGACTCGGAGCGCACCAGCCCAGTGCCACTGGACAGCGTGCTCCTGTCACCCCAGAGCAAACCTCACAGAAGTATGGCACCTCCCTTCCTTCGGGGCACTGTGTGGGCACAGGGTTCCCCAGCTGAGCTGCATGCTGTCTTGCAGGCTGGCCAGGAATGTCACAGTCCCTGGAGATCTGTGAGGGTCTGGAGGAGTGGTCTGGCAACCAGTACCTTTCAAACTGCTCAGACACCGAAGAGGAGGAGGGGAACCAGCTGGTTAGTACAGAACTGAAGAAGCACCAAAGCTTGAGGTTTTGGTTGTATTGCTTTAGCAGGCTTCACTGGGTGACAGGTGTGGCTTCTCCATGTCTTCATTTTTCTACATCTCCGTTTGGGAAATGAGGAGATATCAGATGAGTTGTTTCAGTTCCTTGAAACCATTTAAATTAAGGTAGCTGTTAGTGCTCTATCACATTCCCTGCGGCAGTCAGAAATAAAGGCTGTGTGATACTGAATGTAGCTCAAGCAGATAATTTTTTTCTCTTTCTGCCACAGTCTCCAGGAAAATACAAAGCCCTTGCAGACTGCAAGAGGAGAGGATCAGAGGATCTGCTGGTGAAAAATGGGGACGAAATTCAGCTTTTGCATGAAGATGGTGAGGGGCAGTGGTAGGTATTTTAGGATTGCTTTGCCTTATCTCTAAGAGCCTGCATGGCAGTGCCATGCTGCCTCACCTGCCTGGTGGTCCACTCCTTGCAGCTTCTGATTAGGTTTCAGTCTATTCCAGAAAGTCAGAGAATTCATTCCCTTTACAAGTCTAGGTACCTTACACACTGGTTTGTCCTCAAAAAATGTGTTTGGACTTCCCTTGCTTTGGGTATGTGAGCTGTGTTACGCTGACATCTCAGCAGCCCCTTGGTAGTGCTCTTGCAGCTCAAATGGGTGGTTTGAGTGAGAGCTCTGTGCCCACTTTATGCCTTCTCCAACTCAGCTGTTGGCTTTTTTCCTCTGGGTTTATTAATAGCAATATTGAGTGATTACAAGACATTTTCTTCCCACAAATGGCTGTAATGAACCAGTGTTAACTGGTTAATAGCTGCAGACCATCTTTCAGTTGTATTTATAGCTGTGGCTTGTGAGGATAGCAATTCACAGCTGGTTCTCTCCTTGTAACCGGGAGCATTGCCTCGGAAATTACTATACCCCATGTTCTGCCTGTTGAACCATTGGTCTTATTGTCTCAGAGGGCAGCATGCCCTCTTCTGTTTTTTGCAGCATTTTGGCCAAGTTTCCTGCCTGTAGTTCCTTTCCAGACTGATTTCTGACTAGCTCTCTTCAGCCAGCCTCTCCTTAGTATAAATACACAGGCACAGCTGCCCTATGGGGGATTCAGGGCCAGCATCTACAGCCCTTACGCTTCATGGGAAATTCAGTTTGCTGTTAGCAAAAAGAAGATAGAAAATATCTCAATCATGCTGCATGCTCACCACCTTGCATAGCAGTTTTAGGCAGTGCCAGGCAGACAGTTCTCAGACCAAATGTATTTGTTAGTTCAGATCTCACTACATGAACAGGAAAGTAATTGTCCTGGGCTTCATTGGTAGTCAGTGGAGAGAAACAGGCACTTCTGGAGAATGATGCAGACCCCAGGCAGGGTTACTCACGCTCTGGAGAGCCTTGTTCCTCTCCATTTGCTAGAGAGGGGCCCAAGGCAACTGTGTTCCTGATGAAGGTTTTTAATTAGTTGCCTAAATTTAGTTGGATGGAATTCTTAAATGCATGCGCAGCTCCTGTTAAAATGCTCCCCCAATTTGAGCAGACTGTTGGTTGCACTGACTGTCTTGTAAAGTGTGCCCACTGCCAATGCAAAACTGCTTGTGGGGTGATTTGTTGCTTTTACTAATACTGTTGTTGTTCAAAGGTTGGTGAAAAACCTAAACAGAAGAAAAGAAGGCTGGATCCCTGTCCACAGTCTGCAGATAGTAGTCGGTGATTGTAGATTTCGGAATGCCAAAGTTGCAGGTATCATATAATACACATAACAGAGATATCTCAAAACTCAATTCAGGTCTTTTAAGCCATTTGTACTGCACTTGATATACTGAGTCTGGCTGCATTTGCCTCTGCAGTAAAAAAAAAAAAAAAAAAAAAAGAAAGAAAGCAGCTACTCCAAAAAGCCTGCAAAAGTAGTAAATTAAGCTACTGCTTTTTTGTGGATTTTTTTTCTTGGCTCCTTAGGACACTTCTCTGACTTTAGGCACTAGTAAGTTACAAGAAACAAAAAAAAACAGCACTTAAACACATAGGTTTTATTGTGAGAGCACTGGGCAGAAGATGTAGGAGAAGAAATGGAGTCTGATCAGGGATTCCTATGACTATTTTTGCCTTCTTGCTGCTGTAGCTCAGACCCCATGTGAATAGGATGCACCTAGGCAAAACCTCCTCATGCTGCACAAGGTGCTGTGGCCTCATCCAAAGCACGTGGAAGGAAGGCTTCAGTTCTGCGCTTGGTCAAGCCTTGCTCTTTCACTCACTGCTGGTTTCTGCTTGTTAATCCTTCATTAAAATAGTTTATAAACAAATTACCAGGTTTTAGTGAAAGGCTTCTAGTCTTAAAAATCATGTTTCTCATTTTCTATTTGTAAATGTACATAGATTAAGAAGAATAGCAGATGACACAAGAAGATGCCTTAAGAGCAGGCCATTACCCTCACCATGTATTTGGTATCACCACTCCATGGTTTTTCATTACCATGCTGGAAATGGGGGGCTGGGATTGTGACTGGAACAGCTGAGAACACACAGAGAAAAAAAAAATCACAAAGGTTTTGTCCATAAAAAGGAAGTCTAGTTATCCCTGGGTCCTGGACCAAAGTCTGTGTGGAGGTTCCTCCAGCCCTGAAAGCACCCTGAAAATAGGATACTGGTTAACTTTGAATGCTGGCTTGCTCTGTCACTGGTCATAACCCCCACATCCTAGAGATTGGCAGCTCTGCACTGGTTTACAGTCACTGAGTACAAAGTAAGACAAATTTCACAGGACAGAACCACAGAAAGCTGCTGTACATCTTGCAGTGCTGCTCAGATGTTTGCAGCCGTGTCACTAGAGTCTGGCAGCAGTGCTGAGGCTTAGTTTTCCCTGTTAAGATTGGCTTTGCTCATTCTCTCTGTTGCTGATTGTGTATGCAGTCTGTAGGCATGGTTCTAATTTTACACGCACTTCGGGCAATGCTGTAAGGATGGTGTAGGATGTTTTCTCTCCATTTCCTGGAGGTATTCAAAGAACTTCTCAGTGACATGTCCTTACAGCCATCATGCACTCTAAAAACTGATTTTCGGATCACACCTTTGTATTTAACAAAGCTGTTCCTTTTGTGGATAGGTCATTTTATGCTGTGGGTGATTTTACAGCCATTAATTGCTCTGGGATGTGGTCGGGTTTGGGGTGTTTTCTGCTTCTTCAGAAGATGGAGCTCTTGCTCCACTCTGCAAGAAGTCCTTCCAGCCAGCCTCCCTCGGAGGAAGGACAGGCTGGTCCTGACATAGCAGACACAGTTTGCCAGCTAAGGAGTGACACTGCATACAGGAGGGCACACTGCAACCCACAGGTATTCTGAGCTGCTTGTGGGGTTCTCAGGAGCTGAAAGCATGCAGAGCTGGTTCCTGTGTTGGTGCTTGGCTCCTGGTCCCCACAGTCATTAACAACTTAAAGTTACAGGAAGCTTTTCTGCCCATTTGAAGTTATCAGATAGGAATTTGGTAGATGTCCCACTACCCTGCCATTGCCAGTTTTGTAAATCCGCTGTCCTGCGCCAGGCCTGCCAAGGGAGAGCCTCTGTGCAAAGCAGAATTTGGAACAGCCAAATGAATACCGAAAATACAGATGCTTTTTTCTTTTACTTCTTCACTGGTTGTGCAGTTAATTTGCCTTATGGATGAGTGGTTACTATTGGCAATGTCGTGTAACAGCTGATAAAGAGAGTACTTTGGTCTAAATCTCTATTGCAGAAGTGGGAGGGAAAACCTTATTAAACTTAGTGTAAATCTTGGCCTGGATTTAAGCCAGGAGGCTTTGAGAAGGAAGATAACTGGCTTGGAGTTCATTTTGAATAACAATTTTTCCCCTGTTGTGCCCCTAGCAATAGCTTCTGAAATGAGCCATTGCTTCTTTCTTCTGAATAGATTTGTTTCCTGTGTAAATCTGTGGTGTTTCTCTTATGTATGTGCCACAGCAATAGTTCTGTATCGCAGATGTTAATGCAAAATGGATCTCAAAATGGAAAAAGTTTGGTAAGAACTCTGCTCAGAGAAAGCACTGCTCAGGAAATAGTGGTTGCATGTTGCTCATTTCAGATGCCTTGTTAAAGCATAAAACCATTTCTGTATGTATGAAGAAGGAGCAGCCCCAGTGTAAGATGTGCATCTCTTGGAATGTCAGGAATGTGGGTTAGAATCCAAACTCTTCTTCCACAATAGGCCAGGAAGCAAAATAGCTCTGCAGGTCCCCAGGTTGCTAATACTCCACAGACCGCCTACTGCTGTAACACAGAGAACTGACAGCACCTGTGTCACTGAAGGGAAAACCATGTTAATCCAGCTGTGCTGCAGCACCCAGCTCAGCAAGCTGAGAGCTCGGACAGCAGAGGTGAGGTCCTTGCTGAAACCCAGTACAGATGTGTGACATGTTTCATCTCAGTGACACGGTGACAGTGCAGGAGCACGACAGCTCCCCTCTTGTGGAGGCTGAGCTCTTGTTCTGCTCTTCTTTTCTCTCAGCAGTGGTAAACAAATGCAAGCAAAAGAAAACATTTTGTTCGCTCTAGAATTTTCACGTCAGAGCCAAACGAGGCCAATGCATTTCCAGCCTTTTTCATCTGACCTTTAAAATCCAGGCAGAGAGATGGTTTCTGATTTTGTCTGACTGCATGAAGGTTGTGTGAGGCTGATTTCTTTCAGAGAGAGCACGAAATAGAGCAGAATTGAGCCCAAACATGAGGAGCACTCAGAGCAGCCATTGGGAGATGCTCCATTCCAGGGCAGGTGCTGGCACCCACTTGTTTCAGGGAGCACGCAGGCAGCCACGACGCTCTCACTTTGCAGTGTGATGCAGGTCTGACCAGGTTCCTGCTCCTGTGCTATACGTCAGACATCTTCTAGTTTTGTTCAACATCCCACTTGGCAAATTCTCTTCCAAGCCTTAAGGGGATCCCTGTATGTGTTTGTGCACGTGTGAGTGCGTGTGTGCTCTTCCTGCTAAGCTGCCCCTCACTTGGAGTGCCCAGAGGACAAAGCTCATGCACCCTCTGCTCTGACCAGCCAGGGCAGTGGCCTCTTGGCTGAGTTTGAGGCAGCTCTTTACGTAGCACCTTGGGCCACACAGTTCTAATTTGCCTGATGAGAGTGCGTGGCTGAATGCTTGAGCTCTTGCAAGCTAGCGTAAGCATGTTAGCTGAAATGTGCAAGTTTTGTGTAAGTTCTGCTTAAAATGCCACTTGTCATGTTGCAGATGTAGCACAGCTGTTTGCACTGTTACTCATGCACTTTAATGATTGCAGCCACAGGCTTTATGTGAGCAGAATTATTATGCAGGGTCCGTTAAAGATAATGTTAATTTTTGCCTTTGAAATATAAAGCAGGGTCTACATTTACAACCAGCGATGCCAGCCAGCCTCATAGAACAGCTATTTTGTGCCCATAGAAAGCCATTTTGCAATGACGAAATAAGGACTCTAGAGATGATAACCGCTGGCCATGCTGTGATAATCAAGTGATAGATGACAGAAACGAGTCAAACCCTGTGGTCTTGCCTTAGACAGGGCTCTCACTGAAACTAATGGGAGTTCAGCTTTCAGGGAGAACCACGGGAGTGTGCTGGTTTTTTCTTTTATGTTTTACAAATGTTACATGATTACAGGGAACAATGTGTTTCTTGGAATAAGATGCTTTAACATTAACATCATTCTTCATTACTTTATAGATGCTGCCCTGTGTAACACGCGAAAGTTTAGTTCCCCTTGAGTTAAGGGTGAACTGGTAGCATCCTGGTTTTGATGCTCTTGGAAGCTTTCAACTACGTGTTACAGAGAAATAGCACAATAGTTGGAGTTTTCCTGTACTATTCATCACATTCACAGAGCTCCACAGCTTCATCTGCACTGAATGGGACCGGTGTCCTAAGCAGCTTCTCATAGTCATAAAGGAAGCCATTCTCTGCTCTTTTCTTTCCCTCCACTATGGAAAGTACAGTGTTTCATTATTTTTACCTGCTGTTTTCCATGACATCCATCACGTTTCATCAGAGAAGTACACCTTGTATAGATGCTTGAAATTTCCTCTGCAGGTTGAAGGCTTTATCTACTTATTAGCTGACAACTGTTGAAGCTGATTGCAAATCAAAGAGTTGAGTTTTGGTAAACCAAAAACAAACAAAAAACCAACAACAAAGAAGCTGTATGTTCTGCTTAATTGATTTTATGGATGGATTTTTCTTAAAAACCTACTTCAGCTATGTGAATGTAATGTTCTGTAAGAGCATCATCTGGCTGACTCACGTGGAAGATGCAATAATGCTACAGATCCTTTTTTTGCACTTAGGGTCTGAATCCAGCCCATTGCAGTCAGTCCCGTTGATTTCAGTGAGGTTTGGATCAGGTCGAACTGACAACTCAGGGTTGTCGCCAATCACTTTAGGGTCCCACAGTGTCCCAAGGCTGAAACCTGTATCTAGCAAGTGTTGAAGTTTACATTACATGTATGTACTTTTGGAACACGTGCCATAAATCAAAGTTAAATGTCCATGTTTGCACTAAGGATGTTCATGTGACAAGACTGTACTTTTCAGCATCTTTATCGATAATGCAGCAGTTGAATTTTCGAGGAAGAAAAGGAATATTGAATTCTCAGTTTAATTTTGTGTTGCTTTGTCTAGTTTTGCTTTTGTAGAACATAGGTACAGGTGGTTTGACTTTTAAGCAGATGTATGCAAAGAGCATCTGGCTGTTGAGAACAGGGTTGATAGTATGCATGCCTTACAAGATGTGCTCTGTCCCGTTGACGCAAAATGTTTTATGCCATGGACTGAAGGGGGACCTTTGTGTTCTGACTTTGATTTGTGAGCCATCAATTCTTAGATACAGTATCAAGCTGTTGAGTTCAAACACACTGAGTATTTTTGGTGACCACTGTTGTATGGAGGAATGGTTGAACTGCTCCTTGGCTGTGGCTGCCCGGGGTTCCCCTGGGTTGGGTTGCCAGCGCTGGGGGCAGCCCCATACATCCCCAAAGCAGGACCACTGAGTCTGTGCTGAGGAACACTGAGAGGCTTGGAAAGATCCCAGTGTTCCTCAGCCATTGGGAATCAAACCAGGGAGGTTTTAAGTCACTGACGATTATTTCTGTCTGTTTTAAAGCTGGTCACAGTGCGCTCGCTAGGTAGAAAAGCAGGATTCTCTCAAGTTAGTATGGGGGTAATTTATAGTGGTAACTATTCTTGTGGTACCAGTACACATTTTGAGGTACAGCTGTAAATATTTGTCTCAAACATAGCACACATTGCATATGAAATGGTTTTAATCTTTTTTCTGTCTTCCATCGTTTTAAATTTAAGCTTTTATTAATTTATGAGATTGACTAGCTCTGCAATTCTGAATGTACAGTCTGGGATTTTTAACATTGGAAACTTTGCACATGACATGGTCTATTACCTTTAAGTATGCTGTTGAACTAGGCTCTTCATGTACATGTTATTATAAATTACAGTAGAGAGTTTTCTCTGACTGCAAGTTTAAATGAACTATATTGTATATGTACCTGTAAAAAAAAAAAATGTGTTAAATCTATATTTAAAGATTAAAAAGTTGTTAAATAAATTCTTATGAGAATATGCAGTTCTGTCCAAAGACACCTCTGCTATGGCTCTGAAACAATTCTGAGTGATGGCTTTATTTCATTTCTTTGGAGCAAATTCAGCATTCACACACACGTTTTGATTTTAAAACGAGCAGTGACAGAGGCTGCCATCAGCTGCTGGCTGGATGTGGTGGCAGTGAAATGAGCGAGGCTCAGTGCTTATCCTGAGGTCTGAAACAGCAGCTGCAGCCCAGCACCACTCGCTTTGCATCCCGGTGGGACCACGCAGGCTGTGCAGGGACCACGTCCTCCATGTAGTGCTGCAGGGGAAGGGGACTGGTGGGCAGCCATGGCCGTGTGGAGCATGCAGGAATGCAGTCACGGCTAATTAGAAAGGCTTTTTATTTCTGTATTGCCACGCTTACACTGGGTTCTCTTCCAAGAGCAGAAATTAGTTCATGTGGAAACAACGATCAAAACACAGTGATTTCTGAGACCCCCTCCCCAATCCCTCCAGCACATTTAGGTGAGCCTCGTGGTTTCCCTGATCCACTTCACATACTTGGCGACCTTGGTGTAGATGCCGTACTTGCCCGGCTTGGCGCACTCCTCACCCCAGCTGGTGACCCCTGTCAGAAACCAGGTCTCCCCGATGCTGTTGGTGTAGGGCCCGCCACTGTCCCCCCCACACGTGTCCTTGCCCCCGGCCGTGTAGCCGGCACAGAACATGCTCTGCAGGATGGTGGTGGAGGTGCTCTTCAGGCAGGTCACCCGGTCCACGAAGGGCACAGTGAGCACCTGCAGGATGACGGCGGAGCGGCCGCGGTACAGCATGCTGCCCCAGCCGCTCACCGTGCCCGGCCCGTTGCTCAGCAGGTTGTTGGTGAAGTCCCTGCTGCCGATGCAGATGGGGGTGACGTAGCTGTTGAAGGTGAGCGGCTGGTCCAGCTCCAGCAGAGCGATGTCATTGTGGTGCTTGTTCCTGGTGCGGTTGTAGGCGGGGTAAGGGAGGATTTTAACCACCTGCCGCCACTGCTCTGTGTGGTCGTCCTCCTTCGTGTTGTATTCACCTGTGGAGATAAAGATGTGGGCTTGGTGACAGCCGTGTCCTCCTGCTGCCATCTCAGTGCTCCCACAGCCCAGTCCTGCAGCCAGCAGTGTGGCACCAGGCCCATAGCAGTGCACATCGCCGTCACACGTGGCAGCCATCACCACAGATGATAAGAAATACAGAAATACAGACTGAGTGACTGCAGCCCAGAGGGTTTTGCCAAAGTGTGTGGCAATGTGTTTTCTGAAGTGAACGCCCTCATGACAACGCTGCCCTAGCACCAAAGGGAAAGGTGCTCTAGAGTTACAAATCTCTGTTAAAAACCGCTGCTCGTTAGCCACCTGCCCCTCTGCAGACCCACAGCTGGTGGGGCTGTAGGGGTAGCACTGCCCCATGGGTCCCTGTGCCCAGTTGCAGGGTGCAGCTGCCTGAGTGCCCGCAGCTGGCTTCTTACCCCCCACCCTGCATGACAACAGGTGGAGGGAGAGGAATGCTGTGGGGCTTGGCTGGGGCATCTGGTGCTGAGCAGAGCCCCTGCCTCACCCACGGCCCGGTGATGCTGAGAGCAGGATGGCTTCTCTCAGCCCCGGAGGCACAGAGCGTTTAACCCATGCTGCAGCATTTCCCCATGCTCTGCTGTGATCTCCACAACATCCTCTAAGCAGCATCTGCAGCAGCGCCGGTTGTGTCCTGTGCCTGTTTGTGCCCGTGTGTGCCTGCAAGGAGCGACAGCACCCAGTAAAGAGGTGAGGCGGTGCTCCCGGCTGCCCGATCGAGGTGGGGCTGGTGGCTGTGCTGCTGCTCTGATTGCTATGGGTTTATTTTTTTGCTGCAGTAGCAGTGTGAGTGTCAGCTTTTTTGCAGACTGCGTTTCCACAATGTAAATGCAAGAAGTGGGGGAGACTTTGAGAGGGTTTTACTTGTGTGACAGCTGCTTGCTATTGCTGGGGACCCATAAATATGCTTCAGTGATGAAGGCAGAGAGGCAAAGAATTAGGGCTGAGAGTGCTTCTTCCATCTCTGCTATCACTCCGTGGGCCTCCCAGTATGCTATAAACAAAGCTGAACATTTAGCATGAATGGAGGTGAACGATTCACGTGCTACCCGTGCACTGTGCATGGTGTGAGTACAAATCAAGCAGTTCCTGAAACCCTGCAAAACCGTGTTGTGCTCACTTGATTTGCTACCTGCCCCATCTCCTGCCCTGGAAAGAGAGCAGTGCTGCAGGGCAGTGTGCAGGCAGTGCATGGGGAGCTGGCTGACAGCACAGCTGAGCTGGGAAGGGGAGGGAGCTGGTGTGCAGATGCAGTGAACACAAAACATCTGTCTGGGGAAACGTGCTTTTCTGGGGGAAAGCATTGCACTGAGAATTGTGTACTTTCTCATGTTTGTGGGTGCAATGCTGAGTTTTGTGCCTGAAGGCAGGTAGGGAAATAAAGGAGCTATGTGCAAGCTGCAAGCCTCCTGTTGTCTGCACAGAGCAGGGCTCTGGTCCCACAGTACGAGCACCATGGCGCAGCACAGCTCACAGCCAGGGCTCAGCTGTGCTGCTGCAGAAGGTGAAGATGCAGATGGAGTCCTCTTGATAAGCCAATTTCTGTAGATACAAATTCAGTGTTTCAAAGCTCAGGTAGAATCTCATTTTTGTCAGTAATACAAGAAAGTGAGATTCTTCCCTGCCTCCTCTGAACATTGCCTGTAGCTGAGACCAGCTCCATCAGCGTGCTTCCTGCACTGGGTAATCATACTGAAGGGAAACAAGTAATTTGGGGAAGATAACTCTGCCATAGCTGTAAAACATGGCATTGCACTGCTTGCCAAAGCCCTGTGATGAATGATCAGCAGGCAGCGTGGAACAGCTGGGTACCAGGAGTGGGGGGGGAAAACACCATTTGTCAAGGAGAGATAAATTAGTTTTGCGAAGCTGCAGCACCCCATGCCTTGCAGCCAGGCCCTGCTGCCTCTCTGAGCTCCAACAGAACCTGCTGGAGAGCCATGCTGCCTCTGGGGCGACCCCCTGCAGATGGGCTGAGCCGCTGGAGTCACTGAGCAGCGGTGCCACCCACAATGCTCACCTGCCACAGCCGTAACGTTGTCCCCTGGCTTCAGGCAGTGCGCTGCTGTCACCACCCATTTCTCATTGATAATGGACCCTCCGCAGAAGCCCAAACCGCTGCTGTCCACCAGATGAACCTGCAGGAGCAGAAGGAAACAGCAGCTGTGGGGTTGTGCCAAGAGGGCGTGGGTTTGGCTGTAGGATGGGTTGTGTTAAATTGCACAGAGCTGGTGCTGCCCCAGCCATGCCAGGAGCTGCTCCCTGCTTGTCCCTGTGCCCCCAGCCCTCTTTGTCCAGCGCTGTTCACACACTGTTGGTGCCATGCTGCACTTGCCCCTAGATGACCCCTGCTCCAGGCTGGGGGTCAGACAGCCCCAGCATAGGGCTTGATTTTTGGATAGTCCTGTGGAGAGCCAGGAGTTGGAGCCAATGACTCTTACTGGTCCCTTCCAACTCAGGGTATTCTATGATAAACTCCACTTTAATGCACTTTCCCAAATACGCTTCCATGCACACCTCATAAGAGTGCTTTCCAATGACCAGAGAAGCAGGAGCTAAGATGCTAAGTCCCTGTACCATACGAGCATCCGGTGCCCTCCTACTCACAGGACCCGAGCCAGGACATCCCTTACGCTAAAACTTCTAATTAAATCCATCAGGCGACTCGTTGAGCTGTACTGAAAAGATGGATTTCCTTTCTGTTTCACCCATTTTTGTCCTTCCCACGCGGCACGGCATCCCGCCAGGCTTTCTCCTGCCCTCCCTGCAGCCGCTGGCGCCGCTCCCGCAGCGGCAGCCCCCCGCTCGGCCGTTCCCAGCCGCCAGCCACGGGATGGCAGCACCGCTCGCTGCTAGCAGCCTGGCCCGCTGGCCGATGCTGGCTTTCTAGGACTCTTTTCTGAGCCCTGCAGCCATCCCGGGCCCTGGGGAGCGCACAGCATCCCTCCTGCGTGCTGCCTGACCTCTGCGGGATGGGCACCCTCACCTGCCGTGTGACCAAAGGGAGAGCAAAATAATTTGGGAGGATTGTGTCCGGTGAGGTGGAGGTCCTCGTGAGCGCAGCCAGCCTCAGTGGGCTCATAGTAAGTGAATATGCTTTTGTTGTGGGTGCTGATTTCTTAGGTTTAGATTTCTGGTACTCCTCCTGGCTGACCTGCATGAATGGGCCCTATGGGTCATTGCCACAATCAGCAATGGTCTGTGCCAGGGCTTGCAAGAGAACAGAATCAGAATATTACTTTGAAAAGAGATTTCCCATCCATTCAGAAAGGCTTCATCAAAAATGGAGCTGTGTAGCCCTTTGCCAAGCATCCTGAAGCCTCTATGACTTTTAGTTGTTTGCCAGGATAGACTCCCAGTCTGAAATATTGCTGCTGTGGCATAAATCCATCTGCAGAGAGAAGCTGCATTCCTATGAGATGGGAGCTCTCGTACCAAAGCAGCCTCGGAGGCAGGTTTCAATGTGATGGAAGGTGAGCATGGATGCAGAGGGAGCTAATGGCAGTGACTGATGGGGGCACGTGGGAGCAGCCCATACCTGCCATGGCAGCTGGCCCTTCACGCTGTCGTATCCCCCGACCACACGGGTGTCATTCTTAGTTATCGGCACGATCCTGGCAGGGGCAGCAGTGGTGGTGATGGTGGTGGTGGTGGGGAGGAAGGGGGGCAGCTCTGTGATGTCGAGCGCTTCGTCGTGAGCGTCGTCCTCATCGTGGGCCGTGATGTTCCAGCGCTCAATGGTGTTTTCGGTGCGGGTGACCTTTCCTCTCATCTCCGGAGCTGTGATCCTCCCGCAGGGATATGGCACTGGAGGAGAAGTGGATGAGGTTATGCCTGGCAGTGCAATGACTCGGAGTGTCACAGCAAGGGAAGGAGCAGGCGAGGAGATGCGTGTGAATGAAATGATCGGTGCCCAAAGCATCCATA